TTTCCTAGCAAAAACTGTGACTTTTTTCTTTTCTTTTTCCTGTGACTTTTTTTCAATCACCCTGATTTATACCCTAAACAAACTTTTGAAATGTGTACCATAAAAATAAATCATTGAATCATTTCACTTAAACTATACGAAATTTTTTTCTGATTTCTGCCCTGAAACAAACTTTTAAAATGTGTACCATAAAAATAAATCATTGAATCGTTTCACTCAAACAATACGGGCAACTTTTCTGATTTCTGCCCTGTACAAACTTTTAAAATGTGTACCATAAAAATAAAGTTTTGAATCGTTTCACCTAAACTATACGTGCAACATTTCTACACAAACTTTTAAAATGGGTACCATAAAAATAAACCATTGAATCGTTTCAGGTGCAGCCAGCGAGATGAAAATGAAGGGAATATTATTTTTTCTTGTTTCTATTGTGACTTTCCTCATGTCATACTAATTGACCTAATGGAAAGATACTAATTAAAGACATTTGTCTTTGTATTTTTGGCGTATTGTACACATTTTTAGTTTTTACTTGAACACTGTATTGTAATTGTGATGATGATGAAACAATTTGTTTTGAAAACTCTTTGTATAAATAATAAAAAAAAAGATTGGGTATTAAATTAACGATGATTAATGTTGGCAATTACCCATCAGCAATGTCTAAATGGCATGTAGAAGGTTATTGTTGGGATTATTGTTGTACAAGGTGGGTAAATTACATTTATTTTAAAATATGCAGGTATTGATTGGTAGAAGCCTTTTTTTTCCTAAAATAATTGTTTTGCTTTTCTCGTTTGTGCACTCACTTTTTAAAAATCTATTCACTTTCGTTGTTCTAAGTGCATATATATGTATGTCAAAAGTAATGCTCTCTGTGTTTTAGTACAGAAAATAACTAAGACGAGTCTATAAAGTAAGTCCTCGAGCTTTTGCCACCTTTAGTGAAATTTGAATGACTTGGTCCTTAAAGCTGTGGTCCTTAAAGTCCTAGTCCTTATAGTCCTGATCCTTATAGTCCTGATCCTTATAGTCCTGGTCCTTAAAGCCCTGGTCCTAAAAGTTCAGGTCCTTAAAGTTGAGGTCCTTAAAGTTGAGGTCCTTAAAGTCCTGGTCCTTACAGCCTGCCTTAACAAAGTGTAATGCCTGTCATCAAATATTTGATATAGGCCAAGGTATTATGTTTTACATGTTTAAATGTTAAAATCTAGGCTTACACCATATTTCTAATTTATATTTCTTTTTAATCGTTTACAAACTGTATTTATTTTTTAACACTCCTGCATGGGGTCATCCATAAATGACGTCACGCTTTTTTGATGATTTTTACCTCCCCCCCCCCTCGTCCCCTAAGTCACGCATCGTCACAAAAAGCCAGACCCCCCCCCCCCCAAAAAGACGTAAAACCTCAGCCTCCAACCCCCCTCAAAATTGAAGCTGAATTTTTCTTAAAACATCGATATTTCTCCAAAAACTCTGTCATCATAGAGTATTCTAATCAATTAAGATATTACATTGATTAAAAACCGTTTTCTAAAACGCGAAATAACGGCTTAATTTCATTTTCTAACATTGCTTTCTAATAACTCAAAAGTGTGACGTCACACCATCTGAGCCTCCCCCCCTCATCATACACCGTCACGAAATTGCGGACCCCCTCCCCCCTACGAGTTTGACGTCATTTATGGACGACCCCCATAGACAAATTCCCGGCACTTACTTTTATAATGTTCTTCACACTTTTTCTCACTAGTCGGGCTTGACAATATGCAGAAAACTTTTATTTAAAAAAATAATCTCTAAACGAATGGAAACCTGTGAGGTTAAAGGGTGAATCTCTCAGGCAAAATCTGCACAAAGCGGAGTTTGTTTTCTAGTTAAAACAGTGGGCCCCCATGTCGGGAGTGCCCCCCCCCCCCCCTCATCTTACCCCACCCCCTAGTTTCGACCTAGTTCGTGGTGTACTTGACTAAATAAGGAGAATTAGACACTTTTAAAATTTTATTTTATGTACAATTTTACACATTACCGTCAAGAATTTCATGGAACTTCTTTTTTCTCAGCTTTCTTATTTTTCCATACATAAATAAAAATTAAAACCATCTAAATTAGACTTATTGTTTTTCCAACTGTGAATGTCATATTTATGTGCTACTGTAGATTACCCAATGACAATAATTTCCAATCCAACTAAAAAATCCGACATTCTACAATTTCCAATCCAAATAAAAAATCCGGCAGTCAACAATTTCCAATCCAACCAAATAATCTGACAAAACAGGTTCGGCCTAAATTGTGTGACAAATAATTACGCGTGGTGTTTCAAATAGTCATTTATCAAAACTGCGCTAATGTTTTTATTTCATATAATATATATATATATATATATATATATATATATATATATATATATATATATATATATATATGGAATTTATTGAGCCACAGCCCCAGAGCCGGCGTTAAGGCTACATGTACAGTAAGACGTTTTTCTTCTTCTCAATTAATATCTATAACGATATATATGGTATTTTTAAGATGCATATCAATGTCGTATATTAGTTTTAACAAAAAAAAAAACACTGATTAAAAAATAATTTGTTTACTTAGAAGTGCTTTTGAAACGTTGCGTGTTTCTGTTAAAGCTTTTTGTTTGAAAAATAAAAAAAATAAAAGAGATATAAGTTCGATACTAGCATTAAAGATACGATGATTTTTTAGATTAATGTTTATTTATGAAAATCTTACCAGTACGTTAACAAACAAAGGTCTACTTTTCTTGCCTTTCTTGAAGAAAATTCTTTGATTATATCATCATAGTCCTAATTGGAGGCAATGCCTTTTTCTATTGACAGAATCGACAGGCCGCTGAGCCTGTCTTGGGACATCGTTGATACGTGTTCCCAATTACCTGGATTGTATATATCTTTTACGATCATTGGGAATGAATTATTTTCGTCAGAATCATTTTCAGAATGGCCGCTTGATTTGTCCCTATTGTCGAAGTTCGTGGGGTTTGCAGCTGACAATAAATGACTCGAGGATTCATTACTACCGTCATCACCACAAATGGTAGTACTCTCATTGTAGTCCTTTTAGTTACTTTCCATATTTGCGACATTGGAATCCACAACCAAATCAAAAAGTTTTTGTTGTTTAAAGACTTTCTTTGGATAGTGTATGCACTTGTCCAACGTGCCTGCTTGTGTTTTATCAAATTCTTCTCTTAAACTGCGTTTCCTCGCTTTTGATACACCTGATTCATACTTGCGAAATCTATCTCTGTCTCTTGTAGCCATGGTGTCGAGGAAAAATAGTGAAATCACTTTGAAGCAACGTTAAATCGGTCCACAGTGGCGGGTGATAGTATCGATATTTTCTCAATTTATCGAGTGTTAATAGTGGCATTCAGAGTGTGTGGATGCCGGGGAAAATAGCAAAAGATTGATAGATTTCTGTCCAAGCTCAAATCATGAAAACACTGTTTACGGCTATAGATATCCAAATGAAATGACTCTCAAATGTAATCACTGACGCTCAGTAGGGTGGGACACTGGGGGGGGGGGGGGGGGAAGACAGTTGGTGGGGTGAGGTAAAGGATAACAGTACATTTAAATCTACGGGATGCCAAACCCTAAGAAAAAAAATATCTTCCAGTTCGAGTACTACGTTACTGATCGCAGCCATTCAAGAGAATGTGTGTGTTTATAGAGCGTCCACGTATTGCATTACAGATTAAGACCGCGTTCTCACAAGAGAAGGTTCGTGTCTATAATTAGAAAGTGAACCATGTGACAGTCAGCTTCACCCTATTTATGAGTTTTGCGACGGCATGCTCAGACTGCCGGTAATTTAGACGTTTGAAAACTGTGGGTAACTTTACCATAAAATGATCTCGGCCCGATGTATCAAACAGTATAGACTTTATAATTTGTTTGTATCCCTACACTATATTAAAACAAAAATCACTATGGTCTTAACTATTTTACTGGATAACACAAAGTAAAAATATACAATATAAAATTAGATAAAAGGACACATGAATGATGTTTGATACTACACCCTTTACACAAAACAAAATTATGTGGTACCTTTATGAATTATTGTTACTTACACATAACAAAAGTAGCCTTACGCAGAGGTGTAGCGACCCTTCCCGGCGCCCGGGGACAAACTTTCAATTTGGCGCCCCCCTCGGGATCAACCTTTCAATTTTCGATTTGCACCCCCCCCCCCTTGCACCCCCCACCCCCTCATATATTTTTTATATTTATAAAGCAAAAATGCATCTAAAATAATATTTTAATTTATTTTTCAAACTCATTTTTGCACCCCCCTAAGGTCGGCGCCCGGGGACATATGTACCCCCCTGCCCCCCCCCCCCCCTTCGCAACGCCTCTGGCCTTACGGTGGTACATCTGCCAAAAAAACTGTGTGAGTAGATGGCATGAAAGATAACACACCGAATCTATCCAGCTCTGTTTCCAAAAACGTGTTGCTGAATGATTGAACAATCCCTATACCGGATCTACGGCGACGTGGGAGTGATGTACACAGCGCAGCAATTATTTTGTATGATTAATGCAGGACACGGTACCACGTGAGAGAAGACGAGGAAGACAAGAATGCAGTAAACCTATGTAATATAATATAATGGAATGGACGGGGCTGCCAGTTGGAAAGTTACTTAAATTTAAAGCAGTAAAAGACAGAGAAAGAATGCTACAGATTACAGATTATGCATAAGATTAAGATCAGCTGTTATACCTCAAACCCACCCCCTACCCCCACGCGCACTCTCAGAGTTATGGGATGATTTATTAAAAATAGCTTTAATACTCAAATTAAATGTATAAATCTATAATAAATCGATAAAACGCTTTAGCCTAGTCATGTTCTAAATATAATTATAATACAATAAAAATACTTTATAATTTAGTGCTGCGAAATTTTCATTAGAAATATAAACAGATACCAAAGTTCATTTCCGGAAAGGGAAGCAAGTCACAAGATATAAACAAGTGAGTTGGCAACAAATGGCGAAATCTTTTGTATTTTTTACATTTTTAATTTAGATTTTTCTTTTGTAAGTAGATACAGCAAGTGCAAACGCTGAAGCTGCTTTTAATTATAATATTTAAAATAGACCATTTAAAAATTTAGCTTGCATGCATACTGCTCTAGCGGCGCTGTCCACTCTCTAGTCTCTAGAGCTAGGATCTAAAATCTAAAACTAGACTAGAAATCTAGAATTTTAATTTTTTACATCTTGAATCTTTTTCTACAATTCTTCTACTGACTGTACTGCGCGGTAAAACTCCATTTCAGCGTATTTTATTCTCCGTTGCTTGTTTACCTCCAGTTGAGCGTATTTTATTATAACAACCGAAACACACCAAAACATTAGGAAAACACGATTTATTTTTTGTATTGTATTTTTGTTTTAGCAAATGAATAAAAATGAATATTTAAAAAGCACGACTTGTTTATTTGTATTGTATTTTTAAAAAAAAGGCATTTGTCTCATGGTGAAACTGATACACTGTTAATCATTCTGTTTTATATTTTTGTATTTATGCAATAAATGTACAAACTCTGTGTTTTTTAATTTGACAGTTTTGCTAAAACTGAAAAAAATATTTTACTATAGAGTTGTATGTTATTTAAATTCATAGTAAATCTACAATCCTTCCCTTTTTTGTATGAGTAAATTTCTGACTTTTAAAAAAAATTGATGTGGGGTCGTCCATAAATGACGTCACACTCGTAAGGGAGAGGGGGGTCAGCAATTTTGTGACGGTGTGTGATGAGGGGGAGGGGGTGGGGTTTCAGATGGTGTGACGTCCCTTTTTTGCATTATAGAAAAGCAATGTTAGAAAAACAAGTTTTAGCCGTTATTTCACGATTTAGAAAACGGTTTTAATAAATTGTAATATGAATTGATCAAAATACTCTATGTTGACAGAGTTCTGACAAGATTTTGGAAAAATTATCGATGTTTTAAGAAAAATTCAACAGAAATTTTGAGGGGGGGGGGGGGGTTGTAGGCTGAGGTGTGACGTCATTTTAGGGGGGGGGTCTGACTTTTTGTGACGACGTATAACGGAGGGGAGGTAAAAATCGTAAAAAAAAGCGTGTCGTCACAAAAAGCAAGATCCCCCCCCCCCCAAAATGACGTAGCACCATCTGAACCCCCCTTCTCACCACACACCGTCACAAAATTACGGACCCCCCCCTCCCCCTACGAGTGTGACGTCATTTATGGACGACCTCTAACATTATTTTTTTTAAATGACAACGTGAGTTGTCACACTTTCTCTAACACTCCAAGCCATCCCTCACCAAATTCCACACCCCCCCCCCCCGGCCCACTTTCGGCAGCATTATTGTGCCTTTTAATACTTTTATTCAGTTTAGTTGAAATTGGAACACTTAATTGTACAAAGTGTGTATCTCTATTTTTGTAACCAACAAAGCACTTCAGTCAGTCTCTTTGTTGTTTTTTATTCATTTGTTAAAACAAAAATACAATACAAATAAACAAGTCGTGTTTTTTAAACATTCATTTTATTCGTTTGTGAAAACAAAAATACAATACAAATAATAAATCGTGTTTTCCTAATGTTTTGGTGTGTTTTGGTTGTTATAATAAAATACGCTCAACTGGAGGTAAACAAGCAATGGAGAATAAAATACGCTAAAATGGAGGTTTACCGTACTGCGCTGTACGTCTAACTTTAGTTCTAGATCTAGATCTAGTAGAAATTCTAAAATCTAGGATCTAATCTAGATCTAGAATCTAGATCAAGTCACAAAAAAGAATTTAAAATTACAAGAGTAGTAGAAAGTAGAGTATCCCAGATTACTGAGATTAGTATTTAAAATTTAAGATTAGCCTACCTACACAGTAAGACCACACTACCTACAGTATTATTTTACAGACATAATTATTAGTGAATTAGGATGAACTTTTCCATTAATCTATCGTTTTAGGTAATTAAAGACTGTCCGAAACTAGTAATGTGAAAAAAAGTTGCCTCATTATTAAGGCTTTAATTGAAGTATATTGTAATATTTGCGCCAAATATTATAGATACCTGAGAATAATAAACCAAAATCAATAGCTAAATATATCAATAATTCAATATATCAATTGTGTAATTAACTTTAAAAAGCAGTATTTGCTAGCAAGTATTGCTATATACACAGTGGCCACTTTTAAATTAGAGTGGTTTCCCCTGAATTGTGCACTATAATCTTACAAAAAAACTCACTCAAACAGGATGGCTGCTAAAGTAAATAATAAGCTTTGTTGCATCTGATGAAAACATCACTAGTCTTTATTTATTACTAAAAGTGTTTTTACACAATTGTTTGAAAACAGGTACATGAATCAAACCTTGAAACATTTTTGTAACTTTCCAAACATACATTCACCTAAAATTGTGAAATAGTTACTAACATTTAATGAGTCACCTTTTCTTCACATTACTAGTCTTAGTCGATTTTACGCACTTAAAACAATAGATTACCAGAAAGATTTAAGCCTAGATCTAGATCTCTGATTCAGTCTTGAATAGTCTTGAACTACATACTACATTTGCAGTGCTACTCTTTTTACATAATTATTTATGGTAATCTATCATTTTATGAGTGTAAAATCGGGTGAAGTGAGTTATGTTAAAAATCCTAGGCAGCAGAGCTCAGAATAGAGAATGTTGCGATTATAGGAAATTCAATATAGGCCTAACTAACAGAAAGTAACTAAGAACTATTGATTTTTTAAATTTGACATTCTATTCATAGTTATACAATTCTCTTGTGCCTAATTAATCAGTTTTATAATTATTTTGTTTCCTTATGTTCAGAAAATGAATTTAAAGTTTTGACGGGGTTCTGGAACTAATCAAGGACATTGCTGTGCCCACCAAGGTGTAGAGAATGTTCAAGGTAGAATCCTACATCACCCCATTGCTAATGGGCTACCTTGACAAGTATGTCAAGCTGCGACAAGAGGATTTTCAGCTCAGCTTGTGGGGAGGGGATGCTGTCTTAAATAATTTAGATCTGCGTCTGGATGAGCTAGAAAAGGTGAGAATTTTTAGTTAGTTCTGTAATAAATTACATGCTAACAAAATGTTTTCATAGAGAATCTGACAATGTTTCTAAGTTGCATTGTAGGCAAATTCTGAATATCATATGTATGTATGTGTATAACTATAACATACTCTTTTTTTCAAAATGTTTCTAGTTTTGTAATTTGTTGCTTGTTTTTTTCAGGTGCTGCAACTCCCCGTGATGTTTCAGAGTGGTCACATTCATGAACTTAGGCTCCATGTGCCTTGGACTAAACTGGGCTCCGAGCCTGTTGTTATAACTATTAATACAGTAGAATGCATTTTGAAGGTTTGTTCATTGATATAAAAATAAACTCTTTCTTAGTTTTAATACTACCTAAACACAATATTAAATGAAAACAAATGGATTTTATTTAATTAACTCAATGATACATTTTATGCTGATAAAGTTAAATACTTAGTTACTCATTTACTGAGCATTTCTGTCTATTCTTTTCATGTGTTCTACTTTAGAAATTAATGGTAGTTAAAATGATATAGTAAAAAATTTGACTACAATCATAAACAGATTACGTTGATCTCACATGTCTATTTGTAAGGTACGAGACACTGCTTATGAAGGAGGCTCCAGTTCACAGACAAAATCATCTTCAGGGAAGTCTCTCCAATCAAGGTAAAAAAAAAATTCCTAAATTTATTCTTTGGATACTGACAATAATTTTGATCATATTATATTTCTATATTAATGCCGGTTCTTGCTGATATTTTGTTAATCTTTTATGTTTTTAAAAATATTACTGTGATAATTGATTAAAAAATTAAATAGTTGTAATTCTAGAACATATAACTTTTTATTTGTTAATGTTATTTAAAACTAGCTTTGAAAGGCATTGATAATGTTCAAACATTCTGACTGTGTCTCAGACAAAAAAGTAAGAAAAGGCCCCAGCCAGTGGAAGACTTGCCACCAGGCTACCTGCAGACCATAGTCAACCGCATCATCAACAACGTCACATTTATCATCAACAACTTCATCCTCAAGTTTGTCGAAGACGACATTGTCATTTCTGTCAACATTAAATCAGCTGAATGCTACAGGTACGTGAGAAGATAATTTATAAATTCTGTAATGTGAACCCAAGTAGTATTTGATCATAGTGTCAGGTACCATAGCAAATAGACTACACACTAAACATCAGTGATACTTACTAAATGTGATAATGAAATGATGTGTTACAGTGTTGATAGGGAATGGAACCGTGCCTTTGTTGACCTGGCTCCCGACGACCTTGCCCTTAGGAAAGTGTTGAACTTTGCCGACCTGACTGTGTGCCTAGACAAGACAAACTCCAGTGGACACATTGAGAGCTACCAGGAGCCGATGGCCTACCGCTGTGCTGTGACCTGCCGACTTCACATGGAATATGAATCCATCTCGGCTAAACTTCCAAGTGTCAGTAGTTAATTTATTATCTAGTTCACATGGAATATGAATCCATCTCGGCTAAACTTCCAAGTGTCAGTAGTTAATTTATTATCTAGTTCACATGGAATATGAATCCATCTCGGCTAAACTTCCAAGTGTCAGTAATTGATTTATTATCTAGTTCACATGGAATATGAATCCATCTCGGCTAAACTTCCAAGTGTCAGTAATTGATTATTATCTAGTTCACATGGAATATGAATCCATCTCGGCTAAACTTCCAAGTGTCAGTAATTGATTTATTATCTAGTTCACATGGAATATGAATCCATCTCGGCTAAACTTCCAAGTGTCAGTAATTGATTTATTATCTAGTTCACATGGAATATGAATCCATCTCGGCTAAACTTCCAAGTGTCAGTAATTGATTATTATCTAGTTCACATGGAATATGAATCCATCTCGGCTAAACTTCCAAGTGTCAGTAATTGATTTATTATCTAGTTCACATGGAATATGAATCCATCTCGGCTAAACTTCCAAGTGTCAGTAATTGATTTATTATCTAGTTCACATGGAATATGAATCCATCTCGGCTAAACTTCCAAGTGTCAGTAATTGATTTATTATCTAGTTCACATGGAATATGAATCCATCTCGGCTAAACTTCCAAGTGTCAGTAATTGATTTATTATCTAGTTCACATGGAATATGAATCCATCTCGGCTAAACTTCCAAGTGTCAGTAATTGATTTATTATCTAGTTCACATGGAATATGAATCCATCTCGGCTAAACTTCCAAGTGTCAGTAATTGATTTATTATCTAGTTCACATGGAATATGAATCCATCTCGGCTAAACTTCCAAGTGTCAGTAATTGATTTATTATCTAGTTCACATGGAATATGAATCCATCTCGGCTAAACTTCCAAGTGTCAGTAATTGATTTATTATCTAGTTCACATGGAATATGAATCCATCTCGGCTAAACTTCCAAGTGTCAGTAATTGATTTATTATCTAGTTCACATGGAATATGAATCCATCTCGGCTAAACTTCCAAGTGTCAGTAATTGATTTATTATCTAGTTCACATGGAATATGAATCCATCTCGGCTAAACTTCCAAGTGTCAGTAATTGATTTATTATCTAGTTCACATGGAATATGAATTCATCTCGGCTAAACTTCCAAGTGTCAGTAATTGATTTATTATCTAGTCCTCTCAGGTGCTAGGTTGTTGTTGTATTATGAATAGACACTATTGTAAGAATTGAGAGTGGTACTACCTGATATCTTATTTAGCTAGGTTGTACTAGGACAACTCTCAAGTTAAATATAGTAGGACTTCAAGAGTAACCTGTTAAGGCCCTATGTTCCATAAGGAGCAAAGAGGACTAAGTCAAGTCAATAGTAACCTGCCTGGATAATAACTTGCATATTCTATGTGCTGTTTAACAAACTAAATTTTTACCATAAACAAAGTTACATAACACAAACTTTAACTAAGATCTACTATTGGAAAAGCAGTTACAAGACTAAATTGATTAAAAATAGTAAATGGGTTTATACTTCATTAATAAATCTGTTGCTCTTGGTCAGCCTTCTCTAAAATTATTAGATTTTGAAAAAAATAATCTTATACTGAAGAAATTTTTTTTCAAATCTAAAATTAATATTCCTAACATTAATACATTTGTATTTTGACTTCAAGTGAAAGATAGTAAATTTTAAATAAATTTTTAAAAAGTAAAATTGTTTCAACCTTAGGTAACAAGATAGGTAATTTAATCAAAGTTTTAAATGGTAAATATTTTTGACCATAGGTTACAAAATGCAATTATTTTATCAAAGTTTTAAATGGTAAATATTTTTGACCATAGGTAACATGATACAATTATTTTATCAAAGTTTTAAATGGTAAATATTTTTGACCATAGGTTACAAAATACAATTATTTTATCAAAATTTTAAATGGTAAATATTTTTGACCATAGGTAACAAGATACAATTATTTTATCAAAGTTTTAAATGCGCCTGACCGCAGGTGACGAGACTAAACGTGTTCTGTGATACATTGAACCTGTCTCTAACGGACACCCAGCTGCCCCTGTTTGTCCGCTTCATTGAGCTGTGTATTGCCATGTACTATGGTAGCTTGGACATCCCCGACTCTGTGGCAGGCAGCACATCTGAGGAGCAACAAAGCTCACAGCAGACGGAGGTGGACGGAGAGACCACAGACATTGGTAAACTCTTTTTAAAGCTGGTTTTTGGTCATTTGTGATGACACAGGTGGATGGAGAGACCACAGACATTGGTAAACTCTTTTTAAAGCTGGTTTTTTTGTCATTTGTGATGACATAGAAATTAAAGCTGGTTGATGGGAAACTGTAAAAACTGGTTTGACTTTCTGTTATGGATAATTTGAGCTACTTAACACACAGGCATGAAGTGTTATTTCACTAAATGCAAACATTACCAGTTTGGTTAAAGAATGTAATTTCTTATTTAAAGCTTTAATGCTCTAAACTGGTTAATTTTAAGAACTATTGTAACAATATTGTTTATTCCAAAGGCTATTTTCAATAATTCTGTGTTTTCTAGGCTTTGCTTTAAAATAAAATGTATGAAATGCTTTCAGTCAGATTGAATCTGATCAGGCATATAACTTTACATTTTGTTTTGTATAATTTTGTCTATAGATATTTTTTTATTAAATGTTACTTTTGTAGCCAGTCGTGCTGTTTTTCCATGTTAATGGTTTATTTAAATAATAATTAATGACTTATGCTTTGATATTTCCAGACACAAATCAAAATATTGACCAATCATCTCAAGGCTGGGCATCGTGGGCATGGTCCTACGTGCCCCAGATTCTGCCCACAGAAGAGGAGCAGGCAGAATTAGATCGGCAGATGGAGGAGCAAGGGAGGAGAGGAAAACCTCCCCCCCTCATCCTCTCTATAGGCTTTTACATCCACCATGGAACCATAGTATTCAAAGTGAGCTATAAATAGATTTAAGGAAACTATATAGTGGTACTGGTAGTGTGTTTAAAAAATACAAATGAATGTTACCATTTGAGGAAATAAGCACTTTTTAGTTTATAGAGAAAAACATAATTTAGATAAAGGACATTATGTTTATAATTAGGATAAACCTAATTTTTGTCGTTGTAGACCTACTTTAGCAAAAAAAAACTATTGAAAACTTTTGATTATTAAGTTCAGTAAGTTTTGCTTAAGGCATTATCTTATGTAAAGACTAGTTGGAGTTATAGTCAAAAGTTATTACTCCTTTTAAAATTGAACATACTTGACTTAAAAAAATATAACTCTACAATATAGCATAGCAAACTGTAGTCTCTGTTGTTACAACACGTTCATCAGTTTGAATATCTTTTATAACATTTGATAATGTTCCCCACAGATGACAGAGAAATCAAAAGAGAGTTCTGAGCTGCCCCACAAGAAGATGTACTTCCACCCTTTCCTGAAGCTCTGTGTGGACGGACTGGGGCTGGAGGTCCTGCTTCAGGGGGTCAACTTCTGCAGCATCCAGTGTGGCATCACCTCCCTCAAGCTGACCACATGTGGCAACTGTATCTGTGATGTCAACGACGAGAAGACTGGAAGGGTAAAGTTTGTTTGGGTTTCTGGTTGCCATGGCAACAGTTACTTCCTGGTTGCCATGGCATCAATGACGTAATAAAACTAATGTTAGGGGTTAAATTAAGGACTAGTTCTAGTGTAGATAAGAGTGTTCCTTCTATGTATCATATACCACATTTCTAGACTCTATGGCTTCACAATCTAATGAAATCTTTCATCATGACCTATGTGTAGTGTGAGAACTGGGGGTCAGAGGGCACATCATGACCTAAGTGCAATGTGGTGTTTACTGTGGTGATACCTCTACTTCCAGTGCAATATTCTGTTGGAACAGTGTGGTGTTTACTGTGGTGATACCTCTACTTCCAGTGCAATATTCTGTTGGAACAGTGTGGTGTTTACTGTTGGAACAGTGTGGTGTTTACTATGGTCATACCTCTACTTCCAGTGCTATATTCTGTTGGAACAGTGTGGTGTTTACTGTGGTGATACCTCTACTTCCAGTGCAATATTCTGTTGGAACAGTGTGGTGTTTACTGTGGTGATACCTCTACTTCCAGTGCAATAATCTGTTGGAACTGTGTGGTGTTTACTGTGGTGATACCTCTACTTCCAGTGCAATATTCTGTTGGAACAGTGTGGTGTTTACTGTTGGAACAGTGTGGTGTTTACTATGGTCATACCTCTACTTCCAGTGCAATATTCTGTTGGAACAGTGTGGTGTTTACTGTGGTGATACCTCTACTTCCAGTGCAATATTCTGTTGGAACAGTGTGGTGTTTACTGTTGGAACAGTGTGGTGTTTACTGTGGTCATACCTCTACTTTCAGTGCAATATTCTGTACAGTGTGGTGTTTACTGTGGTCATACCTCTACTTCCAGTGCAATATTCTGTTGGAACATTGTGGTGTTTACTGTTGGTCATACCTCTACTTTCAGTGCAATATTCTGTTGGAACTGTGTGGTGTTTACTGTTGGAACAGTGTGGTGTTTACTGTGGTCATACCTCTACTTTCAGTGCAATATTCTGTACAGTGTGGTGTTTACTGTGGTCATACCTCTACTTCCAGTGCAATATTCTGTTGGAACATTGTGGTGTTTACTGTTGGTCATACCTCTACTTTCAGTGCAATATTCTGTTGGAACAGTGTGGTGTTTACTGTTGGAACAGTGTGGTGTTTACTATGGTCATACCTCTACTTCCAGTGCTATATTCTGTTGGAACATGGTGGTGTTTACTGTGGTGATACCTCTACTTCCAGTGCAATATTCTGTTGGAACAGTGTGGTGTTTACTATGGTCTTACCTCTACTTCCAGTGCAATATTCTGTTGGAACAGTGTGGTGTTTACTGTTGGAACAGTGTGGTGTTTACTGAAGTCATATCTCTACTTCCAGTGCAATATTCTGTTGGAACAGTGTGGTGTTTACTGTGGTCATACCTCTACTTCCAGTGCAATATTCTGTTGGAACAGTGTGGTGTTTACTGTTGGAACAGTGTGGTGTTTACTGTTGGAACGGTGTGATATTTACTGTGCTCATACCTCTACTTCCAGTGCAATATTCTGTTGGAACAGTGTGGTGTTTACTGTAGTCATACCTCTACTTCCAGTGCAATATTCTGTTGGAACAGTGTGGTGTTTACTGTGGTGATACCTCTACTTCCAGTGCAATATTCTGTTGGAACAGTGTGGTGTTTACTGTTGGAACAGTGTGGTGTTTACTGTTGGAACGGTGTGATATTTACTGTGCTCATACCTCTACTTCCAGTGCAATATTCTGTTGGAACAGTGTGGTGTTTACTGTGGTCATACCTCTACTTCCAGTGCAATATTCTGTTGGAACAGTGTGGTGTTTACTGTTGGAACAGTGTGGTGTTTACTGTCGTCATACCTCTACTTCCAGTGCAATATTCTGTTGGAACATTGTGGTGTTTACTGTGTTCATACCTCTACTTCCAGTGCAATATTCTGCTGAGCGGTGGGGAGGACCTTGACAACAAGATTGGCCTGAACTACATCTCCAACTCACTGTTTGATGATGTATCCTGGGAGAACCGGGGTCAGAGGGCGCAGCATGTGGTGGACGGGGAGGAACATCGACAGATATTCACAGACCAGTACGCCCTGCAGAGGTTTGGTGCCTTCTGGGTAGACAGTCTCTACATCTATGAGCAGGAGGAGAAGCCAGGGGGTAGGGTTAAATTATTTCTGTTTTTTACAAATTTTACTTAGGTCACAACGTGACGTGGGTGATAGGCTGGGTTTGTGGCAAATCTTTTAACTCATTTTTGGCCCATTTCTTGCAAACTATATAAATTTCAATTGACAATACAAGAATAACACATATTCAGTCTAATTTAAGGAATATCATATTCAATAACTAAAGGTGAGATATCAACTAGATTTGGCTATAAAGCAAACTTTATTAGTCGGAATGTGTGTTGAAAGAAAAATGGTTTACATAAAAAAAAAATACAATACTAATTATTTTAAGAATTTAAGTTTATACTAACTTTGTTTTCTTTACAGTATCTAAATTCCTGTAATTTTTTAAATAAAAAAAACATGTTTTTAAAAATTGCAATCTATCAATACATATAGCAGTTTTCAATATGTATGCTAGTGAAATATAATTGTAAAAATTGTAAAATATATGTAGAAAAAATAATTTGAAAAATTGTATTAAATATTGTGAACTTGTTGTAAAATTTTGACTTTCAGCCAGCAGTAACTCATCTGATTCAGATAGCTCAGAGTTACTGTTCCTGAAGGAGTTCTCTACCCTTCGCTTTGTGTTTGGCAACACACACCTACATTGTTCTTCAACCCTCTACCATCGCATTTCAAAGTTAGTTCACTGTGCCACCAACCACCAGTACCAACCCTATGGAAGTTCAAAGCAGAGTAATCTAATTCAACTGTTTTATTTATCTAATACGTATTCTAGTTTTCAATCTTAATTCAAGACTTAAAAAGAAATAACTTATTCAATTACAAATGGGAGGTAATTCTCATAGTTGTCGTTTACAACCTTAGAGGCAACAAATAATTGTTGGATTGTAAGCTACTAATCAAATAAAACATTAACATATTGGGGAAAATATGATACTAATTTATTTTCAATATGTAAATGTTCACTTAATATTTTATTATAAAACATTGAGAAATTGAAACATAGAAAAGTAAACATAATTTAAAAGACTTTTACAATAAGCTTTTAATTACATGTAATAAGTTTTAATCAGACGCTTTTTATAACTCTGTTTATTCTAATTTAAAGAAAGTAAAATTTGTTTTGTGCATTAATATTTCGTAACAATGCCACCAAAACGAAAAGCTGAGCCAATCAACTTCAGCACATAAAGTTGGTGCAAAAGATGAAGCAAAAGACCGAAATATCAACAACAGAAGTAGAATGACTGCATCAGAGGCAATAAAACTATTTATTGATTCTGATGAAGAAGACAATATTCCTGGTCTATATTGTGATGATAGTGACGTTGAGTTTGAGACTGAACACTGTGACATTGAAATTGACAGTGACAATGAAACTACATTCTGATGCATGTGGTGCTGTAAAACTTCACTCTCCTTGGCGTATTGATAATAATTATGTGTTCAGACATTGTAAAAAAAAAAATAATTTCTGAATCTTGCTGCATTGTTGTTTGATCCTGAGTCTGGATACCAAATTTGGCTTGATTATCTCAAACAGTTCAAAAGTTATAGGCAAAGTTAGAAGCAGATAAGTCAAAATTGGTTTGGCAGTGGGAGCTCAGGAAATGGGAGAAATTAGGCCAGGGCTCAAAGGGTTAAAAGGATTTGTTGTTCAAAAATCTGTTTTATTTGACAGATCAGAAAGATCCCTCAGTTTTTGTTTTATGGTATCTGTTGCAATATACCAAACTAAAGCCTGTTTGTACCTGTATACCCAGGTTCAGCCACCACACCTGAAGAGCGCCCCAAGCCCACAGAAGAGCAGGTGAAGTCCCTGGAGGAGTTCATCCCCACGACGCTGCTGCACATGATGTTCATCAAGCCCACGGTCACCCTGCTGCAGACGGAGCACCCCTACTGCGACGTCACCAAGAAAAACTACAGGTGTCGACAGAAGAAAAGGGTCAGGCATGGTTTTTATTCTTTAGATATGTAACCAATTTAAGAAAACTTTAAGACACCTGAGACCCTCCCCTCAAAATTTTAAGATTTGCTGGTCTTTGTTCTGCCAGGATGAATTTTATAACTGTTATTACATGAAGCACTTTAAAGTGTTACTGACAGTTCACCTGTTTATTTGCGGAAAGTATGAGATTTATTTTTTGATAAACCTATGTCTTCAAATCTCCTAATTTATGTTGGGTACTCACTGTAGCAGGGTTGGCTTAGGGAAACCTAGGCATGAGAAAATATGTTTCTAACAGAAAATCCTTCTCGTATACCATTCCCTTAAACTTTCATTTTTATACCACCTCAATATAAACAAACTTGCTTAAAGCATCATGTGACCCCACATTCAAGCCAGTTCAGGCAGTCCACAGAGGAATCCAAGTGGTCTGACATCTTGTAAAATTTGTGTGAAAAAGGTTTAATTATACCTTCTGTTTTCATCTGCCTGATGTAAGAGTATTGACCATTAATAAATAAATACCAAATTTTGTTAGATTGTACTAAACTGTATTTCTAGTGACTGCCAATGTTGTATTGATTGTACACAAACTGTATTTTTAGTGACTGCCAAATTTTGTTAGATTGTAAAGTGTACTTGTAGTGAATGCCAAATTTTGTTAGATTGTACACAAACTATATTGCTAGTGCCTGCCAATGTTGTTTTGATTGTACACAAACTGTACTTGTAGTGACTGCCCATGTTGTTTTGATTGTACACAAACTGTACCTCCCCAGGACACCAAGACCCCAGAAGAAAGCCACCAGCCGCCACCCATTGCAGCCGTAGTGCTCTCAGCATCCAGATTTGACCTGCAGATCACCCGCCCCATGTACCCAGGGCGTCTGGTCAAGCTGGTCACCGCCATAGCCGGACCCTCTAGTAACTTGCTACATCATTCCCACTCACACATGCAGATCAAGGTACATTTATCCTGTACATTTATCTTACTTTATTTTGTACTCATATCATTGCACCTCATAAAATTAACTCCGCCTTCTAGATTTTATTGTAAAAATTCCCCATACTTTTAATTACATTATATTTCCTTATTTTCTTCCTTGGCAACTTATAAAATGTTACCCTCCCTTAACTGTGATGTTAATTACCCTTTATTATCTCCCCTAGCTGTTCAGCCTACAGGCTGGTCTATGTTACCTCCCCTGAACTGTGATGTCAAATTACCCTTTATTATCTCCCCTAGCTGTTCAGCCTAAAAGCCGGTCTATGTTACCTCCCCTGAACTGTGATGTCAAATTACCCTTTATTATCTCCCCTAGCTGTTCAGCCTACAAGCCGGTCTACAGCGATGCAATGGAGATGGGACGGTGTCACGACCTTTGACCTTGCTACCACCCTGCAGCTTTGCCCTGTACCTGAGGTCCCTTGTGCTCCCAAAACTCTGGTATGGTGTTAGGTGTTACAGTTATGGTGTTACAGTGTCACATCTGTTGTATGGCATCGCTGAGTCCACCCAGCTCTAATGCATACCTGACCAATGTTCCCTCAAAGGGGAAGAAAATAGTGTGTAACATGTATTTTGTTTGAGTGGTGTTCCAAAAGTCTTATACAATTTATGCAGTCACGCAGCTTAGAAAATATAAGTGGATGGGTGTTGTTCTGACCACATTGTCCATTTATATACTGTCGTCACAGTAACAGATTAACTCTACTTCATCTGCCCTTTTGACTGTCAGGTCCAAAACATTCTTACTTTTACACCCTGTCGTTTTGTTACCCTGTATATTCTGTGATAAGCTGTATATTCTCTGATTAGCTTTATATTCTCTGATAAGTGTATATTCTCTGATAAGATGTATATTCTCTGATAAACTGTATATTCTCTGATAAGTTGTATATTCTCTGATAAACTGTATATTCTCTGATAAGATGTATATTCTCTGATAAACTGTATATTCTCTGATAAGATGTATATTCTCTGATAAACTGTATATTCTCTGATAAGCTGTATATTCTCTGATAAGCTGTATATTCTCTGATAAGCTGTTTATTCTCTGATAAACTGTATATTCTCTGATAAACTGTATATTCTCTGATAAGCTGTATATTCTCTGATAAGCTGTATATTCTCTGATAAGCTGTATATTCTCTGATAAGCTGTATATTCTCTGATAAGCTGTATATTCTCTGATAAGCTGTATATTCTCTGATAAGCTGTATATCCTATGATAAGCTGTATATTCTCTGATAAGCTGTATATTCACTGATAAGCTGTATATATATTCTCTGATAAGCTGTATATTCTCTGATACCCTGTATATTCTCTGATAAACTGTATATTCTCTGATAAGCTGTATATTCTCTGATAAGCTGTATATTCTCTGATAAGCTGTATATTCTCTGATACCCTGTATATTCTCTGATAAGCTGTATATTCTCTGATAAGCTGTATATTCTCTGATAAGATGTATATTCTCTGATAAGATGTATATTCTCTGATAAGATGTATATTCTCTGATAAGCTGTATATTCTCTGATACCCTGTATATTCTCTGATAAGATGTATATTCTCTGATAAGATGTATATTCTCTGATAAGCTGTATATTCTCTGATAAGCTGTATATTCTCTGATAAGCTGTATATTCTCTGATAAGATGTATATTCTCTGATAAGCTGTATATTCTCTGATAAGCTGTATATTCTCTGATAAGATGTATATTCTCTGATAAGCTGTATATTCTCTGATAAGATGTATATTCTCTGATAAGCTGTATATTCTCTGATAAGCTGTATATCCTCCCCAGGACCAACTCCCCCCCCCCCCCCCCGCCACTCTGATAAGCTGTATATCCTCCCCAGGACCAACTCCCCCCCCCCCCCCCGCCACTCTGATAAGCTGTATATCCTCCCCAGGACCAACTCCTCCCTGCCACTGATAAGCTGTATATCCTCCCCAGGACCAACTCCTCCCTGCCACTGATAAGCTGTATATCCTCCCCAGGACCAACTCCTCCCTGCCACTGATAAGCTGTATATCCTCCCCAGGACCAACTCCTCCCTGCCACTGATACCCTGTATATCCTCCCCAGGACCAACTCCTCCCTGCCACTGATAAGCTGTATATCCTCCCCAGGACCAACTCCTCCCTGCCACTGATAAGCTGTATATTCTCCCCAGGACCAACTCCTCCCTGCCACTGATAAGCTGTATATCCTCCCCAGGACCAACTCCTCCCTGCCACTGATAAGCTGTATATCCTCCCCAGGACCAACTCATCCCTGCCACTGATAAGCTGTATATCCTCCCCAGGACCAACTCCCCCCCCCCCCCCCGCCACTCTGATAAGCTGTATATCCTCCCCAGAACCAACTCCCCATCCCCTGCCACTGATAAGCTGTATATCCTCCCCAGGACCAACTCATCCCTGCCACTGATAAGCTGTATATCCTCCCCAGGACCAACTCCCCCCCCCCCCCCCGCCACTCTGATAAGCTGTATATCTTCCCCAGGACCAACTCCTCCCTGCCACTGATACCCTGTATATCCTCCCCAGGACCAACTCATCCCTGCCACTGAGAGAATGGATGTACGAGATCCCCAACGCTTCCATCAACATCAACAAAGCCAGTGTTCTCCTGTGTACCAGAGTCATCTCCTCCTGGCTCAGCCTGAACGAGCCAATCGGCTCTGAGCACACCTTGAATGACTCCCTGCTTGATGACCTGTTCCCTGTGTCAGGTACAATTTTTTAACCCACCTGAAATTTTAAATTTTATTTGAAAGCTGCTACCCTGGCTTGTTTTCAAAGACATTTATGTTGAATTTAAAATAAAATACACTGATTATGCTTTTTCTGAACTTGAAATCATAGCCTACATAAAATGATATACCTCTCTGTAACTTTTGATATTGTCAATTTTAAAACATTTTTTTTAATAATGTAATTTTTGTGTATATTTTACTATATTTTTTGAATTAGAAATTTTTTATGTAACTTTTAAAAAGCCATTGTTGAACAGAGTAAAACTAACAAAATCTATTTTATTTTCAGGGGAGTCAACTCAACAAAACTATCCATTACTAGAACTTGGGTTATCTGGTTTGGAGTTTAAATCCTGTGATAGTGCATTGGTCAATGCATGTGTGGGGAGCCTGTCTCTGCTCCACATTTTTCTCTACACACCTGGTAATTCTTAACAATATCTTTATTTACCTGATAAGTGTCAATCAATTCTTACAACACCTGAACATTTTTTACACATTTTGGATGAACAGAGAAGCAAAAAAGACATAACATGAAACACAGCTGTGATACTTGAATGCTTTTCTTTGTGATTCCTTAACACTGTTTGAAAATTTATATTTTCCAGGTATTGGGGGTAAAATGTCTGTGATTCCTATCCTGTATGGACCCAGTGATACTTCTAAAATATGCAGCCCTGACTTCTTCCATGAAGCAACGCTGGACAAGGCGGAGGTCAGGTGTGACTGTATTACAGCAACATTCCAGAAGCCAAAACATGCAGGGGCCAGTGAAGGTGGGTGTGGTGATATTGTGTGTGGGTGTGTGGGGGTGGGGGAGGCGGAGACTGGTGGACAAGACAGAGGTCAGGTGTGACTGTATTACAGCAACATTACAGAAGCCAAAACATGCAGGGGCCAGTGAAGGTGGGCATTCTTCTGTGTGGGGGTGATGTGTGTGATGTGTGTGGGGGTGGGGGTGGGGGAGGCGGAGATTGGTGGACAGGACGGAGGTCAGGTGTGACTGTATTACAGCAACATTCCAGAAGCCAAAACATGCAGGGGCCAGTGAAAGTGGGCATTCTTCTGTGTTGGTGTGATGTGTGGGTGGGGGGTGGGGGATGACTGGCTTTCTATGTTGAATTAACATATAACACATAATGATTTTAAAGTCTTTCTAAAGCTTTCTCATTTAATTTTTCAACAGCTATGAGCAAGTATTTTTTTTCTTGCCTTTAAATAAAAATCAGAAACTTTACCTTTATATCTTAATAATGTTCAGTAATGTTACAATAACGTTATGTCTTACAACTCCAGTTTTTCATACTAATTATTATAAACACAATTAAAATTTTTCCTTCGTTAGCCCAAGCTCTGGCCCTAGTGGACTGTCAGGGCCTCTGTGTCTGGCTTTTAATTAACACAATTTAAATTTGTCCTTCGTTAGCGCAAGCTCTGGCTCTAGTGGACTGTCAGGGTCTCTGTGTCTGGTTGGACCCAGGATTAATCTCCTGGTTCCACTACTGCCCACAGCCCAGGGTAGGCCTGAAAGCTGAGCCAGTAACAGTAACTCTGGACCTGTCTCTAGCTCAGATGACCTCCCCTTTGAATGCTGTTTCACAAGGTAGACTTTAGAAAAAACAATTTAAAATGGTGATTAACGCTAAGATGGGTAGGACCACTGCCAGGGGATTCAAAGTTTGTTCGTTGAGTGTAATACATGTGCTGATTAACTCTGAATATGGTGCTTCATATTGATCATCTTTCTGTAGAATTTTTCTGTTAATTAAACATGATAATAAACATATTACTAGTAAACTGTTTTTTAAATTAAATAATATTTACTGCATAGTTCTGGTTACTTTAAGAGCTTTATTTTTTTATGCTATTCTATATGTGAAATTAATAAGTTTTCAACATTTTTCCCATGTCAGCCTCCGTACGCTCCACCAGCTCCCCCTCCCACCCTGGTCTAAGTAGACAGCAGACGTCAGTCTCACAGCCTCCCCAAGGGAGACAAACATCGTGCTCAGAGGAGACAGAAGCAGCAGATGTGCAGACTGAATCTCTAGGAAAGTTGTTTGCTTACTACTTCCCCCTCGTCCGCATGCTTCACCTTCAGGTACTTCCCCCATCTTTACACACGTATCACAACAACTGTTTCTCCTGTATCCATGTACACAGTCATGGGTAAACTTTAATTGATATTGTATTCATACCTTGTTAATTTATGGACATTTTTAATTCTATTGACAAACATTTTTAATTCTGATGATGGAAATTTTTTTTAATCTGTTGACAGACATTTTAAATTCTGTTGATTCTTTTGCAATTTGGCAAGGGAAGTAGCGTTGGCCTATTTGAGTGACACATGATGGGAAATATTGTGGCCAACACTATACCCAAATTTCTTTACTTACCCTGAAGTGAGTTAGGTACCCCTAAGGGCTGGGTGGACTCAGGGATGTCATACAGACTCTGCCCGGGATCTGAACTTGAGACTTATGGGTTAGCAGTTGAAGGCTCTACCATTCAACCAGACCATCCCATTTATGCTATTAATGGACATTTTTTATTTCTGTTGGTAGACATTTTTAATTCCTCTGATGGCCATTTTTAATTCCTCTGATGGCCATTTTTAATTCCTCTGATGGCCATTTTTAATTCCTCTGATGGCCATTTTTAATTCCTCTGATGGCCATTTTTAATTCCTCTGATGGCCATTTTTAATTCCTCTGATGGCCATTTTTAATTCCTCTGATGGCCACTTCTGTTTTCTGCCACTGACAGTTGGAACTGAAGCCCTGCGCTGTATTCCTGCCCAAGACTGGGGTGCCCAACTCCGAGTCTAGCTCTGATATACTGACCATCGTCCACCAAGCTCGTCAGGCCGGCCGTCTCTCCGACACACTGGTTCTGTGTGTGCCCACTGTCACAGTGACCAGCACCATGACCAAGCCCATGAGTGTGGCCCAGGAGTTGCCTGTCAGGTCTATACAAGGCTCCCTCATAGGTCAGTTGCTCTCAGTCAGGTAGGTCAGTTTCTCAGTCAGGTCTATACAAGGCTCCCTCATAGGTCAGTATCTCTCAGTCAGGTAGGTCAATGTCTCTCAGGTCCATACAAGGTCCCATTATTGGTCAGTTTTATCTGAGTGCCTGAATTTTAAACCAAATAGCACCAGAGTGCCGCACATTTTTCTGTTTACACAAATGTTGAGCTTACTATTTAAAGTCTTTACTTCTGAAGTTGTTGAATCTGTATTTAAAAAAAAATTAGTTTTTAATTTATTTAAATTATATGGTGCTTGGCTACTTTTGTGGACACCAGTATGGAATTTAATCTTATTTTATTTCTATCACCTGAGCAGTTTTTTTATTGTCTGTTAAAATTCAGTAACTTAACTGTACAGTTTGCTATAAATACACCAACTACTTGCTATAAATACACCAACCACTTGCTATAAATCCACCAACCACTTGCTATAAATCCACCAACCACTTGTTATAAAACAATGTTTGCTTGCTATCAATACACCAACCAGTAGCTATAAATACATCAACCACTTGCTATCAATACACCAACCAGTAACTATAAATACATCAACCACTTGCTATCAATACACCAACCAGTAGCTATAAATACATCAACCACTTGCTATCAATACACCAACCAGTAGCTATAAATACATCAACCACTTGCTATCAATACACCAACCAGTAGCTATAAATACATCAACCACTTGCTATCAATACACCAACCAGTAGCTATCAATACACCAACCTCTTGCTATCAATACACCAACCACTTGCCATTAATACACCAACCACTTGCTATAAATCCACCAACCACTTGCCATAAATACACCACCCACTAGCCATAAATGCCCTATCCACTAGCCATCACTATGTCTGCTTGCTACAATTCAAACACCATCTCTCTGTCAACAGGTGAAAAACTTCCCTGGTCCATTAAAATCAACAACATCTGCGTCTACTCGCTGCTCTCCTCCCGCCCTGACCCCCAGTTCCTGGTCCACCCCATGGACATCGTGTCCACTGTGGCCGTCACCTGCAAGTACAACCCCCCCACCTCGGAGAACATCAGCAACATGGCCATTTGTTTACACGTGGACGTGGGTCAGCCCCAGCTGGACATCACTCCATCTCAGGTAATGAGAGTTTGTAATGTCCTCAAGTAGTAGTAGGACAAGTAAGGACAGTTTGTAATGTCCTAAGTAGTAGTAGGACAAGTAAGGACAGTTTGTAATGTCCTCAAGTAGTAGTAGGACAAGTAAGGACAGTTTGTAATGTCCTCAAGTAGTAGTAGGACAAGTAAGGACAGTTTGTAATGTCCTCAAGTAGTAGTAGGACAAGTAAGGACAGTTTGTAATGTCCTCAAGTAGTAGTAGGATAAGTAAGGACAGTTTGTAATGTCCTCATGTAGTAGGATAAGTAAGGACAGTTTGTAATGTCCTCATGTAGTAGGATAAGCAAGGACAGTTTGTAATGTCCTCAAGTAGTAGCAGGATAAGTAAGGACAGTTTGTAATGTCCTCAAGTAGTAGTAGGACAAGTAAGGACAGTTTGTAATGTCCTCAAGTAGTAGTAGGATAAGTAAGGACAGTTTGTAATGTCCTCAAGTAGTAGTAGGATAAGTAAGGACAGTTTGTAATGTCCTCAAGTAGTAGTAGGATAAGTAAGGACAGTTTGTAATGTCCTCAAATAGTAGTAGGATAAGTAAGGACAGTTTGTAATGTCCTCAAGTAGTAGTAGGATAAGTAAGGACAGTTTGTAATGTCCTCAAGTAGTAGTAGGATAAGTAAGGACAGTTTGTAATGTCCTCAAGTAGTAGTAGGATAAGTAAGGACAGTTTGTAATCTCCTCAAGTAGTAGTAGGATAAGTAAGGACAGTTTGTAATGTCCTCAAGTAGTAGTAGGATAAGTAAGGACAGTTTGTAATCTCCTCAAGTAGTAGTAGGATAAGTAAGGACAGTTTGTAATGTCCTCAAGTAGTAGTAGGATAAGTAAGGACAGTTTGTAATGTCCTCAAGTAGTAGTAGGATAAGTAAGGACAGTTTGTAATCTCCCCAAGTAGTAGTAGGATAAGTAAGGACAGTTTGTAATGTCCTCAAGTAGTAGTGGGATAAGTAAGGACAGTTTGTAATGTCCTTGACCCATTTAACCTAGACGTTTCTCAAGTAAGGACAGTTTGAGCACCAATTGGTCTAATACAGTTCTGGCCTAGACCCATATAATTTAGTGGTTTGTCTTGCAGTTATTTTTACCTTATTGAATAGAGTTCAAATTCATGACTGTGTCAGTATTTGAACTGTCATGACTGTGTCAGTATTTGAACTGTCATGACTGTGTCAGTATTTGAACTGAGATGTCCACCCAGCTCTCAGTCGTGTGACTGTCCTTGTGCTTGTGACTGGACAGTGGCTGAAACAGCAGCTGAGCTTGTGTTGACCATCAGATTAGCCCTCAGTTAGTGTGGGATCACCTGTTTAGTTGAGCAGAAGCAACAAGAAGTTTGCCTGTTTAGTTGAGCAGAAGCAACAAGAAGTTTGCCTGTTTAGTTGAGCAGAAGCAACAAGAAGTTTGCCTGTTTAGTTGAGCAGAAGCAACAAGAAGTTTGCCTGTTTAGTTGAGCAGAAGCAACAAGAAGTTTGCCTGTTTAGTTGAGCAGAAGCAACAAGAAGTTTGCCTGTTTAGTTGAGCAGAAGCAACAAGAAGTTTGCCTGTTTAGTTGAGCAGAAGCAACAAGAAGTTTGCCTGTTTAGTTGAGCAGAAGCAACAAGAAGTTTGCCTGTTTAGTTGAGCAGAAGCAACAAGAAGTTTGCCTGTTTAGTTGAGCAGAAGCAACAAGAAGTTTGCCTGTTTAGTTGAGCAGAAGCAACAAGAAGTTTGCCTGTTTAGTTGAGCAGAAGCAACAAGTTGTTCACCTGTTTAGTTGAGCCGAAGCAACAAGAAGTTCACCTGTTTAGTTGAGCAGAAGCAACAAGTTGTTCACCTGTTTAGTTGAGCAGAAGCAACAAGTTGTTCACCTGTTTAGTTGAGCCGAAGCAACAAGAAGTTCACCTGTTTAGTTGAGCAGAAGTAACAAGAGGTTCACCTGTTTAGTTGAGCCGAAGCAACAAGAAGTTCACCTGTTTAGTTGAGCAGAAGCAACAAGAGGTTCACCTGTAACTGTCTTCACCAGCTCCACCTGTAACTGTCTTCACCAGCTCCACCTGTAACTGTCTTCACCAGCTCCACCTGTAACTGTCTTCACCAGCTCCACCTGTAACTGTCTTCCCCAGCTCCACCTGTAACTGTCTTCACCAGCTCCACCTGTAACTGTCTTCACCAGCTCCACCTGTAACTGTCTTCACCAGCTCCACCTGTAACTGTCTTCACCAGCTCCACCTGTAACTGTCTTCACCAGCTCCACCTGTAACTGTCTTCACCAGCTCCACCTGTAACTGTCTTCACCAGCTCCACCTGTAACTGTCTTCACCAGCTCCACCTGTAACTGTCTTCACCAGCTCCACCTGTAACTGTCTTCACCAGCTCCACCTGTAACTGTCTTCACCAGCTCCACCTGTAACTGTCTTCACCAGCTCCACCTGTAACTGTCTTCACCAGCTCCACCTGTAACTGTCTTCACCAGCTCCACCTGTAACTGTCTTCACCAGCTCCACCTGTAACTGTCTTCACCAGCTCCACCTGTAACTGTCTTCACCAGCTCCACCTGTAACTGTCTTCACCAGCTTCACCTGTGTACCACTGTGTTTGAGATGGTGGCCAATGTTGTCAGCAACACAGACAAACTGCTCAGCGACTGCCTCAAGCTGTTTGCATCAAAAGGTCACCAGCTGCTGCCCTCTGCCAAGCCTAGCCACTCCCTCAAGAAGTCGAGCTCTTCAGTCCATAAGATAGAAAGTGTTCGATCAGGTAACAGAACATTTTTGTATTTATATCTTTAGATTGTTTGTGAGGATGTACAGCAGTTTACACATGCTAATAATAAATATTGTACTTGACATATTTTTACATGTCTCATTACTTTTAGAATATCTTTAAATTTGTTGAAATGGAACATTGCCATAAAAGTCAATTTGTATTTGTACTCTAACTGTAGCTGTGACACTTTACTTATTTTTGAGGGTCATCCTTAAATTATGTCATGCTGTTTAAAAGTATTTTTACCAAGCCCTCTACCTCTCCCCTCCACCAGACTCCACTTAAAATGACATCATACCTCAGATTAATACTCCCTATAAAATTGCAGTTTTTATATTTTAAAACAAAATTCCTTGCTAGAATATTTATGGATCTATGTCAACACTGAATATATTGATGGATTTATATTGTAATTTATTACAAAAATAACTTCTTTCAATTCAGTTTCTAGGCATTGCCTTGTAAAGTGTATTACCCACCCCCTCCCCCAGCCATCCCCTTGTAATGTGTATTTCTCTCCCCCCCCCCCCCCCACCCCCTCACCCCAACCTTCCCCTTGTCAAGTGTATTACCACCTTCTCTAAACTTGTTGTGTAGCTGAGGTGACAGAAAACCCTGGGACAGAAATGTCAGAAGACTTTTCCCATGAAGGGAGCCCACTGCATGAGAACATCATAGAGGACAAGCTCGATGTGGGGGTCAAGCTGTCGCTATGGTTACAGCTGATGTTTCCACGGTTACAGTTTACTCTCTACAGCACATGTCCACTTACTCACAGAGGTCAGTTCAATGTCCATTTACACACAGAGGTCAGTTCAATGTCCATTTTACTCACAGCGGTCAGTTAAATGTCTATTTACAAGTGTTGATTAATTATCCAGTTACACATGTGAAATAATTATCAAACTTCTTTTGGGCTAAGATCATATGTTCACTTATAATATAACTACAATTCACTTATTACAATCATAAAATTCATTAAATTCACAGACTTAAAAAAATGAAATTAACCAGAATGATTATTGTTAAATTTCAGAACAAGGCCTTCTTTTTGTTCTGGAACATTTTGACCTGTCCATGGACTCTCAGAGTGTTTACAGCAAGGCCAAGGTCACTCTTGGGTCTGTGAGTGTCCAGCATTCAGTCAAAAGGTGAGGCTAGTAGCATCAGTGTTAGAAATAAGAATATGGGTTAGGATCAGTGCTACTGTTTTGTTAGGGTTAGGGGCCAATCTAGCTATGAAAAGACCCACCAACATTACTTTTTTCCTTTAATAGACAGGACATAATAAATACCACAGATGTAACTCATCTCTTCACACCAAACCTAACAGTTGTAACAAGTGATTGTTTTATTTACCCATCTCTTCACACCAAACCAAACAGTTGTAACAAGTGATTGTTTTATTTACTCAGCCCTTCACACCAAACCAAACAGTTGTAACAAGTGATTGTTTTATTTACCCATCACTTCACACCAAACCAAACAGTTGTAACAAGTGATTGTTTTATTTACCCATCTCTTCACACCCAACCAAACAGTTGTAACAAGTGATTGTTTTATTTACCCATCTCTTCACACCCAACCAAACAGTTGTAACAAGTGATTGTTTTATTTACCCATCTCTTCACACCCAACCAAACAGTTGTAACAAGTGATTGTTTTATTTACCCATCTCTTCACACCCAACCAAACAGTTGTAACAAGTGATTGTTATATTTCCCCAGCGCTGATGGCACCTGGAACTGGACTGACCCAGACGGCATTGTCCTGTCCTTCACGCGCCAGCTGCCCGCCAACCTCCACCTGGTCAGCAACAAGCTGTGGGCCTCAGACACCGCCGCGGTCGGCACCCAGCCCCACGACCCCGCCAATAAGGACAAGAAACATGGCGTCCTCTCCGTCACACTGACCAGAGCCCTGTGTAAGAACGTCAAGAAACGCCTGCGGAAAGCCAACGTTGAGTTACCCAGCGTCACTGAGGTAGACCTAACAGAGCCATCTCTTACCGAGAACACGTCCAGCTTGAAGCTGGAGAACATTGACTTCTGCTACCACCAGTACTTGTCAGAGATCTGCGTCAAGGCGGAGCCGTTTGATGTTGTCTTAAAACAGGAAGTCATGCTGCTGGTTGCCAACCTGTTCTCTGGACTATCAAAGGGAGAGAAGCGTGACAACAGGAGACAACCCAGCCCGGTCAAGCCTGACTTCCCCACCCACCCAGCAGGCACTAGCAGCAAGTACGCAAGTGTCCACAATCTGCCGCTGGTGTACGCCGACCTTGGGGTGATCAGAGTGTTCGTACCCTGCTCAAACACCCCCCCTGCTACACCACCCCCACCCACCCCGGCAGACCAGTCCGGCACAACTCCACCTAATGACTCAGCTGATTCTGTGTACATAGACATAGACAGTGCTGGGCTGGGAGGTCAAAGTTCAGATGACCCCACCCAGAGTAGAGCGGCACCAAAGTTGACTGGCAAGAAGCGTGTGGGTGTGGTGGGGGAGACGAGCTCCACACTGAACCACAACATGCTGGTGCTACAGATCCAGAGCTGTCTGCTACAGCCACATGCTGACAACCCACTGCCCAGGTGAGTCAAACCCACTGCCCAGGTGAGTCAAACCCACTGCCCAGGTGAGTCAAACCCACTGCCCAGGTGAGTCACCTTCCTTGTCTAGAACCCAATGCGCAGGTGAGTAAAAAAAAACATGTGATTTAATTTATTTACTTCCAAACTAAGCCTCACAAAAGTTTATTGAAAATTAGTCCATGAAATAGTAAAATTGAAAATGTGGATGTTAAGCCTGATTTTGGGACTAAAGAGTTAGGGTTATTTTGTGTGGCAGGAATGTTAAGCAGGCCTAGCTGTAGCAATAGTAGCATGCAGGAATAAAAATTGTAATCCCATGTGTTGATTTTTGCCATCAAAATAGCACCAAAGCACAAAGCTCCATACTACAAAACCACCACCTATCACCACAATGTGGCCCACATCCTCACCATCACATCACTAATTCAACACCTCCCCCCCCCCCTACAGACCCCCCCACTAACCTCTGACCTCTAACACAGGACAGCCCAGGAGAAAGAAGTTTACCTGTATGCTGTCCAGTCAGGCCTGACCCACCAGCCAGGGTCTGTCATAGAGGACAGACAGTACCAGCTGGATGTCAAGGGAGTCTCTTGTTCCTCAGGTTAGCTGCTCTTTAATTCTCTTGTTCCTCAGATTAGCTGCTCTTTAATTCTTACTTGTTCCTCAGATTAGCTGCTCTTTAATTCTCTTGTTCCTCAGGTTTGCTGCTCTTTAATTCTTACTTGTTTGAAACTGCTTGGGAAAGATTTAGCTTAAATTTGATAATTTTTTGTACTATTGTTTGGAAGAATGCTCTACAAATAGTTAAAATAATTGAATACAATAATTACAATTAGTTAAAAAAATGTTGATACCCTTTCTAAACCTGATGGCCAATAGAGGTCAATTTTTCTGTGGCCTCATCAAATGAAGGGATAGAGTGGTCAGTTCTAGTCAGGAATGTCCAATAGGTACCCTTTAGAGCTGGGTTTACTCAGGAATGTCCTACTGTTGGGTACCATTCAAAGCTGGGTTGACTCAGGAATGTCCTATAGGCTCAATCAGAATAGAACTCTAGACTATTGAATTAGTTGTCAAATGCTCTACCACAATTGGTTGCACTCATTCAGTGGCCTAGTGGTAGAGAGCTGGACTGCTAACCTGTTAGTCTCAAGTTCAAATCCGGGTTCAACTTAGTAGACCGTCCCTGAGTCCACCCAACTCTGATAGGTACCTAACTCACTTTAGGGAAAGTAAAGGTAGCTGGGCACAGTGCTGACTACACTATCTCTTCATATGCCGAGGTCACAGAAACAAGTGAACTCTACTTCAGTTGCCCTGTAGACCGTCAGGTTTGAAAGAAAACTTTACATTCACATTTTGTTCCCAACTTGCAGGAGTGTGGGAGGATCTGGTGAATGAGGTCAGGCAGGGCAAGCTGCAGAAACCTGCCACAGGTTCCATGGTCCAGTTCCCTGCGCTGGAGTGGAACACCTTCTTGATGGACAGGTAATGTTTGAAACATCTCGTACACTCACAGTTCCCTGTAGTTTTAAAGTGGGCTACATTGTAAAATGTATTTGTTGTGTTGGTATCATCCACTGTAAAATGTATATGTTGTTTTGTTAGTTACTGGTTTGGTGAATGACCTTAGAGTTTGTTGAAACTTGTTTTACAATGTTGACAGTGTATCCCAGAAAAACAAGGACATCAGGCTTGTTCCCCTTGCTGCCCCATGTGACTTCTGCCTGGTGGTGGCGCCACCCATCACCTACACACCCCAGTGTGAGGAGCAAGACTTGGCTAGAAGTGTAAGTGGCTTGGTACCTCTTGTCTCCAGTGTTGAGCTAACTTTCATTTCAAATTGAATTTTATCAGACATGATCAGTTACATACAGTAGATGAACATTTAAATTTGCAAATAGAAATATATTTCTTCTATATAGCAGTTATTTGCAAAGCTTGAAGACAAGGAAATTGTATCTTTACACTTCTTAATTTTACAAATTATGATTTTTTTTCTGTAAAAATAAATAAAACTGCACAACACTACATCTGTACTTGTGTAACCTTGAACTTTGACCTTTGAATACCAGACCAAGCTAATCTGCGGCTACACAGCTGAGCTCAACGTCACCTCTGACCTTGACCTCTACATCAGCACCAATCAGATCCAGCTCCTCTCCGAGGTCACTGCCCAGTTCACCAAAAGCCTGTCCAGCCGCCCAGACCTTGCAGCCTCCCAAACTCTGACCGCCTCCCCCTCCCCCCTGCTCCATCGTGAGGCGAAGAAGACACGCCTCCAGCAGGTGGAGGCTGCAGTGGACAGTGGTGTGGAGAGTGACCTTTCAACCCTGACCCTTGACCGAGGTCAGCTAGCACCAGCCGTCCAGCACCTGCTGGTCCCTGGGGTGCAGAAGACAGAGGCCCAGAGAGGGCTGACCGAGGCCCACCACCACGATGTGGTGACCAGGGGTGGGTCACCACCTGCCATGGTCCCTGTGGATGTCCTGGTCACTGCTAGCAGGATATCCTGCACCGTCTACACACATAAGGTATCCAACTCTTCACTAGAAAATATAATTAATTAAACAAGCCTACACTGTACTACTCCTACCACTCCTAACTTTACTGTTTGGTTTTACATATTTTAATGCCCTGATCAAGTAATTTCTCTCATCCTTAAAGTTATTGTTTTTTAATTAAAGATTTTTATTAAACTTTTAACTTTCAACTTATTTAGGCCAATAACTTTAAAACTTTTATTAGTAAGTGTTTAATTTTTATTTATTTTTAACACGTGTACCTAATGAATGTTTTGCATTAGTAATGGATTTCAATTTTAAAACAGATACTAGAGGAAAGTGTTACTTTAGAAATGCCATTGTTTAGAGAAAACCAATCCCAACCTGCAAGGGAAGAAAAGTCTGATGTAAGGGACTGCACTCCAGACAACCTAGAAGTTATTTTAAGAAAGGGGGTCAAGGACACAAACATGGTTGAAGTTGAGGGCAGTAGAAGAGAAAGTGAAACAGGGAGCAGTGAACATCATGCTGAGATCACTGAGGAGACTAAAGTGAGTTGAAACTGTGCTGACATTTTTATATGCCAAATTTTTTTGAGTTTTTCCAGAAATTTATAGCAGCAGTAAAATAAAAATAAAGTAAATTGTTAATTTGTATTATGTAAGGAGATTTATTTTTTAAAACTTACGTTTTTTTCATTCAACTTAATCTTTATATGGTTCACTTTAATGTGTCCATTCCCCTTTCTAAAATCATAAATCTTAAACAGCAAATCAAAGAATTACTTAAAATAATGTCCCATTAAAAGAAAATAAACTAGTTTTGATTGGAACCTCTCTGTTTCTCCCCTGAAGTCCTATTATGAAGACAGTATAAGGAAGATTATCCCTGAGGGCAGTGCATGTATCATTCCATTTGCCTATGTGTACATCACACAACCCCATTGCCTGCTGGCAAGTCACAGCGCCAGGGAGCTGAGGCTTGAAGGATCCTGCTATGATGTTCTTGTTAAAGGGGCTTCAGACAAACATGTTTCACCCAGTGAGTGGCCAGATTTTTATACATTTTCAACCATAGTTTTATTTTTAACCTGCATAATAATAAAATGCACTATTTTTTCACAATGAATTAACACATCAATAGATGAGAGTACTGTGTTAACTCCATTAAAAGCCGCCTTGTGGATTAGAAATAAATTCATTCTTTTCAAACTGAACTGCTTGTAGAAATTGAAACTGTCTAAATCAAGACTATGCCAACAAATGGAAGACCTGGAGATAATCCCACACCATCCCAGATATTGATATAGCCAGTCAAGATTTGTTTGTTGTAAACTCTCCCCACACCATCCCAGATATTGCTATAGCCAGTCAAGATTTGTTTGTTGTAAACTCTCCCCACACCATCCCAGATATTGCTATAGCCAGTCAAGATTTGTTTGTTGTAAACTCTCCCCACACCATCCCAGATATTGCTATAGCCAGTCAAGATTTGTTTGTTGTAAACTCTCCCCACACCATCCCAGATATTGCTATAGCCAGTCAAGATTTGTTTGTTGTAAACTCTCCCCACACCATCCCAGATATTGCTATAGCCAGTCAAGATTTGTTTGTTGTAAACTCTCCCCACACCATCCCAGATATTGATATACTCAGTCAAGATTTGCCTGTTGTAAACTCTCCCCACAGTTGATGAGTACCACACCATCCCAGACTGTACAGACTTCAACGTCCATTGGCTGGAGACCAGACCTGGTCAGCCCCACCCTTACACTGGCATCCCCCCCTCCCTGCTGACAGTCAGGTTCACCAAAGATTCTTCCAATCCTGGTTGGTTTATGTTTTGTTCATTTGTGACTCCTAGCCTTACTTCAGCTGTTTTGTTCACTAATAGAATGTCCTACAAGACACATCTAACTTAGACTAAAAAAATGTCCTACCTGTATAAGCAACATTTAGACTAAAAAAATGTCCTACCGTATAAGCATGTCCTATCAACTGTCCACCAGACACTGTGAGCATACAGATAGAGCGCCCCCTGTGTGTGAAGGTGAGTCAGCTGGCTGTGGAACAAATCTCATCTTTCACCTCCCAACTCCTGGACATGCTGGCACACGGTGTGGGGGAGATGAAGCCAGAACCCAGGGGAGCTGAGGTCAAGGTCAGCCAGACCAGGCAGCAATCAGGTGAGTGTCAGGTGGTGACAGTTAAACAAAAGTGTGTCCTGCACTTATGTGACACATTTTTTAAAATGGGTATCCACCTGTGAAATCTCATTTGCTATTGAGACTAAATTTGACATTTTGATTTTGAACTAGAAGTGAAAACTTTTTTAAAAAGTAGCGTCTATCTCAGAGCCAGAAGCATCAGCTTTATATGCTGTTACTGAAACTTGTTGTCACTCAATTACAAAATGTCTTTCATGAAGAGTTTAAAGCAAAATGTTTTCCAGGTGTGTTGAGTCTAGCTGAAAGGTTTAAAACAAAATGTTTTCCAGGTGTGTTGAGTCTAGCTGAAAGGTTTAAAACAAAATATTTTTCCAGGTGTGTTGAGCCTAGCTGAAAGGTTTAAAGCAAAATATTTTTCCAGGTGTGTTGAGCCTAGCTGAAAGGTTTAAAGAAAAATGTTTCTGAAAGGTTTAAAGAAAAATTTTTTCCAGGTGTGTTGAGTCTAGCTGAAAGGTTTAAAGCAAAATATTTTTCCAGGTGTGTTGAGTCTAGCTGAAAGGTTTAAAACAAAATATTTTCCAGGTGTGTTGAGTCTAGCTGAAAGGTTTAAAACAAAATATTTTTCCAGGTGTGTTGAGTCTAGCTGAAAGGTTTAAAGCAAAATATTTTCCAGGTGTGTTGAGTCTAGCTGAAAGGTTTAAAGCAAAATATTTTTCCAGGTGTGTTGAGTCTAGCTGAAAGGTTTAAAACAAAATATTTTCCAGGTGTGTTGAGTCTAGCTGAAAGGTTTAAAACAAAATATTTTTCCAGGTGTGTTGAGTCTAGCTGAAAGGTTTAAAACAAAATATTTTCCAGGTGTGTTGAGTCTAGCTGAAAGGTTTAAAGCAAAATATTTTTCCAGGTGTGTTGAGTCTAGCTGAAAGGTTTAAAACAAAATATTTTCCAGGTGTGTTGAGCCTAGCTGAAAGGTTTAAAGAAAAAATTTTCTGAAAGGTTTAAAGCAAAATATTTTTCCAGGTGTGTTGAGCCTAGCTGAAAGGTTTAAAGCAAAATATTTTTCCAAGTGTGTTGAGTCTAGCTGAAAGGTTTAAAACAAAATATTTTTCCAGGTGTGTTGAGCCTAGCTGAAAGGTTTGAGCTCAGGTCTGCCCAGTTGGTTGTTGTTGTGGAGATGGGGGACAGTGTGGGGGTCACTGGGTCCGTGGAGGGCATGACCCTAGAAGCAGACGTCAGAAAACTGACATCTGGTAAGGTCAAGCTCTTTGTATATCTCTACAGGAACCATTTAAATGTCAGCCTGCATCAAAACAATAATTTTATAAGTAAAATTATCAGTGGTTATTTACTATTTCTCAACTCATTTTTAATACTTTACTGTATTAGAAAGCTACAAACAACAAAATAGGCAAATTAAGTTTTCAAAGATCAATTAATTACTACCCCACTAATTTAGAAAATTAAATGTATTAAATATTATTATTAAATATTAATTTTTTTCGTTTTAAAGTTGGGAATATTTCTAGATTTCTGTTTAAAAGTTTGAGTTTGTTTTAAATATAAAGGTTTATCCTTTTTTATGTTTGTTTTCCCCCAAATGTTCAGATGATCACCCTTCCTTTGATGGTCATCTCCAACTCAAGGACATCTTGGTCAAGACAAGTTATGAGAGAAAGTCCAGACAAGTCGTCGGCCCATTTTCTCTCAACTCAGACGCAGTTCTCACCTGGGTACCAACTGGCAGAGACCACTTTTTCCCTCAGGTAAGTTGCCAGTCAGGGTTGTACCAGTACATGAACTCTTCCCAGGTAAGTTGCCAGTTAGGATAGTACCTGGACATGACTTTTTCCCAGGTAAGTTGCCAGTTAGGATAGTACCTGGACATGACTTCTTCCTCAGGTAAGTTGCCAGTTAGGATAGTACCTGGACATGTAACGGACACCAATCTATCAGCCAGATAGATGGCGAACGCTCCCGGATTCGTTTAACTGATTACACACAGATGGCGACTAGCCTAAATAAAAGAAAGTTAACACACTAGTTCGCTAGGACTCGTAATTGATGTCTAGGGGAAACACTAGAGAAACTACTGATGCCAACAATACCTTTAATCTGCATATAACTTGCAATGAGTGTACAAAGTCGTGGCAGAACACTAGATTTATACAAGAATAAAATGAATTTACAGAATGAACAAAACCCAACTTACAATTCGTGGGAAAAAATAGTATGATACACTATCACAGCTTTTAACACTTCAGAAAAATCACCACAGTATACACAACACTGCTATAAGCATAAAGAATTACTTAACCACAATTAATATAATAATATGCTACTTAAACAACTTAGTACTACGCGGCAACACACAGGGCTTATGTCTCTTCAACGACGTCTGATCAATGAACTGCCTCGAGACACCTGTGGGCAGTCTATTTATAGACTTAGGCAACATGGAAGGTCACCTTCAAATCATAAGGCCATTGGTTGGGGTGGTCATCTGGTCTGAATCAATCAATCATCTCTTGATGGAAAATTTCTGAGTCTAAGACTCTCTTAGTAAGACAGCGGAAAAAACCGGTCATTGCACCACAGACCATATATGGTATTATAACAAATGTAAAAATAAAACATTACTAGACCTAAGTAGGTCACAGACATGACTTTTTCCCAGGTAAGTTGCCAGTTAGGATAGTACCTGGACATGACTTCTTCCTCAGGTAAGTTGCCAGTTAGGATAGTACCTGGACATGACTTTTTCCCAGGTAAGTTGCCAGTTAGGATAGTACCTGGACATGACTTTTTCCCAGGTAAGTTGCCAGTTAGGATAGTACCTGGACATGACTTCTTCCTCAGGTAAGTTGCCAGTTAGGATAGTACCTGGACATGACTTTTTCCCAGGTAAGTTGCCAGTTAGGATAGTACCTGGACATGACTTCTTCCTCAGGTAAGTTGCCAGTTAGGATAGTACCTGGACATGACTTTTTCCCAGGTAAGTTGCCAGTTAGGATAGTACCTGGACATGACTTCTTCCTCAGTTAAGTTGCCAGTTAGGATAGTACCTGGACATGACTTTTTCCCAGGTAAGTTGCCAGTCAGGGTTGTACCAGTACATGAACTCTTCCCCAGGTAAGTTGCCAGTCAGGGTTGTACCTGGACAGGACTTTTTCCTCAGGTAAGTTGCCAGTTAGGATAGTACCTGGACATGACTTTTTCCAAAGTAAGTTGCCAGTTAGGATAGTACCTGGACACAGTTTTTCCTTAGACCAGTTACCCTGTAGATTAACTGGACACTGGTAAAAAATTCTTCTATTTGTTCATCATTATAAAAACATTACTGCTAAAACTTTTATCTTTTTACATGTTTGTTGAAAAAATATCATTTACAAGTCTCTATACTAGTTAGGCCTACTTCCATGTTAGATTATATAAGATCGTATTTTATTTTTTCTTGAACGTTGCCAGGTACTTTTTGTTGTGGAAACCAATTTGATACTTGCCACATTTGGCCAGGAGCATTTATTTTGCATCAATGAGTTCATCCAACAAGTCAACAAATTAACACAGGTAACTAAGATTTTATCAGCAGTTTTCTTTGAGGGCAGGTCTAATCAAAGAATTGCTTTAAGCTTCAAATATCGATGTATAACTTTAAAATTTTCTTTTTAACTTATAACAGGTGTTGGAAATTTAAATCACCCTTCAAAATTTAAAAAAATAATTTTTTTTAAGAAATGGACAATATATGCTTTAGGTAGAATAATTTCCTACACACATATTACACCAAAATTATTTTACACCTCCAGAAACTGATTGGCAGCAACAATGCGATGAAATCCAAAGAACAAGCTGCAGACACCAAATTGCAAAAAGTTGCTCCATATTTTGTACAGGACAGAAGTCATGATGACCTCCGAAGTGGGGGGTTTCAGTTCATAGAAGGGCCAGGTACAGCCATTCTTTTCTTTTTTTTATCAACTCTTTGTACTGCTTTACATACAGCTACTGTCTACTTTCTTATCAACTATTTGTACTGCTTTACACACAGCTACTGTCTACTTTCTTATCAACTATTTGTACTGCTTTACATACAGCTACTGTCTAATTTCTTGTCAACTATTTGTACTGCATTACATACAGCTACTGTCTACTTTCTTATCAACTATTTGTACTGCTTCACACAAAGCTACTGTCTACTTTCTTATCAACTATTTGTACTGCATTACATACAGCTACTGTCTACTTTCTTGTCAACTATTTGTACTGCTTCACACACAGCTACTGTCTAATTTCTTATCAACTATTTGTACTGCTTTTCACACACACAGCCAATGTCTACTTTCTTATCAACTATTTGTACTGCTTTACACACAGCTACTGTCTACTTTCTTGTCAAATATTTGTACTGCATTACATACAGCTACTGTCTACTTTCTTATCAACATTTTGTCATTGTTTGTTATATACATTTTTAGCACAGACAATTCATCTTTTCTACCATTTTGTCATGTCCATATTTCTCCATGCACAGACAACTCCTCAGTTCTGCCATTTTGTCATGTCCATATTTTTCCCTGCACAGACAACTCCTCAGTTCCGCCATTTTGTCATGTCCATATTTTTCCCTGCACAGACAACTCCTCAGTTCCGCCATTTTGTCATGTCCATATTTCTCCATGCACAGACAACTCCTCAGTTCTGCCATTTTGTCATGTCCATATTTTTCCATGCACAGACAACTCTTCAGTTCTGCCATTTTGTCATGTCCATATTTTTCCATGCACAGACAACTCAGTTCTGCCATTTTGTCATGTCCATATTTTTCCATGCACAGACAACTCCTCAGTTCTGCCATTTTGTCATGTCCATATTTTTCCATGCACAGACAACTCCTCAGTTCTGCCATTTTGTCATGTCCATATTTTTCCATGCACAGACAACTCTTCAGTTCTGCCATTTTGTCATGTCCATATTTTTCCATGCACAGACAACTCAGTTCTGCCATTTTGTCATGTCCATATTTTTCCATGCACAGACAACTCCTCAGTTCTGCCATTTTGTCATGTCCATATTTTTCCATGCACAGACAACTCTTCAGTTCTGCCATTTTGTCATGTCCATATTTTTCCATGCACAGACAGCTCCTCAGTTCTGCCATTTTGTCATGTCCATATTTCTCCATGCACAGACAACTCCTCAGTTCTGCCATTTTGTCATGTCCATATTTTTCCCTTCACAGAGAACTCCTCAGTTCTACCATTTTGTCATGTCCATATTTCTCCATGCACAGACAACTCCTCAGTTCTACCATTTTGTCATGTCCATATTTCTCCATGCACAGACAACTCCTCAGTTCTACCATTTTGTCATGTCCATATTTGTCCATGCACAGACAACTCAGTTCTGCCATTTTGTCATGTCCATATTTTTCCATGCACAGACAACTCCTCAGTTCTGCCATTTTGTCATGTCCATATTTGTCCATGCACAGACAACTCAGTTCTGCCATTTTGTCATGTCCATATTTTTCCATGCACAGACAACTCCTCAGTTCTGCCATTTTGTCATGTCCATATTTCTCCATGCACAGACAACTCCTCAGTTCTGCCATTTTGTCATGTCCATATTTTTCCATGCACAGACAACTCAGTTCTGCCATTTTGTCATGTCCATATTTGTCCATGCACAGACAACTCCTCAGTTCTGCCATTTTGTCATGTCCATATTTGTCCATGCACAGACAACTCCTCAGTTCTGCCATTTTGTCATGTCCATATTTGTCCATGCACAGACAACTCAGTTCTGCCATTTTGTCATGTCCATATTTTTCCATGCACAGACAACTCAGTTCTGCCATTTTGTCATGTCCATATTTCTCCATGCACAGACAACTCCTAAGTTCTGCCATTTTGTCATGTCCATATTTGTCCATGCACAGACAACTCAGTTCTGCCATTTTGTCATGTCCATATTTTTCCATTGTAACGTCCCCTATCTATCAGCCAAATAGACGGTGAACGTCCCCGGATTCTTTTTTCGGGGTCATATGCAAATGCCTTACGGCCTAAGTGGATGAACACTAACACAACGGCACACTAGGGCTCGAATTCAATGTCTAGGGTAAACTAGTGATACTATTGTAATTAACACTCATCCAATCTACATACAACTTTAATCAGCGAACACAGTTGTGGCAAAACACAAGGTTGAACTAGTTAAAATATTTAATGTATAAAATATCAAAACACAACTTACAAAATGTAGGAAAAACACTATCACAGATTTCTACACTGTCTAAATAACTACAGGCCACACAACACTGCTATAGCTTCTAGAATAACTCAGCGACGAGTAATATTATACTAGAAGCCTAAATCAACTTAAGAAAGCAAGGCACACACAGGACTTAAGTTCTCTCACGTTCAAATGGTCAGAGTCTATAGCCGGACAATATGGACGGCTGCCTGATCAAGGTAAAATCGCACTGTAGACTGCCTCGTGTTGCGAGTGTGCGGGGCAATTAAAGACTTCTGCAACAGGGGAGATTATCCTCAACTCATGTAGCCATTGGTTGGGATGGTCATCTGATTAGAATCATTCAATCAGATCTTAATGGAAAATTTCTATGTCTTAGACCCCTTAATAAGTCAGTGGAAATTTTCCGGTTGTTGCACAATCACTCCATATAAGGTATTATACAATGTCAAAATAAAAATAGAACCTGACTCGACCTAAGTAGGTCACATCCCCTCCCTTTTTGGAAGTGACAGATAGGTTCCACAAAAACATACATAAGGAACCAATCTGGCAATGAAATAAAAAAAATGTTTTACAAATGTAGGCAATCAAAATCATAATACCAGATGAAAATATCCCTGAACATAAAAGGGAAGTAACTCCAACTTTTACAATTGGTAAAAGGGAAGTAACCCTTCAAAAAGTAATTATACATCAAAATCCCTCAAAAAAGGGTATTACAATTTTTCCATGAGGATATTAAAGTGGTAAACCCGCCAGGTTAAGACCTTTATTTCAATGACTAGCTACAATATCAATTGAGTCATATGAGACATATTATTATAAAAGATTACATAGAATCAAAAACCACCTTTAATTAAGGTTCACCTGAAAATAAACAAAATGTTCAACAGGTTTGGAATTTTGAAAAAATCAAAAATCATACCACTCATTTTCATGTGAGAACACAACACTTGTGTATGGTCTTAATAAACCACAAAACATGTCACATGATTAATGTGTGCAATAAGATTTTACATCCTTGACAAACAATCAGCCACAACATTATCACTACCCTTAATGTGTGAAATTTCCAGATTAAAATTTTGGAAATATAAGCACCACCTCAATATTCTTTGATTTGTCTGTCCTAACTTAGAGGTAAATTTCAGGGGATCATGGTCAGAAAACACTCTGACTGGATTGGCTGAAGAAGAGACATAGACTTCAAAATGTTGTAATGACAAAACCAAAGCTAAAGCCTCTTTTTCAATAGTAGAATAATTCTTTTGGTTTTCATTTAACTTCCTGGAAAAAAAGGCAATGGGATGGTCAATTCCCATGTTGTCTTCTTGAAATAGGACTGAGCCAATGGCTAAGTTGCTAGCATCAATGGCAAGTTTAAAGGGCTTGCTGAAATTTGGTGCAGCCATAACAGGAGCATTAGATAGAAATGACTTAATGGTAAAAAAAGCTTCTTGACATTTATCTGACCATTCAAACTCAACACCCTTTTTCAATAATGCAGTAAGAGGTTCAGCAATAGCTGAAAAGTTTTGACAGAACCGTCTATAGTAACCAGCCATCCCAAGGAACTTTTTGATTTCTTTACAATTTTTGGGAGGTGGTAACCTTACAATAGCATCTACTTTAGCTTCAATGGGCCGAACTTGGTTCGTTCCCACTTGATAACCCAAATAGGTAATTGAAGCTTTACAGAAATCACTTTTATGTAAGTTTACAGTAAAATTCACTTCAGACAATTTTCTAAAAAGGTTAGTCAACTGAACAATATGTTCTTCAAAAGTATTAGAAAATACAACTGTATCATCTATGTAGGCCTCACATGGGTCTATGTCAGCAATGACAGAGTTAATGACTCTCTGGAAAGTTTGACCAGCATTTCGCATACCAAAGGGCATACGTTTGTATCTATAAAAACCATTAGGGGTTACAAAAGCAGATATTTCTTTTGCACGGTCAGATAAGGGGATTTGCCAGTATCCTGAAAGTAAATCAATTTTGGAAATTATCTTAGCCTGACCAACTTTATCAATAACGTCCTCTATCCGAGGTAATGGATAGGAATCAGCTTTGGTGAGCGCATTTACCTTCCTAAAGTCGGTCACAAACCTGAAAGATCCACCGTCTTTCGGGACTAGGAGACATGGGGAACTCCAGTTGCTGAAACTGGGCTCAATGATATCATTCTTGAGCATATAGTCAATTTCATCCTTTATCAAAGCAGCTTTTTCCGGGTTAACTCTATAGGGGTGTTGTTTAATGGGTTTTGCGTCACCTACGTCTACATCATGAGGTGGAACCTTCGCTTCTTTGGGGACATCCCCAAAAATCGAGGGAAATGTCTCAAATAACTGAGACAATCTCTGGTTTTTCTCTGTGGACAAGTGCATAAGGTGGACATTCAAATTATCTAAAAAGGAAGAATTTACCAATTTTGGGGGTTTCAATTTATCATGTATCACATCATCAGAAACATTTGAACATACAGGTAAAGTAATTTTAGCTGTGGAATGAAAATTGTTACAATTATCATAATACTTTTTCAGTGAGTTAACATGATACACTGTCTGTTTCTTTCTTCTGTCGGGTGTATTGACAACATAGTTCAAATCACTTAATTTTGAATGCACAGTAAAGGGTCCACCATATCTCAAGGATAACGCATTGTTCAGATTAGGCACTAGCACAAGAACTTTGTCGCCTGGATTGAATGTTCGTTTACGAGAACTCTTATCATACAGTCCTTTCATTCTCACTTGGGCCTTTCTTAAGTTCTTGTGAGCCATTTCGCACACGGCTTTCAGTCGAACGTGAAAATCGTCAAAGTTTTCCACAGGATGATCACTGGTACCTGTCCAACGTTCGTGTATCAGCTTCAGGGGGCCACGGACAGAATGTCCAAACACAAGTTGAAAAGGCGAGTAGCCTAAAGAGTCCTGGACACAGTCCCTCGCGGCGAAAATAATCCAAGGAACAGACTCATCCCATTGGGTGTTACTATTAGCGAACGTTCTTAACATGGTTTTGAGGGTTTGGTGGAACCTCTCAAGTACGCCTTGAGACTGAGGGTGGTAGGCTGAGCTGGTGATGTGGGTAACGCCTAGCTTGGCTAGTGCTTCCTGAAAATGGTGACTGGTGAAGTTGCTGCCTTGATCTGTTTGCACGATTCTAGGTAATCCAAAGGTAGTGAAGAACCGGGTCATGGCTCTGACTACAGTCTTTGCCTTAATGTTCCGTAAGGGAATCGCCTCGGGAAAACGGGTACTTGAACACATAAAGGTAAGTAGGTACTCGTTGCCCGCCTTGGTTTTAGGCAAGGGACCTACACAGTCCATGACGATTTTAGAAAAAGGTTCTTCTAATACAGGAATCGGACTCAAAGGGGCCCTAGGAATTGTCTGGTTTGGCTTTCCGGCCAACTGACAGTTCGAGCAACTTCTGCAGTAACGCGACACATCTTTTCTCATTTTGGGCCAAAAGAACAGTTCTTTGATCTTCGCCGTCGTTTTAGTGACTCCTGGGTGCGCTGACATTGGATGGTCATGTGCCAGCTTAAGTATTTCATGCCGATAAGGTGGAGGGACCCACAGCTGGTTTTTACCCAACCATGGTTCGGCTGGTGAGGCATTCACTGGTATAGCGCGACGAAAGAAAAGGCCGTTCTCGGAGAAATATTCTCCATCGTCAGATGATAGAGATTTTTCGACCGTTGCTTTGAGTTCCGCGTCGACTTGTTGAGCTTTAATGATGTCTTCCTGAGATATCCTCAGGGGTAAGCCCAGACTTGTGTTTTCTGGAAGCATAGACTCCAATTTGGGAGTCGAATTTCTTGACGATGATGGCGGGTGTGGTTCAGACGTTGTGTCAGCCAATTGTTTGGTCTGGCTTCTTGTCACCGCACATGCAGGATACAGTTCATTATCATTATCTGGAACTGTTGACAAAGGGTCTGAAACCGTACAGGGGTATACTTTGCTGCCCGCAAGGTCATTCCCTAGAAGTAGGTGTACCCCTGGGACAGGAATACTATCTATCACACCTAAAATGACCTCACCTTCGACGAGATGATGTTTCAGGGCAAACATGTGTAGAGGGACGACAGTAGATTTTGTCCCCACTCCCTGGATAATGGAAATCCTTCCGGTGTTCGTCTCAGGTGTAATGTCCATTGAACTTTTCAAAAGGAGTGATTGTGACGCTCCTGTGTCTCTTAGGACGGTGATATTCCGCTGAGACAACGGATCACCTGGTTTGCTAATGATGGCTTCGGCAATAAAAGATGAAAAGTCAACTTTTCTCGATCCCTCGAGATCGGTAGACTCGGAAGAAACTGGATGGTGGCGAGAACAGTCAAAATGTGACTGCACATAATGTGTGGAGACTTGACTACCTTCTTGCTGACACTTAGGGTTAGAGTCCTTTAGAATTCTAGAGTTCATAGTTGAACTGGCTGCTTGAGGGGGTAGAGCATAGTGCGCAGAAGTACGCACCACCTCTCTGTTATATTGACGACGTTTGTAACAGTCCTTGACAAGATGACCAGGCCTTTTGCAGAACTGGCATACTGCTCGACGATTGAGAGTTGATCTTGGTTTCTCTCTGGACTGTAATGCCTTCACGTGTTGGCCAACAGGAGGATTGCTGCCAAAAAGGGGAAGCACAGGGTTGAGGCGGTTTCCTGACACTGGTGGTTTCTTATGCACCAACATATATGTGTCAGCCGACTCAGCAGCCTTCTGGATGTCAGTTATCTTGTTATCCAGTATGTGTAGTCGTATCTCTTCAGGCAGGGACGATAGGAATTCTTCCCTTAGGATAAGTGACCTGAGTTTCTCAAACTCAGAAACTTCCTCAGAGTGTAGCCACCTTGAGAATATTTTCTCCTTTTCAAAGAGAAATTCCACATATGATTGAGTGGGTGACTTGCGGAGTGTTCGGAATTTTGTCCGATAGGCCTCGGGCGTCAGTGCGTAGGCCTTCAAAATGGCAGTCTTGACCAAACTATAGTTATTTTGAACGTCGTGAGAGAGTGCCTGGTATGTTTTTGCAGCTTTCCCAGTAAGGACCGAACTCAATAAAGCAGTAATGGAAGTTTCGGGCCATTCACATGTCTTCGCTAAACTCTCAAACGAGTTAAAGAAAACGACCAAATCTGTTTCATCAAACTTAGGAACTAATTTCCCAAATTTGGCAATCACTTGCCCTACCGACAACTTTTTTGGATCTACCGGAGAAGTGACATCACTAACTTGACCAAACTCTAATTCCAACCTCCTCTTATCTAAAGCAATTTTAGCCTCTAACTCCTGTTTCTCTAAAGCAATTCTAGCTTCTAATTCTATCTTCTCTAGAGGTTTCTCCTCGCGGAGTAACACCCCAGCCAACAAACTTTCATCAAATACCCCTTCATTAATAAAATGAACAACAACTTTATCTCTCAACACTTCTGACTTCTGCGTAACAGAATAATCCAATTTCAATTCCTTAACAACACTAATCAAAACTTTTCTACTCAACTTCTCGACCTCTTCAAAAGTAGGATTAGCCAAAAAAGACTCCATAACACTAACTTTCAAATCACAACAAGCCTAGGTTCACTAACTTAACACGGTGCGTTGAGCCGTGTACTTGACCTCCTATCGTGACACGTCTGGCTGTTGACCTAGATAACTCTATGCTTGCGCGCGTTGTCAGAACACTGCGCTACTGGATATAAAAACAACTAAATCCAACTAACCTTAGTATTTAATTGATATGACCAACAACTGGAACGACAGACTAAATCCCGGACGAGCCCCCACTTTGTAACGTCCCCTATCTATCAGCCAAATAGACGGTGAACGTCCCCGGATTCTTTTTTCGGGGTCATATGCAAATGCCTTACGGCCTAAGTGGATGAACACTAACACAACGGCACACTAGGGCTCGAATTCAATGTCTAGGGTAAACTAGTGATACTATTGTAATTAACACTCATCCAATCTACATACAACTTTAATCAGCGAACACAGTTGTGGCAAAACACAAGGTTGAACTAGTTAAAATATTTAATGTATAAAATATCAAAACACAACTTACAAAATGTAGGAAAAACACTATCACAGATTTCTACACTGTCTAAATAACTACAGGCCACACAACACTGCTATAGCTTCTAGAATAACTCAGCGACGAGTAATATTATACTAGAAGCCTAAATCAACTTAAGAAAGCAAGGCACACACAGGACTTAAGTTCTCTCACGTTCAAATGGTCAGAGTCTATAGCCGGACAATATGGACGGCTGCCTGATCAAGGTAAAATCGCACTGTAGACTGCCTCGTGTTGCGAGTGTGCGGGGCAATTAAAGACTTCTGCAACAGGGGAGATTATCCTCAACTCATGTAGCCATTGGTTGGGATGGTCATCTGATTAGAATCATTCAATCAGATCTTAATGGAAAATTTCTATGTCTTAGACCCCTTAATAAGTCAGTGGAAATTTTCCGGTTGTTGCACAATCACTCCATATAAGGTATTATACAATGTCAAAATAAAAATAGAACCTGACTCGACCTAAGTAGGTCACACCATGCACAGACAACTCTTCAGTTCTGCCATTTTGTCATGTCCATATTTTTCCATGCACAGACAACTCCTCAGTTCTGCCATTTTGTCATGTCCATATTTTTCCATGCACAGACAACTCTTCAGTTCTGCCATTTTGTCATGTCCATATTTTTCCATGCACAGACAACTCAGTTCTGCCATTTTGTCATGTCCATATTTTTCCATGCACAGACAACTCAGTTCTGCCATTTTGTCATGTCCATATTTTTCCATGCACAGACAACTCAGTTCTGCCATTTTGTCATGTCCATATTTCTCCATGCACAGACAACTCCTCAGTTCTGCCATTTTGTCATGTCCATATTTGTCCATGCACAGACAACTCAGTTCTGCCATTTTGTCATGTCCATATTTTTCCATGCACAGACAACTCCTCAGTCCTGCCGAGCCCAAATGAAATCATCTTCAGCCAGGGTGGGGCAGGTGACAGCAGCAGCATGACCTGGTGCTACCCCCACCCCCGGGTCCTGACCGCCATCCACCTGATACCTGTGCCGTTCTACCTGTCTGCCAGCACCCAGTCCCTGAACAGCAGCACTACAGGTGCTTCTACAGTAAGTACTGAGTGCTTCTTTCATAGCACATTTAGTGTACTCAGTGCTACATTGGTGCTACTGGTGCATCTACAGTAAGTACTAAGTACATTTACTGTACTCAGTCCTACATTGGTGCTTCTACAGTAAGTACTGAGTGCTTCTTTAATAGCACATTTAGTGTACTCAGTGCTACATTGGTGCTACTGGTGCATCTACAGTAAGTACTAAGTACATTTACTGTACTCAGTCCTACATTGGTGCTTCTACAGTAAGTACAGAGTGCTTCTTTAATAGCACATTTAGTGTACTCAGTGCTACATTGGTGCTACAGGTGCATCTACAGTAAGTACTGAGTGCTTCTTTAATAGCACATTTAGTGTACTCAGTGCTACATTGGTGCTACAGTGGGCACCATCTGCTGCCACCTACCCCTGATGGTCCTACTCAGGGATTGAGATTGTAGAACCACTCATTGTGTACAGCCTGTTTCACCACGCTCTCCCCCTCCCCCACCCAACACTGCTGGTGTATGTAATGTCTCTATATGTTGCTGATCCCCTCCTGCACTAAGTGTGTCAATCTGTTTCACCTGTTTCTCACATAAGTCCTAATCTGTTTGGCCACTGTTTCTCACCTAATCTGTTTGGCCACTGTTTCTTACCTAATCTGTTTGGCCACTGTTTCTCACCTAATCTGTTTGGCCACTGTTTCTCACCTAATCTGTTTGACCACTGTTTCTTACCTAATCTGTTTCTCACCTAATCTGATTGGCCACTGTTTCTCACCTAATCTGTTTGGCCAATGTTTCTCACCTAACCTGTTTGGCCACTGTTTCTCACCTAACCTGTTTGGCCACTGTTTCTCACCTAATCTGTTTGACCACTGTTTCTTACCTAATCTGTTTCTCACCTAATCTGATTGGCCACTGTTTCTCACCTAATCTGTTTGGCCACTGTTTCTCACCTAACCTGTTTGGCCACTGTTTCTCACCTAATCTGTTTGGCCACTGTTTCTCACCTAATCTGTTTGGCCACTGTTTCTCACCTAATCTGATTGGCCACTGTTTCTCACCTAATCTGTTTGGCCACTGTTTCTCACCTAACCTGTTTGGCTACTGTTTCTCACCTAATCTGTTTGGCCACTGTTTCTCACCTAATCTGTTTGACCACTGTTTCTTACCTAATCTGTTTCTCACCTAATCTGATTGGCCACTGTTTCTCACCTAATCTGTTTGGCCAATGTTTCTCACCTAACCTGTTTGGCCACTGTTTCTCACCTAACCTGTTTGGCCACTGTTTCTCACCTAATCTGTTTGACCACTGTTTCTTACCTAATCTGTTTCTCACCTAATCTGATTGGCCACTGTTTCTCACCTAATCTGTTTGGCCACTGTTTCTCACCTAACCTGTTTGGCCACTGTTTCTCACCTAATCTGTTTGGCCACTGTTTCTCACCTAATCTGTTTGGCCACTGTTTCTCACCTAATCTGATTGGCCACTGTTTCTCACCTAATCTGTTTGGCCACTGTTTCTCACCTAACCTGTTTGGTCACTGTTTCTCACCTAATCTGTTTGGCCAATGTTTCACCTGTTTCTCACCTAATCTGTTTGGCCACTGTTTCTCACCTAATCTGTTTGGCCAATGTTTCTCACCTAACCTGTTTGGCCACTGTTTCTCACCTAATCTGTTTGGCCACTGTTTCTCACCTAACCTGTTTGGCCACTGTCTCTCACCTAATCTGTTTCTCACCTAATCTGATTGGCCACTGTTTCTCACCTAATCTGTTTGGCCACTGTTTCTCACCTAACCTGTTTGGCCACTGTTTCTCACCTAATCTGTTTGGCCACTGTTTCTCACCTAATCTGTTTGGCCACTGTTTCTCACCTAATCTGATTGGCCACTGTTTCTCACCTAATCTGTTTGGCCACTGTTTCTCACCTAACCTGTTTGGCCACTGTTTCTCACCTTATCTGTTTGGCCACTGTTTCTCACCTAATCTGTTTGGCCACTGTTTCTCACCTAATCTGTTTGGCCACTGTTTCTCACCTAATCTGTTTGACCACTGTTTCATACCTAATCTGTTTCACCTGTTTCTCACCTAATCTGTTTCACCTGTTTCTCACCTAATCTGATTGGCCACTGTTTCTCACCTAATCTGATTGGCCACTGTTTCTCACCTAATCTGTTTGGCCACTGTTTCTCACCTAACCTGTTTGGCCACTGTTTCTCACCTAATCTGTTTGGCCACTGTTTCTCACCTAATCTGTTTCACCTGTTTCTCACCTAATCTGTTTGGTCACTGTTTTCCAGGTGCCGTGTGTGCTCCAGTACTGGGATGAGCTGAGAGATGACTTCGTCAATGTCGTCACATTTCACCTGTCAGAGAACGAGCCAGTGACAGTTGACCTACCTGACACCCGACAGGTCAACGCCCATGAACTTGTGGCGGCCAAAACCTGGAGGGTCGTTCTACAGGAGGAGGGGTGAGTAGATGGAGCAGGAATCTCCTTAGGTTGTCTCCCATCATCAGAGGGCATCAGTGTTTTGGTAGAATAGGTATAGAAAATGATTTGAACCCAGTTCATTTGGGTGAGAGGACACATGCTCTAACTCATAACTAAAGTATTATAACTGCACATACATAATATATTATCTGTCACTGGTGTATTACCTGTTGTCTGATGTGTTACCTATACTCACGTCAGGTTGAAGAAAGATTCAAGAGACGTGGCTGTCCTACCTTCATCACTAGCTGCCTGTATGTGTGTTGATTCAGCTTTCATCCCATCCATCATACCAGCACTCAAGTTTTCCATCACCATCCCAGAGCTGGAGGTTCACTTGTGTCACCACCTCAAGTACAATAGCACAGGTGAGTCATGTCACCACCTCAAGTACAATGGCACAGGTGAGTCACGTCACCACCTCAAGTACAATGGCACAGGTGAGTCATGTCACCACAATGGCACAGGTGAGTCATGTCACCACCTCAAGTACAATGGCACAGGTGAGTCATGTCACCGCCTCAAGTACAATGGCACAGGTGAGTTACGTCACCACCTCAAGTACAATGGCACAGGTGAGTCATGTCACCACCCCAAGTACAATGGCACAGGTGAGTCATGTCACCACCTCAAGTACAATGGCACAGGTGAGTCATGTCACCACCTCAAGTACAATGGCACAGGTGAGTCATGTCACCACAATGGAAAGGTGAGTCATGTCACCACCTAAAGTACAATGGCACTGGTGAGTCATGTCACCACCTCAAGTACAATGGCACAGGTGAGTTACGTCACCACCTCAAGTACAATGGCACAGGTGAGTCATGTCACCACCCCAAGTACAATGGCACAGGTGAGTCACGTCACCACCTCAAGTACAATGGCACAGGTGAGTCATGTCACCACCTCAAGTACAATGGCACAGGCGAGTCACGTCACCACCTCAAGTACAATGGCACAGGTGAGTCATGTCACCACCCCAAGTACAATGGCACAGGTGAGTCATGTCACCACCCCAAGTACAATGGCACAGGTGAGTCACGTCACCACCTCAAGTACAATGGCACAGGTGAGTCATGTCACCACCTCAAGTACAATGGCACAGGTGAGTCATGTCACCACCTCAAGTACAATGGCACAGGTGAGTCATGTCACCACCTCAAGTACAATGGCACAGGTGAGTCATGTCACCACCCCAAGTACAATGGCACAGGTGAGTCATGTCACCACCTCCAGTACAATGGCACAGGTGAGTCATGTCACCACAATGGCACAGGTGAGTCATGTCACCACCTCCAGTACAATGGCACAGGTGAGACATGTCACCACCTCAAGTACAATGGCACAGGTGAGTCATGTCACCACCTCAAGTACAATGGCACAGGTGAGTCATGTCACCACCTCAAGTACAATGGCACAGGTGAGTCATGTCACCACCTCAAGTACAATGGCACAGGTGAGTCACGTCACCACCTCCAGTACAATGGCACAGGTGAGTCATGTCACCACCTCAAGTACAATGGCACAGGTGAGTCATGTCACCACAATGGAAAGGTGAGTCATGTCACCACCTCAAGTACAATGGCACAGGTGAGTCATGTCACCACCTCAAGTACAATGGCACAGGTGAGTCATGTCACCACCTCAAGTACAATGGCACAGGTGAGTCATGTCACCACCTCAAGTACAATGGCACAGGTGAGTCATGTCACCACCTCAAGTACAATGGCACAGGTGAGTCATGTCACCACCCCAAGTACAATGGCACAGGTGAGTCATGTCACCACCTCAAGTACAATGGCACAGGTGAGTCATGTCACCACCTCAAGTACAATGGCACAGGTGAGTCATGTCACCACCTCAAGTACAATGGCACAGGTGAGTCATGTCACCACCTCAAGTACAATGGCACAGGTGAGTCATGTCACCACAATGGAAAGGTGAGTCATGTCACCACCTCAAGTACAATGGCACAGGTGAGTCATGTCACCACAATGGCACAGGTGAGTCATGTCACCACCTCAAGTACAATGGCACAGGTGAGTTATGTCACCACCCCAAGTACAGTGGCACAGGTGAGTCATGTCACCACCTCAAGTACAATGGCACAGGTGAGTCATGTCACCACCTCAAGTACAATGGCACAGGTGAGTCACCACCTCCAGTACAATGGCACAGGTGAGTCATGTCACCACAATGGCACAGGTGAGTCATGTCACCACCTCAAGTACAATGGCACAGGTGAGTCATGTCACCACCTCAAGTACAATGGCACAGGTGAGTCATGTCACCACAATGGCACAGGTGAGTCATGTCACCACCTCAAGTAAAATGGCACAGGTGAGTCATGTCACCACCTCAAGTAAAATGGCACAGGTGAGTCATGTCACCACCTCAAGTAAAATGGCACAGGTGAGTCATGTCACCACCTCAAGTAAAATGGCACAGGTGAGTCATGTCACCACCTCAAGTACAATGGCACAGGTGAGTCACGTCACCACCTCAAGTACAATGGCACAGGTGAGTCATGTCACCACCCCAAGTACAATGGCACAGGTGAGTCATGTCACCACCTCAAGTACAATGGCACAGGTGAGTCATGTCACCACCTCAAGTACAATGGCACAGGTGAGTCATGTCACCACCTCAAGTACAATGGCACAGGTGAGTCATGTCACCACCTCAAGTACAATGGCACAGGTGAGTCATGTCACCACCTCAAGTACAATGGCACAGGTGAGTCATGTCACCACCCCAAGTACAATGGCACAGGTGAGTCATGTCACCACCTCCAGTACAATGGCACAGGTGAGTCATGTCACCACAATGGCACAGGTGAGTCATGTCACCACCTCCAGTACAATGGCACAGGTGAGACATGTCACCACCTCAAGTACAATGGCACAGGTGAGTCACGTCACCACCTCAAGTACAATGGCACAGGTGAGTCATGTCACCACCTCAAGTACAATGGCACAGGTGAGTCACGTCACCACCTCAAGTACAATGGCACAGGTGAGTCATGTCACCACCTCAAGTACAACGGCACAGGTGAGTCATGTCACCACCCCAAGTACAACGGCACAGGTGAGTCACGTCACCACAATGGAAAGGTGAGTCATGTCACCACAATGGCACAGGTGAGTCATGTCACCACAATGGCACAGGTGAGTCATGTCACCACAATGGCACAGGTGAGTCACGTCACCACAATGGAAAGGTGAGTCATGTCACCACCTCAAGTACAATGGCACAGGTGAGTCATGTCACCATCTCAAGTACAATGGCACAGGTGAGTCATCTCACCACCTAGACATGTGTCATTCCTTACTTATCACACCACTAAATTGACCATTGTCATAGAAAGTTGTCCCTATACCAAATATGTTTGTTTTGTTTTGACACTTTCTCTTCCAGACCCCCCCAGAAAATTGACCCTATACCAAATAAGTTTGTTTTGACACTTTCTCTTCCAGAGCCCCCTAGAAAGTTGTCCCTATACCAAATGTCACCTGACATCTGTGACCAGCTGGTATTTGCTCGCGTCAACCTGTTGAACACCACGGCCACTATGTCTCATATTACAGGGAGAGAATCCAAGTCCAGCTTTAAGGTTAGCTGTCACCAAGTGTCTTGTTGCCTGGAATTAAGTACCTTTTTTAATGTCTTATAACGTCAATTTCATATTTTACTATTTAATGATATCCCTTGTAACATTTTACTACTTTGTTGTGTCCTTTTAGTCTTTTACTAGATGCTATTATCCCTTTAAATATTTACTGGCTAATGATGTCCCTCGAATCAATCACATACAAGTACTATCTGGCGATATACTTATCATTATAATTTTAACACCTTTTGATGTCCCTTTAGTAAAAATTTCACTAGCTTGATAAAAAGCACAAAATAAACTTGTACCATGCACTATCCTGCTTAGTTTAATTTGAATTGTTCCCTTGTGTCCAGCTGTCCACTAAAGCCAGCCTAGACATCCTGGAACATGGTCATCTGACCATGGACAAGGTACTAGAACCAGCTGAGCTGTCTCTGACATCTAGTGTGTCTACCACTGGACATGTAAGTACTCACCTCTAGTACTCACATCAGTTGCCTACTGTATACTAATTAAAGCCTGCCTCACACACACAAACATTGATCAGTACTACCTTACACATTGCATGATATAAGTCCCACCTAACAAATACTCTATCATCACAGGAGAATATAACTTACAAATTTTGATTTTTAATTGTTTGATATTGAACTAATCTGACTAATCAAATTTTATATTACACACATTTGGAACGTCTTATTTCACCTTTAGCTTGCATATTTTGTAGAACACATTTTTATCTGCCGTATTTTACACTTGTTTCTTCCATATATCAATTTTTTCTTCCACATTTCACATCTTTTCCTGCCATATTTTGATATTTTGCCTGCCATATTTCACACCTTTACCTGCCATATTTTGATATTTTGCCTGCCATATTTTGATTTTTTGCCTGCCATATTTCACACCTTTACCTGCCATATTTTGATATTTTGCCTGCCATATTTCACACCTTTACCTGCCATATTTTGATATTTTGCCTGCCAATATTTTGATTTTTTGCCTGCCATATTTTGATTTTTTGCCTGCCATATTTCACACCTTTACCTGCCATATTTTGATTTTTTGCCTGCCATATTTCACACCTTTACCTGCCATATTTTGATATTTTGCCTGCCAATATTTTGATATTTTGCCTGCCATATTCCACACAGAAACTTGATGTGAATGGACTCCTGCAGTCTGATAAGGTCAAGTTGAAGGTTGGCAAAAGTGCTGTCCACACCTTAAATATGGCTGTGGCTGCTTGGACCCATGTAAGAAAACTTGGTCTGCTGTTGTTCTGTCTCTGGTTGAGGTGGTCTGTTAGCTGGAGTCTTATTTACTGTATTACTGACATCATGTCTTTGTGACTACCATGTGTCATGTTTGTCCATCTGCTTTCAGTTTAGCCCAACCAATTCTGGTCCACTGATCATATTCAGCCATTACATCATCTGCAACAACACAACATCGGCCATTAGGTTTGGTCAGGTGAGTTATACCAAGCTGGGATAAAAATTTATGCTAATTTTTTATTAATCAATCAATCCATTTCACAATCTTGATGTCTCCCACATGTAGATGTGCTGGGAGACTGACTTCCCTTAATCTGATTGTATTTAGTACAGAACCAGTTATAGTGTGCATGATCCACACTGAACTACCCTAATTATAGACAACTATTGAAGTTCAGATCAGCTAATTACATGTTTTCATTGAATTTTTCACAAACTGCTTTGAGTTTTAATGACTTAGTGACACCTGTTTTCATCATTTAGTCGTTACATTTTTTCTTTAATTTTTCAGTTCATTTTTTCATTATTTTCTATTAAAATTTGTTTTTAATTCATCAATTACATATTTTTTTTATTAATTTGTCAGTGACATGTTTTAAATTATTTGTTATTGACATGTATATTATTTGATTATCATTGTGTTTGTTTAAGGCTGGCACAGATGAAAACATTTTGTTAAACTCAAGAGAGATGTACGGCTACTCCTGGAGATCTTACACCTGTCCCCAGGTAATCTTTTCTTTGAGAACCTTTTAAACATCTTTATAATTAAAACATACTTATTATTCCATTTGAATAGTTTTAATCTTACTGAAATTTGTTTCATTTGAATTCAAAATTTTCTTTTTAATTTTTAACTGGAATACAAAATTTCTTACTAAATTTTTACAGATGCATTCAAAGTTTCTTGTTAAATTTGGAGTTCTGTTAGAATTTTTTGTTTACATTTTTAGTTTTATCATTGTTTAGTTTTATCATTTTTTTTTTTACAAAATCATGTGTTAAATTGTAGTTGTATCAGAAAATGTGTAGCTATTTATTTCCTTCAGCTGCTTCACCTGTGCATGGACAAGCCCACCTGGAAATGGACTGACCCATTTCCCATTGACAAGGAAGGTCCGAGTGTCCAGAGTGTCACTGCCAGGGACCAGAGCTATGTGGTCATCCTCAGGGTCAAGCGCCTGTCAGGTCTGCAAATACAGGTCAGTCAGCACCTGCCAGCTGGTCAGTGCTTAAGCCAACTCAAAAAATAAACTCTTCTTTAGATCTAGCCATACATTGGGCAGATGAGTAGAGTTCTTATGTTTCTTGACCTCAGCATATAAAGGGATGGTGTGGTCAGCACTATACCCAGCCACCTTTACTTTCCCCAACGCAAGGAAGGTACACATCATAGAATGGTTGGACTAGAGACTAAAGTCACATGTTCAAGCTGTAGCTAAGCCCCGGCTATATTTACATATAGCGATCAACAAATGTATATTTGATTATATTTAGTAAAAAAAATTTTAAGTTTATTAAAACAACTTTGTTTTCCACCGTTTAGATCACCGTGTGCAGTCAGTTGGTGGTCTGCAACCGTCTGTCACAAGCGGTCAGCATGAGGTTCAGCCAGTCTGGGGTACCCAGCAACACTGCAAGCAAATCTCGTTCGAACAGTTCAGGTACATTTATTCCTAGGTTAGCTGGTCTCATGAAGGCTCATCCAACATTGATCAAGTAAATTATTGCACTCTTAACTGAATGGCTATTGTGGTTTCAACTAAGTAATTGATGCGGTTTTAACTAAATAATTTTTGCAATTCATGCTGTATTAACTACACAATTTGTGTGGTTTTAACTAAAGAATGATTGAAGTTTCCACTACTAAAATGAAACCCAAATCCCCAGGTTTGGCAGAGAGCTATGTGATCAATCCCGGAGATCATCTGCCATCTATAACATCAAATGAAGCCTTTCTCAATCCTGTCCAGTTCCGATTGGCTGGTTTCTCTGCTTCCTGGTCACATGACATTTTCCTCAGTGGTGATAGGATGAAAGATAATCAAATGATTAAGGTCAGTTTCAGTTCTTTTTTACTTTCTCGTATATATGAAGTATAGAGAAAGTATTGTAATCGTGCAAAAATAAAAAATCGAGATTTTTACAAATCTCGACGTTTTACACCTCACTGATACGGAAAAACATAATTTTGCAATCTTGTCCGTATGTCTGTGTGTGTGTGTCTGTGTGTGTGTGTGTGTGTGTGTCTGTGTGTAAACACGATTACTTGAGTACCGTTACAGCTAGGTTGATGAAATTTCATATATAAGTATTTTATCAAAATCGTAGATCCGTATCAACTTTTGAGCGATTTCCGATAACCGGAAGTGGTACTTTTTCTACTTTGAATTTTTCAAAAGCCTATAACGTGAGTACTATTTCAGATAGATAAATGAAATTTCACATGTAAGTAAAAGATCTAATTCTCTACCTTCTATCAAATTTTGAGTAATTTCTGTTGACCGGAAGTACTAATTTACGCTATTTCCGATTTCTCAAAAAACGCACATAAATTTATAAAGTACTAATAATATTACGCACTATTATGCACATTTTATTAGGCGTTCACTTAGTGTGCAATTCTTTTTTTTTATGAGATTCCATTCTATTATAAAAAGTTTAAGTAATTAAAAATGGATTACAAATATTGTCTATGTCCTGAGTTGCCATCCCTCGTAGTTTTATATTAGAATATCCGAGAAAGTTTAGGGGAGATCACTCCCGGTTTATTTTTTAATAAGGCTTAGCTTTCATGGAAATTATATTCAATTTGTAATGGACATGTAAGCTAGCAATTTTATAAATCTTAATTATAGCTATGTGTATGTTTTCATGTAAACAACAATTCCTATTTTCTACATGAATTTCTCTCCATAAAGTGATGTCATATCTATTTTTAGATTGCATTACCAGACGGGACCAGTTACTTCCATGTTTGGTGCAGGATTTTCTGTCAGCACTTTTACAGCATGCACCAAAAGCTGGTATGTTGTTTCTACGCTAGCCACTTCATTTTGTGCTCTTGAAAACTATCTTTCTTCTGGTTCGACTTCTCATTTAAAAATAATATTGAATATAAAAATTTCCCATCTCATTATTGTGAAACTTTGTAATAAAACCACTACAATTATATTACTAAAAAAACCATTTCATTATTGTGAAATTTTAATAAAACCACTACAATTCTATTATCATAGGGACCCAATCATGTTTATAATTTTAGTTTGACATCACTTGAGTTAATTTTACCTTGACTACTTTTAAACGCATCTTTTTCTGTCTATTTTTGTCCAAGTTAATATGTCAATGATAGTAGCATGTATGTGGTCATTGTAGTAGTAGTAGTTGTAGTCAGTCCATTTCTTCTGTTGTTTTTTTTAACTAATGCTAGTTTGTTTAATTTTTTGATAATCCTCAAATTTTCATCTTCTGTGATATTTTTGTTTTCCTTTACAAAATTTGCATGCGTAACTCTTAGACTTTCACAGCCAACACTTGTTGAGTCACTTCATATCTGGCAGCATTCAATCACATTTTGTACTCACTCCATAGTCAAGCCATGCTTCATGAACATTATCAATTTAATTTCTTTAAAAAAATGTAATATGCTCCCTCCATACGCCATACATTTTGTATTCACTCCATAGTCAAGCCATGCTTCATGAACATTATCAATTTAATTTCTTTAAAAAAATGTAATATGCTCCTTCCATATGCCATACATTTTGTTCTCACTGCATGGTTTAGCCATGCATCATAAACATTATCAATTTAATTTCTTTAAAAAATGTAATATGCTCCCTCCATACGCCATACTAGGGCACTTATCGCACTGCCACCATGAAAATGGTAAGTCTGTGGGAGTTACTGTTCTTGATGTTTTGTCACATGTAACTTTATTTTTTTTAAAGTCACTTTGTTGAATGAACATTAAAATTGTATTGTTTGGTGAAAAATAAACTGCTGAAAAAAAAATCACTTTGATAACTAAAAATGTGACATTAAGCTTAAAAATGTGAATATGAGATATTAAATGAGTAATTAAATTGATCATCTTTAAGTTTTATATTTATCTGCAACAATACTTATTAAAATATTTACAATTTTATGCACATGATAATGAAAAAAAAAAGTTTACTTGGTGGAAAATTTCATTAAAAACTAAAATTTTACATTAAAAACTTTGTCTTCTTGCAACTAAAGTATATTTCAAAAATCAAAGTAAATTTTTAAAACTATATATGCATGTCTGGGATGAAAACCTTTTTTTACATCTTTTTAAAATTTATTTTCTATTGTATTTATGTGTGAATATTCTTAATTTATGAGTTTCTCTGAATGACACATACCTCAGTCACATGGCTCAGTGTTATATACTGCCTTTTTTTCAATTATTCTTCTTTAAAACAATTTTGAACTATTGGGAGTCACATTGTATTTTTTAAGCTTGCTTTTCTACAGGTAATTGGTTTTCAATGCGCTATTACAAAGTAGGATTTAACTTTGAAAATTCTGTTACAGTGGACTTTGTTTTTAACTTTGTGTTTTTAAAATACTTCTAATTACAGGTGTAGTTTACATTTTATTATATGATAAAATTGCAGGTAGTTTATTTTGTTTCTGTTAGGTCTTTAGATAAATTTTGTGTGGTGTATTTGTACTGTAATTGTAATTGTTGTTGAACTCACTTATCAACCTGTGTTGAAATTAACAAGCTGGATGCTGGCTTTACAACAGTAAACCAGCTTTCTGTTGACAGGCTCTTCTCTGCTGAAGTTTATAAAAGTTCTGTGTATGTGTTTGCACTTGGTGTCTACTGTGAAACAGGTGTTCTAAACTAGGAATTTTTAGAAGTGATTCTAATAAACAAGAGTATTTTCCACAGAAATTGATAGGTTGCTATAGGGCTGGTAAGTAGGTCACCAACCAGCTCTATGGCTCATGCAGGTTTTATTAAGCCGTAGAACTGGTTGGTGACCTACGTACCAGCCCTAATGTACTTGATACTATTATTTTTGGTCAGACAAGACTAAAATGTGGATAATTATGTGTAACAAATTGTCTTAACATAGTTTATGTTGTTTTTAAACTGTTAAGCACTACAACACAGCTGAGTGAATAAAACTTGCTTTTTTTTTAACCCCCACCAAACATTTTATCCAGGTGTATGTCAGTTCAATACAGTTTTTACAAAACATTTTACCTAGGTGTGTCTCAGTTGAATTCAATTTTTACTGCTTCGGCTTTGTTCCATTATTTCAAGTTTGCAGCTTGTATTAAAAACCTCAATTAAAACTGTACTCTTAGGATTTTAAAATCATTTATTTTAAACTTAGCTGAATTCCTATATGCATTACATAAATATACCAAGAACATTTTATATTAGTAAAAATTACTTTAATGTGTAATTTACAACTGCTTTTGATGATGTAAAACTAGTAATGTTATGGCTTTTTAATTAATTAATTATATTTAATAAAGATAAGCAAAAATTAAAGAGGGGATTAACATACGTAAATTTGTCAAGTTATAGCTGTATGTGATTGTTCAAAAATTAATGATTAACTCGCTGGCGTATGCCAACCTAAGGATAGTGGACAGTTTTTTTTGTTCAAAGTGGGAATTGAGAAACATTAAATAATGCTTTGATCAAAATTTAGAATATATGTGTGGATGGGTGTTTGGGGAGGGTGGGTGGATGTGCAGGGGGGCGGGGGGGAGGGGGGGGGGGGTAATTAGAGTAAAATAATTACCTAATCAATAATCTGCGCCAAACCCTCTAAAACAATTGTTCAATGATTTGTGTCTACACAATCAGTCAGTATTTGCATGTTTCCCAATTTGTTTTTATTTAGTCAACCCTAGAGCAGTTTGTTTTAAACCAGTTGTTTTATGTGATGTCACCAGATCATGCTGACACCCCTGTATGTGGTACGTACCCACCTGCCCCGCCCACTGTTCATACACCTGAACTCACCCAAGCAGAGCCAGGAGATGCTGGTCAAAAGTGAGGGCAGGGAGTTCCAGCTGCACTGTACTGGAGGGGACATAACTCACCTCATGTCCTTCAGGCTAGGGTTAGTACCCCTGTTTCTCACATTACAGGAGGGGACATAACTCAACTCATGTCCTTCAGATTAGGGTTAGTACCCCTGTTTCTTACATTATAGGAGGGGACATAACTCACCTCATGTCCTTGAGATTAGGGTTAGTACCCCTGTTTCTTTCATTAAGGGACATAACTCACCTCATGTCCTTCAGGCTAGGGTTAGTACCCCTGTTTCTCACATTAAGGGACATAACTCACCTCATGTCCTTCAGGCTAGGGTTAGTACCCTTGTTTCTCACATTACAGGAGGGGACATAACTCACCTCATGTCCTTCAGATTAGGGTTAGTACCCCTGTTTCTCACATTACAGGAAGGGGCATAACTCACCTCATGTCCTTCAGGCTAGGGTTAGTACCCCTGTTTCTCTCATTAAAGGAGGGGACATAACTCACCTAGGACAAGCATCTAATCAGATAATAAAACAGAGGCTTTTCTAACCCATCTTTTGACCTTGAATCGATACATATTTACTACTATAAATTACAGAACTTGAGAAATGTAATCTCTCATCATCATGGAATGATTTAATGAATGAATGATTGCGATCTAGTTGTGTTCCTTGGCTGGTTATCATCCAATAATGATTGAATGAATAAATGAATGATTGGGTGATTGATTAATTAAATGATTGAGTGATCGAATGATCGAATTGTCTTTCGGGGCTGTGATTTTTCTCTATTTATGCAGTAATTATTGTATGATTGAATGAATGATTAAAGGATTTTTTAATTGAATAAATAATTGAAGGGGTGCATGTGATCTGGTTGTGTTACAGGGCTGCGATCTATCTCTCATCATCCAGTAATGATTTATTGAATGATTGATTTATTGAATGATTGAATGAATGATTGATTTATTGAATGATTGAATGATTGATTTATTGAATGAATGATTGAACTGATTGATTTTTTGAATGAATGAATGATTGATTTATTGAATGATTGATTGAATGATTGAACTGATTGCATGTGATTGTGTTTCAGGGCTGAGATCTATCTCTCATCATCCAGTAATGATTGAATGAATGATTGATTTATTGAATGATTGAATGAATGATTGAACTGATTGCTTGTGATTGTGTTTCAGGGCTGAGATCTATCTCTCATCATCCAGTAATGATTGAATGAATGATTGATTTATTGAATGATTGAATGAATGATTGAACTGATTGCTTGTGATTGTGTTTCAGGGCTGAGATCTATCTCTCATCATCCAGTAATGATTGAATGAATGATTGATTTATTGAATGATTGAATGAATGATTGAACTGATTGCTTGTGATTGTGTTTCAGGGCTGAGATCTATCTCTCATCATCCAGTAATGATTGAATGAATGATTGATTTATTGAATGATTGAATGAATGATTGAACTGATTGCTTGTGATTGTGTTTCAGGGCTGAGATCTATCTCTCATCATCCAGTAATGATTGAATGAATGATTGAACTGATTGGATGTGATTGTGTTTCAGAGCTGAGATGCAGCTGTCTGACCCAGCTGTTGTCCTGTCCACTGGCCTGATTGGTCAGCTGACCAGAGCACTGGTCAACACAGTAGACATTGAGAACCTGTGTGAGCAGAAGATGGACATTGTCCAGCAGCACTGGCCATACTTGACCAGGGAGGACGAGAGGGACCTGGAGATGTGAGTGTACTCTACCTCCAAGTTTTTTTTTCGTTTTGTAGGTTATTTTACAAGTTTATCCCTTCAAGGCTCTTGTACATGATGTTAGTTAGCTGGTCTGTTAAAATATATGGGCTTTAGGGAAGGGTGCAAGTACAGGCATGTTTTTATATTTAACGCTTTATAGGTATGCAACTTTGGGTTTGCTAAACAGTGAACTGCATTATTGAGTTAAATATAGGACTCAAACCACAGAATTGAACTGGAGACTTTTGAGTCAGCAGTGATGAGCTCATCTTCTCGGCCAGACCATCACATTTAATTATTTGTAATTACTAGTTAAGATTGTACATGAAATTTGACGTTCCTGTGTTGTGATAGAAAAATGTATTTCTCCTATTGAACCCAGGGACAGCATATCTGCCCTACACCAACTCTGTCCCCTTGACACCAGGGCTAAAACCACCTCAGATGAGGACGACCTTGAACCCCAGCCTAGCATTGACCTGAACATCCGCCTGTCTGAGTACATCCCTGGCTGTGACACACTTCTGGTGGAGGTGGCGCCCACATTCCTGGTCCACAACGCCACCGACCTGGACGTGCTGATATCTGGGGTGGAGGGGCGGCGGTGGAGCATCAGACCCAACCACACCATGGCACCCCCTCTCTTGAAGGTAAACCTGGAGCAGTTGTTTTTTAACCTTTATACCAGTTGTTTTATGTGATGTCACTAGATCATGCTGACAACCCTTTTTAACCTTTATACCAGTTGTTTTATGTGATGTCACTAGATCATGCTGACAACCCTTTTTAACCTTTATACCAGTTGTTTTATGTGATGTCACTAGATCATGCTGACAACCCTTTTTAACCTTTATACCAGTTGTTTTATGTGATGTCACTAGATCATGCTGACAACCCTTTTTAACCTTTATACCAGTTGTTTTATGTGATGTCACTAGATCATGCTGACAACCCTTTTTAACCTTTATACCAGTTGTTTTATGTGATGTCACTAGATCATGCTGACAACCCTTTTTAACCTTTATACCAGTTGTTTTATGTGATGTCACTAGATCATGCTGACAACCCTTTTTAACCTTTATACCAGTTGTTTTATGTGATGTCACTAGATCATGCTGACAACCCTTTTTAACCTTTATACCAGTTGTTTTATGTGATGTCACTAGATCATGCTGACAACCCTTTTTAACCTTTATACCAGTTGTTTTATGTGATGTCACTAGATCATGCTGACAACCCTTTTTAACCTTTATACCAGTTGTTTTATGTGATGTCACTAGATCATGCTGACAACCCTTTTTAACCTTTATACCAGTTGTTTTATGTGATGTCACTAGATCATGCTGACAACCCTTTTTAACCTTTATACCAGTTGTTTTATGTGATGTCACTAGATCATGCTGACAACCCTTTTTAACCTTTATACCAGTTGTTTTATGTGATGTCACTAGATCATGCTGACAACCCTTTTTAACCTTTATACCAGTTGTTTTATGTGATGTCACTAGATCATGCTGACAACCCTTTTTAACCTTTATACCAGTTGTTTTATGTGATGTCACTAGATCATGCTGACAACCCTTTTTAACCTTTATACCAGTTGTTTTATGTGATGTCACTAGATCATGCTGACAACCCTTTTTAACCTTTATACCAGTTGTTTTATGTGATGTCACTAGATCATGCTGACAACCCTTTTTAACCTTTATACCAGTTGTTTTATGTGATGTCACTAGATCATGCTGACAACCCTTTTTAACCTTTATACCAGTTGTTTTATGTGATGTCACTAGATCATGCTGACAACCCTTTTTAACCTTTATACCAGTTGTTTTATGTGATGTCACTAGATCATGCTGACAACCCTTTTTAACCTTTATACCAGTTGTTTTATGTGATGTCACTAGATCATGCTGACAACCCTTTTTAACCTTTATACCAGTTGTTTTATGTGATGTCACTAGATCATGCTGACAACCCTTTTTAACCTTTATACCAGTTGTTTTATGTGATGTCACTAGATCATGCTGACAACCCTTTTTAACCTTTATACCAGTTGTTTTATGTGATGTCACTAGATCATGCTGACAACCCTTTTTAACCTTTATACCAGTTGTTTTATGTGATGTCACTAGATCATGCTGACAACCCTTTTTAACCTTTATACCAGTTGTTTTATGTGATGTCACTAGATCATGCTGACAACCCTTTTTAACCTTTATACCAGTTGTTTTATGTGATGTCACTAGATCATGCTGACAACCCTTTTTAACCTTTATACCAGTTGTTTTATGTGATGTCACTAGATCATGCTGACAACCCTTTTTAACCTTTATACCAGTTGTTTTATGTGATGTCACTAGATCATGCTGACAACCCTTTTTAACCTTTATACCAGTTGTTTTATGTGATGTCACTAGATCATGCTGACAACCCTTTTTAACCTTTATACCAGTTGTTTTATGTGATGTCACTAGATCATGCTGACAACCCTTTTTAACCTTTATACCAGTTGTTTTATGTGATGTCACTAGATCATGCTGACAACCCTTTTTAACCTTTATACCAGTTGTTTTATGTGATGTCACTAGATCATGCTGACAACCCTTTTTAACCTTTATACCAGTTGTTTTATGTGATGTCACTAGATCATGCTGACAACCCTTTTTAACCTTTATACCAGTTGTTTTATGTGATGTCACTAGATCATGCTGACAACCCTTTTTAACCTTTATACCAGTTGTTTTATGTGATGTCACTAGATCATGCTGACAACCCTTTTTAACCTTTATACCAGTTGTTTTATGTGATGTCACTAGATCATGCTGACAACCCTTTTTAACCTTTATACCAGTTGTTTTATGTGATGTCACTAGATCATGCTGACAACCCTTTTTAACCTTTATACCAGTTGTTTTATGTGATGTCACTAGATCATGCTGACAACCCTTTTTAACCTTTATACCAGTTGTTTTATGTGATGTCACTAGATCATGCTGACAACCCTTTTTAACCTTTATACCAGTTGTTTTATGTGATGTCACTAGATCATGCTGACAACCCTTTTTAACCTTTATACCAGTTGTTTTATGTGATGTCACTAGATCATGCTGACAACCCTTTTTAACCTTTATACCAGTTGTTTTATGTGATGTCACTAGATCATGCTGACAACCCTTTTTAACCTTTATACCAGTTGTTTTATGTGATGTCACTAGATCATGCTGACAACCCTTTTTAACCTTTATACCAGTTGTTTTATGTGATGCCACTAGATCATGCTGACAACCCTTTTTAACCTTTATACCAGTTGTTTTATGTGATGTCACTAGATCATGCTGACAACCCTTTTTAACCTTTATACCAGTTGTTTTATGTGATGTCACTAGATCATGCTGACAACCCTTTTTAACCTTTATACCAGTTGTTTTATGTGATGTCACTAGATCATGCTGACAACCCTTTTTAACCTTTATACCAGTTGTTTTATGTGATGTCACTAGATCATGCTGACAACCCTTTTTAACCTTTATACCAGTTGTTTTATGTGATGTCACTAGATCATGCTGACAACCCTTTTTAACCTTTATACCAGTTGTTTTATGTGATGTCACTAGATCATGCTGACAACCCTTTTTAACCTTTATACCAGTTGTTTTATGTGATGTCACTAGATCATGCTGACAACCCTTTTTAACCTTTATACCAGTTGTTTTATGTGATGTCACTAGATCATGCTGACAACCCTTTTTAACCTTTATACCAGTTGTTTTATGTGATGTCACTAGATCATGCTGACAACCCTTTTTAACCTTTATACCAGTTGTTTTATGTGATGTCACTAGATCATGCTGACAACCCTTTTTAACCTTTATACCAGTTGTTTTATGTGATGTCACTAGATCATGCTGACAACCCTTTTTAACCTTTATACCAGTTGTTTTATGTGATGTCACTAGATCATGCTGACAACCCTTTTTAACCTTTATACCAGTTGTTTTATGTGATGTCACTAGATCATGCTGACAACCCTTTTTAACCTTTATACCAGTTGTTTTATGTGATGTCACTAGATCATGCTGACAACCCTTTTTAACCTTTATACCAGTTGTTTTATGTGATGTCACTAGATCATGCTGACAACCCTTTTTAACCTTTATACCAGTTGTTTTATGTGATGTCACTAGATCATGCTGACAACCCTTTTTAACCTTTATACCAGTTGTTTTATGTGATGTCACTAGATCATGCTGACAACCCTTTTTAACCTTTATACCAGTTGTTTTATGTGATGTCACTAGATCATGCTGACAACCCTTTTTAACCTTTATACCAGTTGTTTTATGTGATGTCACTAGATCATGCTGACAACCCTTTTTAACCTTTATACCAGTTGTTTTATGTGATGTCACTAGATCATGCTGACAACCCTTTTTAACCTTTATACCAGTTGTTTTATGTGATGTCACTAGATCATGCTGACAACCCTTTTTAACCTTTATACCAGTTGTTTTATGTGATGTCACTAGATCATGCTGACAACCCTTTTTAACCTTTATACCAGTTGTTTTATGTGATGTCACTAGATCATGCTGACAACCCTTTTTAACCTTTATACCAGTTGTTTTATGTGATGTCACTAGATCATGCTGACAACCCTTTTTAACCTTTATACCAGTTGTTTTATGTGATGTCACTAGATCATGCTGACAACCCTTTTTAACCTTTATACCAGTTGTTTTATGTGATGTCACTAGATCATGCTGACAACCCTTTTTAACCTTTATACCAGTTGTTTTATGTGATGTCACTAGATCATGCTGACAACCCTTTTTAACCTTTATACCAGTTGTTTTATGTGATGTCACTAGATCATGCTGACAACCCTTTTTAACCTTTATACCAGTTGTTTTATGTGATGTCACTAGATCATGCTGACAACCCTTTTTAACCTTTATACCAGTTGTTTTATGTGATGTCACTAGATCATGCTGACAACCCTTTTTAACCTTTATACCAGTTGTTTTATGTGATGTCACTAGATCATGCTGACAACCCTTTTTAACCTTTATACCAGTTGTTTTATGTGATGTCACTAGATCATGCTGACAACCCTTTTTAACCTTTATACCAGTTGTTTTATGTGATGTCACTAGATCATGCTGACAACCCTTTTTAACCTTTATACCAGTTGTTTTATGTGATGTCACTAGATCATGCTGACAACCCTTTTTAACCTTTATACCAGTTGTTTTATGTGATGTCACTAGATCATGCTGACAACCCTTTTTAACCTTTATACCAGTTGTTTTATGTGATGTCACTAGATCATGCTGACAACCCTTTTTAACCTTTATACCAGTTGTTTTATGTGATGCCACTAGATCATGCTGACAACCCTTTTTAACCTTTATACCAGTTGTTTTATGTGATGCCACTAGATCATGCTGACAACCCTTTTTAACCTTTATACCAGTTGTTTTATGTGATGCCACTAGATCATGCTGACAACCCTTTTTAACCTTTATACCAGTTGTTTTATGTGATGTCACTAGATCATGCTGACAACCCTTTTTAACCTTTATACCAGTTGTTTTATGTGATGTCACTAGATCATGCTGACAACCCTTTTTAACCTTTATACCAGTTGTTTTATGTGATGTCACTAGATCATGCTGACAACCCTTTTTAACCTTTATACCAGTTGTTTTATGTGATGTCACTAGATCATGCTGACAACCCTTTTTAACCTTTATACCAGTTGTTTTATGTGATGTCACTAGATCATGCTGACAACCCTTTTTAACCTTTATACCAGTTGTTTTATGTGATGTCACTAGATCATGCTGACAACCCTTTTTAACCTTTATACCAGTTGTTTTATGTGATGTCACTAGATCATGCTGACAACCCTTTTTAACCTTTATACCAGTTGTTTTATGTGATGTCACTAGATCATGCTGACAACCCTTTTTAACCTTTATACCAGTTGTTTTATGTGATGTCACTAGATCATGCTGACAACCCTTTTTAACCTTTATACCAGTTGTTTTATGTGATGTCACTAGATCATGCTGACAACCCTTTTTAACCTTTATACCAGTTGTTTTATGTGATGTCACTAGATCATGCTGACAACCTTCTTCTTGGATCTTAATTGTCATAGCTGATGGGGTTGCCAGAAAAATATGCAATCTGTAAACTGTGCTATTAAAAACTGCACAAACAAAATATTTTGCAAATACAATTTAATTATACCACAACACTTAAATTTTGTCTTATTATGCTACAATGCACATGTAGTTACTCTTTATTAATGTCTATAAATGCTCAATTTAAGAAAACGAAAATGCCCTTGCACACTTATTGTGCATAGTTTACCGTTGCGCATCTTTCCTGTCTCCATAAGATGTGATATCCTCCAGCTCAGTTACGTGTTACGTGTCAACATGTTATTTGATGCGTAGGCCGTTGACTCCAACTACAGTATGCTTTTCTCTCTGGATTTGCTTCCATAACTTTGGTCCAACTACAAGGCAGCATTTGTTTCATTTTGGAGTTGTCCCATCTAGATGAGCTGCTGTACCCAGCTAACAGGCTCTTCTGCCTGGGGTCTGAACTCTAGACTTTTATGTTAGCAATGATGTGCTCTCCCATCTGACCATGCTGTCCCTTAAAAGTTAAATACAAGAATTTAATAAAATGAAGTTATTAATTAATCTTCCAGTCTATTTATTACATAGGCCAGAATTGATTTCTTTTGAACAAATGAAAACGACATATTTTAGGTTAGGAACGGAATGAATTATATTTTTGATCCTGAAAAAATATTATTTTACTGTTTAGCGTATTAAATTTTCAAATAATTATTTAATTAATTAATTCTAAACAGGGGGAGTTTACTCTAGCTATCAAAAACCAGAATAGTCTTTCAGAGGAGAAGAAAATTCCCATGTCAAGTAAGTTTTATTGGCAGTCTTAAAAAAGTTATAATAATTAACCAATCTAAATCTCAGTTTTAAAGGTGAAGGTTGAAAGCTAAGACTAAGATATAGAAACTTTATTTATAAATATATACACTAGGTAAATGAAACTGCAACTTAAATTTTTAAAGGTTAAGATAATAAATATGATAACAATGTTTTTACATTTTTGTAGGTGAAAGCCAAGATTATCGCAGATATAATGATGACATTGGGAAAGTTCTCTTTATTGATGGCTATGTTCATGTGTCCTTCACATTGACCTTAGAGGAGTCCAATCAAAAACAGGTAAGGTTCTTCTTCCTGGGTAAAACTTAAAGTAAAATAAACGGACAATTTTTTTTGTTTTTTTACTGTGACAATTTTCTTACAGGGTGTGTTTCTGATTGTGACAATTTTCTTACAGCGTGTGTTTCTGATTGTGACAATTTTCTTACAGCTTGTGTTTCTGTGACAATTTTCTTACAGCTTGTGTTTCTGATTGTGACAATTTTCTTACAGCTTGTGTTTCTGATTGTGACAATTTTCTTACAGCTTGTGTTTCTGATTGTGAAAATTTTCTTACAGCTTGTGTTTCTGACTGTGACCTCTGAGATTTGCCATGAAATCCGTGTGGTTTGTATCCGTGAACACTTCTCCCTGACCAATGAAACCGACCTGGCCCTGGGGGTCAGGCTGCTTGCCCTGCCCCTCAGTCTGGTCCCTGTCAAAATGGCCGACATGGACCCCCTGGTGTTGACCTGTGCTGGCAGACAGGGAGATAAATCTGGCAGGAAAGTCTCGAAGCCACTACTGATTTGGTCAACAACCAGGGGAGAGAAGTCTGATGATGTAGAGACCAAGGACAGTGCAGGGGAGGCCACTTATGTTTGTTATCTCTCCTTCTCTAAGCTCATGGAGCAAGGCTCAAGGTATTTGAATCTTTCTGCTGTTGAATTTTTTAAATGAAAAAAAAGTCAAGTCCCATTTATAACTAGCAGTCAGAGAGTGAAAGAATTGTGTCTTCTATATCCAGATGACAGTAACTTGCCCTGAGTAGACTCTGTATTTTTGTATTTTTGGTTATGGTTTGAAGATTTTACTTTCAAATATTCTTGCTTTTTTTTGTTTTGTAAAAGGATTGTATACTAAATTTCCTTCTTAGACTTAATCGACCTTTAAAATGATTTGTTTAGCTAAACAAGAATTGTTTGTAAAATTATGTATTATAGAAGTTTAATAGAAGAATAATAAAATGGGATCCCTGGCTCATGTCCATATTAAGTAGTCCCTGAGTCAACTCAGCTTTGATGGGTACCTGACTAACATTGGAGAAAGTATTGGGTATAGTGCTGACTCTTATGCTGAGTTCAGTGAAAAAGGTTCAAAATAACTTCACCTGCCCCATGGACTATAAGGGTCAAATGGGTACTTTACTTATTATAAAATGGACTTTACGTCACAAATTTATTGAAGTGATAACGAGACCAGCTGTTTTTCTCCACAGTGACTGGAGCTGGAGTCTGCCTGTAAGGATTGTGTCCTCTAAGGACGGCCACAGGACAACCACAAGCATCCCTGACCAGCACAGGAGTGAGGGGTCAGAGGTCACACCAATCACTCACCCAGTCACTGTGGCCACCCAGCTGGTCAAGGGGGTGACCCATGTTGTGTTGATAACTGACCCGGCTCCCGCTTGCGTGCTGGAAAATTTGTGTCCGTTCCCTCTTCAGTATGGCCAAGCTTGTGATAAACTTCTAGTGAATGGTGAGGGAGGATGTATCTACATCTAAATACATACATATACGCTAAGTTTTTTTGGACATAGATCATAAATTTATGAATATTTAGTGTTTCTTAATAGTTTAGTGCAAACATAATTTAATTTGTTTGTTCCACGATTAAGCTCTATAATTTTTTTTTAATTTTTGAAACCCAGGGGCAGTAATCCAGGAACAAGTGGAGCTGGTGGCTGACCTCCCCTGGCTTCCCCCTGGTGGGTGGAGTCACTACACACCCCCCAGTGTCAACACTGAGTTTGTCAACAGAGACACCCTCACACTGCCAAGGCTGCACTTCCGTGCCATGGACATACAGGTGTCTGGTGTACCTGAGACAGGTGTGTGCCACATTTATCCAGTTTTATCTGGTGTATTTGCACAGTTTACAGATTTGTAGTCTGTTCTTTGAACTTAGTTTGATGGCTGTACTTGAAACTGTTCACGATGCAGTCTATCGATGTACAACATGTAAACAAGGCTTTAAAATATGATAAGGCTACCAATGTTGACTCACACATCTACTACACAAAATGTGACAATTATGGCAAGGAAATGAGTCTAAAAATAGACAGTTGGTAACAATTGAATGTTATCATGATGTGTTTTCTTGAATTTCATTTCTTCTGAAATCACATCAACTCACGAGTGATCAACTAGCACTCAATGAAAAATATCCCATGGTTAAATATTTCATTTTGTAATTAACTTTCATTAGACATTACTTCAACATGTTGTGTTACCTTTGTTGTCCAATTTTTCAAATGGTTTATATTTTGTGTCTGCAGCTTCTGTGGTCTGGCTGGGGGGATTTTCTTAACCATCTTGAGAGTTGTAGTTTTAAACAAACAGCTTGGTCTACATATCTAGCATAATGTCTGCTTATTCCATTTTAATTTTTACCTAGTAGTCACTTGTTCATTAACAAGAAATTAAAATATTTTTAATTTTTGCAAATTTTTAAAATGTACTCAACCATTTTTTCCAACCATTATTGATCTTCTTAAATGTATCAATAAAAATTATTGTTTCTTTTACATAGAAGTTGATATTTTAAATAAACTTTGTTTTGTTTGTGGCCAGGTTTTTCTGAGTGGAGTTCAGCCACCCAGATCTCAGGCAACATGGATGCTTTTGTACGTCTGCCTGGGTTCTGTGACCTCAAGGTCATGATTGAAGTGGTGGGCATGGTCACCCATCTCATTGTACGTCCGGTCAGTAAAGCTGAAATAACAGCCAAGGAGATCCGCACCAGATTAACTGACCACGGGACGGTCAAAACCCAGGCGGAAAAATCTGGCAAGTTTGGTGCTGCTATGGTGACCTGGGAAACGCCTGTCACAGAAGCGAGCTCTGATTTACTGCTGACAGAATCAACGAGCCAGTCGTCCATCTTACATGGGTCATCCCCCTCCCAGCTTACACAGCCCAGACATCCATTGCCGTCTTCTTACATTCGCTTCACTGAAAGAACCAAACGTGCAATCACAGACACCGGCATGAGCGTAACACTAGGCGCCTCCTGCTGCAGCTTCTCACTCGTCCTGCAGGATGAGTCCAGCGCCGAGGTACTCACTGAACTGACCAGCCTGCATTTTAAAGATCTTTTCTTGGCCGCCTACCCTGTGTCTAAGAACCCAGATGCCGTGGGTCATGAGACCTGCTACACCTTCAGCGCCACCACCATCCAGCTTGACAACCAGCAGTACGGGGAGGGGATGTACGACTTCCCCGTGGTCATCCTGCCACAGAAATCAACAAGCGACACAACAACGCAGGCTGAGGTTTTGAACACAGAACACATGTCTGTACTTGAACTTCACGCTGTGTTGAGGTCAAGAGCATTTTTACATTTACAAATTGTTACGTATTCTGACCCTATATGGCATCAGTTTGTTATAGAGACAGTGGATGTGTCAGTGAAGCCGTTGTCTCTGTATGTCGACGACAGCTTCATCTACAGACTAGTGCAGGAGCTGGAGAACTTTTCTCCCAGCCGGCTCTCTAGTAGAATGGAAGCCGTGGTCCCAGCTCCGGGTCGTCTGGACAGGAAGTTACCGGCTCTCATCAGGCTGAACTGTTACACTCTGAGCCACCCAATCAGAATCAAGCATTTCACAGTCCAGCCAATCAACCTTCTGCTCAGTGTTCACGCCTCCCTGAAGCTATTTTTAGCATCAGACCACACCCCATTGAATGTTGGGAAATTTGAGAGGGTGCAGGTGTTCTCCACCACACAGAAACTGGGACACGCTCTGGCCATGCACTACGCCTCAGCTGCTATTTTTAGAGCAGGTTAGTAGCTTAGAATCTTGTTATTTCAAATATTTTACCAAATTTAAATGTTTACTAATGTACATATTTTATTTTGTATAGTGATGATTTAGCAAAAAATTTTTTATGAATAAAAAATGAGTTGTCATATTTTCACTACAAGAAATTCTAAGTAAATTTTTAATTAAACATACAGTCATCTGAACATTTAAAATGTAAATTATTGGTTTAATTTAAACACTTGAAAGGATGTTAAATATATTTTAACAAAGATTAGTCAGTGATTTTGTGTGAAACATTTTGTCACATTCGAGACTTATTTTGGTTAAAATATTATAAATTGATCTGGCAAAAGTAGAGACTATTTTATGGCTACAATTTTTAAAAATTTATCTGGCACAGGTATAGTGGTGGGGTCTCTAGAGATCCTGGGCAACCCAACAGGTCTTGTGAGAAGTATTGGAACAGGGGTGTCAGACCTCATCAGTCTACCCTACTACGGCCTGACCAGGGGGCCTGGGGCTTTTGTCTCCGGCCTGTCCCGGGGGATAGGCAGCTTGGTCAAGAATGTGTCTGCAGGTCAGTTTTGGTCTTCTGTATTATTAATGAATTAAAATTTATTATTTTCATGATTAGGTAACTTAATGACTATAATTAAATATCTTCTAGATTAGATAATTACATGTCATCATGATTAGATAAATTAATATAATTATATAAACTAATATGTCTTCTTGATTAGATAAATACTTAAATAACAGAAGCTAGTTTTTTTTCTTAAAAGAAGCAGGTTTGTGTAATAGGACATGACCCTTTTGTCTGTTATGTTAGCAACAGGAAAATTTGTTTTATTTAAAACTTTACAAGTCAGGAGTCCATCAAGCTCTATGTTCACAAAATTGTTATATTGGACATTTAGAATATGTTTTAGGATGTATGGCACAATTTATTGAGGCTGAGACTCGAGGTCATTATTCCCTTACAAACACATGAATCCCTTACTATATGACCTCCTTAGAAACACATGACCCACATAGAAACACATGACCTACTTTAAAATACTTGTCCAGGTAAGATCACCTCAGTGACCTAGTTTGAAATGTCCCCATTACAATCACATGTGACCTAGTTTGAAATGTCCCCAGGTACAATCACATGTGACCTAGTTTGAAGTGTCACCAGGTATGATCACCTGTGACCTAGTTTGAAATGTCCCCAGGTATGATCACCTGTGACCTAGTTTGAAATGTCCCCAGGTATGATCACCTGTGACCTAGTTTGAAATGTCCCCAGGTATGTGACCTAGTTTGAAATGTCCCCAGGTATGATCACCTGTGACCTAGTTTGAAATGTCCCCAGGTATGATCACCTGTGACCTAGTTTGAAATGTCCCCAGGTATGATCACCTGTGACCTAGTTTGAAATGTCCCCAGGTATGTGACCCACTTTAAATTGTCCCCAGGTATGATCACCTCAGTGACCAACTTTGCGTCCAGTGTATCCAGGAACATGGACCGCCTGTCCTTTGACTCCAGCCACCTAGAGAGACAAGAGGAGAACCGGAGGAACCGGCCAGTGGGCGTGTCTGACGGTTTGAAGCAGGGCCTTACCGGATTTGGATTAAGCTTATTGGGTTTGTGAGAATTTATTAGTTTGCCCATGTTAATGTTGAGCATTTTGTAATACCCCTTTATCTTGTTAGAATTTGGGTCAAGCTCATTGTGAAAATGGTTACTGTTTTGTATTGTAAGGCTTTAGGTCAAGCATGCTGGAAGCAGGCTCTTGTTATGCCATATAAAGATTTTACATTGTTGATATGCATACTGAAAGTTAGAGTATAATTCAGTTGTTGTTTTTTATTTTGTGATTTCTTGTCTTTTTGAGTTATAATATTTTTAAATTGTTAAAGAAAATGCAGAATAAACTGCCAAATATAGCTCTTGACCATGAGTTAATCTAACTTGTAGTAAATGATACATGTTTATTTACCCCATGAAAGTCTGGAACCTTCTCTTGCAATCTCCAGGAGCTGTAGCTGGACTAGCTGACCAGCCCATGCAGACCCTGCTGTCCACTGGAGCACCGGATGAGAGACGTGGATCTGCATCATCCGCTGCCTCTGGCTTTGTGACCGGCATGGGGAAAGGTTTGGTTGGGGTCTTCACCAAACCAATAGGTGGCGCTGCTGAATTTGTGTCGCAGACTGGTCAAGGTTAGTTCTGTGGTCATCACCACATCAACACTGGACTTGTTTGCCCTGCAGTAGTTCTGTTTTGTTTTGTTTTTTTTTAAACTATGTTTTTAAGCAATGTATTTTTTCATCCAATAATTCTTTGCTTTATCTAATTTTAATGTTTAAAAAGTATGCTGATACTTATTAATTCTATCTAAAAATCTGTCCACTAAAGATGAACCTACCCACACCAAAGTAAATCTAACCCAACCTAATCCGACCTAAATTAAACCCAATCTAAATCTAACCTGACCTAAATTAAACCCAATCTAAATCTAACCCTACCTTTCAAACCTAATACTAGGATTGAAGGAACACTAACCTTATCTTAATCTTTTTAAGTTTTGACAGATTAAAAATCTGACCTTATACTAAGCTAGAGTCCCTTGAACTTAATGTCATAAAATCGTCATTATGAATGTGATATATTATAATTTGCACCAAGAAAGACAAACATTCCTTATTTCAAATGTTCAGGTATCCTCCATGGCACCGGCCTGGGCCAGTTGCCAGCTAGACTTGACAAGGCCAGTGTTGTAGAGAGATGTGAATTGCCAGATGGCCAGTTCAAATATTCTATGTAAGTTTTTTGACTTATTTTTTTTTATTTCTCTGTTGGATGTTTGTTTTTGATACAGTTGAATATTTATGTTTAGAACTTACCAAATTTGCACACATTATTTATTAATTGAAATCAAAAATAAAAAATGATACAAATTTATTTATGTAATTAAATTTGTAACATAAGAGATTATTAAAATTTCCCTAATCCGTTAAAAAATCGAATTAATGTGATGAAAATTTTGCATTTGGAACTTTTATAAATAATTTTTTTTGTATAATTAAATTGTTTACCTGTTGTTTTTTAAAAATATTTTTGCGCAGAAAAATCTTTTCATCCCTTCCCTCACCTGAGCTATATTTAAATTGTTTACCTGTTGTTTTAAAAATATTTTTGTGCAGAAAAATCTTTTCCTCCCTTCCCTCACCTGAGCTTATATTTAAATTGTTTACCTGTTGTTTTAAAAATATTTTTGCGCAGAAAAATCTTTTCCTCCCTTCCCTCACCTGAACTCCTGCTGGCTGTCCCTGCACTTACCTTCGACCTGATGGAAACTGAGGTCAAGGTTGTTCTGCTCTTGACCCCAGACGTCCTTGTGGTGGTCAACGTGGAAGAAGACGCCCAGCAGCAAGCTTTGGCCCTGACGGAGCTGGAGTGTAAACCCAACTACGAGGAAGGACGTCTGATTCTTCAGTGGAAAGATCAGATCTATGGAGCTTCATCTCTTGAGGTTAGTCCATCTATCGGTTGCCACGTGTTTTACAAAATGCCAGATAAAAAGATCTTTGACATTGTGTTCTCAATTTTTATTTTAAATCTAATATTATTGATATTAAGTTTTTGAATGCTTTGAGCTGTAATTGCAACGAACATAATTAAAATTTAAACATAGGACTTCCCTAATATTCTTTAGGTTTTATGATTTTTTTTTTAAATGTGTATTATTTTTTAATTTATATTTGTGAATCTTTACACAAGTGTGAAAATTTTAAAATAATATATTTTTTATGAAAGTATATCTAGACTTATAAATAATTATTATCGGTACAAATTTAGTGTTTAATTTAATTTTACTTATAAGAAATTCACTGTTTGAACACCACTTTGACCTTGTCTTCTCTTGTTGACCTCCAGCAGACACGCACATCAAACAAAGATAGAGTCGCAGCTTTTATCGACACACAAAAGGTCTCAGAGAAACCAAGCACCCCACCCTGTCTGGAAACCGAGCCCACACTTCCAGCCAATGGTCAGTCTGTGTCTGAGGTGACCTCCCAGAGCCAGCAGATATCCCGGCTGTCCAGCTCTGGCAGCCTGCCTGACCTAAAGACCTCGTCCGTGCCCAGCCAGATGACCTCTGCCCCCCAGTACGAGTTCGAGCTGGACCCCCACTGGCAGGATCTGTTTGTCACATTATTCCAGTTGACAAAAAATCGTTTGCAAGGCCGAGGCTTCCCGCTTTAGAATTTTTTCAATTTGAAATATTTTTTAAATTACGCCTATACCTATACATACATGTACATTCAACTTTAAATATTTATTATAAGTTCCATACTGGCAAATAATTTATGATATTGACATATTTATTTATTTCACAAATTATACACTTTATAAGCTGTAAATTATTTGCTGCAAATAAGTCTGTAAATATTTGACACAGTCAGTATTGTTCTGTACATGATGTTTTAAAATGTATGTTGTTAAAACTGTATGTTGCCCATAATTCATTGCATCATTACGTTGTTGACTTCCTGTTTCAGCAACCATACTTGGTAAAATGTCATTCCACTGTACATTAACTTATGTTTTTTTACTAGATTCCTGAATGTTGAGGGTGCTCAGTAAATTATATGATCGTATTAAAGTTTAAACTTTTTATAAATATGTCCATGTCGTGTTGTATATGTTTAAAATTGTTGTGTTATATTTGCTGAAAAAATTTAAAATTTTAAAATATTTAATTAACATCACTCCACTAAACCCCCTCAATCAAACGAGATGGGCTAGTGTTTTATCAGTATTTGTTTAGTCTAACCAGTCTATGAAAGTTACCATTTAATTAGCATACACTGGTTTTCTGGTTTAGCCTCTAGATTAGCTGCTGCTCATGTTTAGATATCTCTAAAAGGTCAGCCATGATAGGCCAGAGTTGTGTGAAAATTTGTCCTGAATTTAATGATGTTTAAACTGTTTAGCATGTCCATAACAGATGTAGATCTACATGTTAGGTTTAGACTGAAATGCACTTTCTTTAATAAGAATACAATTATAGATGACTTTGTAAGTCTATTAAAGTAAGTGTGTTAAAGGTGTATAAAGTATTGAGGGAACTGATGGTTTTTTATGTGTTTGGTTTATACTCTGGATTTCATTTCATGATAATAAAATTATTTTATTTTAATATTGGTTTGAAAATGTTTAAGTTTTAAAAAGTTCTTTCTTTTCTACTTTTTATAATTATTACTTAAAATGCTAGCTCTTAAATGATGACATTATAAAATCTGATGAATTGTCATGTGATTTTATTAAATTGAATGAAAGAATTTTTTTCCTAAATACTACCTGGCATGGGGTTGTTAACTTTGACATTGAGGGAAAACTTGTATGGTATTTTTGTCAGGCTTTGAATCAAATTTCGATTCAATTGTTTTGTTATAATTTTTACTTCCAGTTTTTAAATGTATTATTGCACCATTGCTAGATTTAACCGGTATTGGTTGAAGAAGACTCTCATCTAATTTTGGTTTAATTAATTAACAAGAATTTTAATTGCCTTCTAAAAAAATAATGTTTGATAAAGAATTCCACATAAAAATAATTAATGCTGAATTTAGGAATGTTACAGAATTGTCAAATTTGCATATTATTTTTTACCTTGAAGTTTGTTTGAGTCACCTGGCAATAGAAGCCAGAATTTTGGTGACCTATCAAGTTGTGGTGTGTAGCTCAGTTTAGGGAGGTACCTCAACACCAGTTTAGGAAAGTATAAACATATTACTTACTTAATCACTCCCTGTGGAGTATAGGGCAGTATAAACATACGTACTTCAAAGTATGTGGACATACGCTAGCTCTTCAGAACTTTGAACCTCCCCATGATCTTGACCCTTGCTATGAAATGTCAACAACTCATGCATGTTTGTGTTGTAAAGACAAAAAAATTATACACAACACTCCAAGTGATTGGGTCTAACATATATTTATGACAGAATAAAATAACTTTTGTTTCAAATGTGTGTTTTACTTCAGTTTGTTCTATATCAACAACAATTGCAGTTCAGAGTTAAGTGATAGCAGCTAGGTTGTCGTCTCACTTGGGCATTGTTGGCCTGTGCCAATTTATACTATACGGTGGAGCTGTCAACTATAGGTAATGTGGTGGAGCTCTCAGCTATAAGGTGGAAATGTCAACTATAAATAATGTGGTGGTGGGGTGGCAATTGGAGCTGACAACTATAAGTAATGTGGTAGTGGAACTTCAAAAAAAAAAAGAATAAAATTATTGAAATAAACAAATTTCTTATATAAAAAGCTTTTTATTTTTGTGATATTCATTTGAAGGACAAATTATGCAGAAAAAAAAGCACATATTCACTTTGACATAGCTCAACTCTCTGACAAACACAAGCAGCAGTTGACAGCACATGAAACATGACATTAAGGTGACAGGACATGAAACATGACATTAAGGTGACAGCACACATAACATAGCATATAGGAATGGCAATTATCTTAATGGAACCTTTGAGCAGACTATTTGCACTAAGTGCAATATCCACTTGTCTAATTCAATGCTACAAAAGTTACTGAGCCTGCCCTAGGCTTTTCAGTTATTACATTGGGTATATCCAGTGTATTTTTTATTGCAGGAGAAATGTATACAACCAGTACATAGAATGTTACAGATTTTCAAAATATTACAAATTTAATTTTTAACTGTTGCCTAGATCTTATAAAAACCCAGGAATGTAATGCATTAAAGAATCTGAAAACAAAACATGTACGCCTATATTTCAAAAGTAACATCTCAGTGCAGTGTATTGTGTGTGGACCAAACCACGTTTATTTACTGACATCACAATTTCTAAGCTGCTCAATCAACCTTTCCTTTTTTAGGTTCAATCATTTTCTTTCATAATTTCAATCAATTCATATAAATTACATTGATGTAGTTATAATTTTTAAAAGGTTATAAAGTGAACAATTATTAGCAATAAAACAGTTAAAGGCACAACATCATTCTGACAAAAAATATTCAATAACATTATGTGTTAACTTAAAAATAGTCACATGATTTTTCTTTATTGGATGAGAATATAGTAGTTTTATATTACTGTGATACATGCATGCAAAAATGTTGGTTTAGACTTATTTAACTTATTATTGATTCAGATTTAATGTGTAAAGTGTGTTGAAATAAAATAAAATATCTGATAGAAATCTAGCCTTGTTGAAATCAAACAAACAACACATTTTATTGAAATCTAACCTAGCTGAAATCAAATGAACAAAACATTTGATTGAAATCTAGCCTAGTTGAAATCAAATGAACAACACATTTTATTGAAATCTAGCCTAGTGGCAGGTTAAATAGAAATAGTTAATTACATTATTATGAGGTACAATTTTCAATTCACTTTTTTTGCTTTACATTAAAGAAAATGCTTATAAAAAGTATATAATATATTTATTAATATATAATTTGACTTGACTTGTATATTTTAAATTTGAAATATAGGGCAGGAGGTCTTAAAATAGAAAGAAATTCAAAGGTCACAAAGTCAGCAATGGCCAGTGTTAGAAAGTTTAGATGATTTAACCAAGAAATTAGCTTGTAATTTTTTTTAAAGAAATATTTTCTTCCATTTAACCATGGCTGAATAAAGGACAAACACCAGGATTTTTTTTTAAATATGAAAGGGTCACAATTATGAACAGCCAAATTTAGTCACACAAAAAAACATTTAATAAATCTTTGCAATACTGGGCAAGTCATTAAAATACATTTATGTTAGAAATTGCATATGAAGAAAACACATCTGCCTGAATGACATATAAGGCCACATCAGCATGTTCATAAAGAGGTTAAAGATAGTATCTTCAAGAAAAACATGCAAAAAATGGGATCATTGTTTACACATGTGCAGGATACAGAGAAGAAATAAAATATATTGCATTCTTAGGAATAAAAGTGGGGAAACTGGTTTTAGGCAAAAATATTTTTAAAATGTGATTTTTAAAAAAATCATAAGTTATAAAAAGAATATGAAATATGTGTTTACATTTTTTTTTACATGTAGATATATTAATGAACAGTAATGCAATTACAAATAGACTTCCTTGATAATCTTACTTAGAAGGGCCTACTGTAAAACTTCTAATATCTGAGTGAGGTACTAACATTTACCAAAATAAAATAATTCATCTTGATGTTTCATACATTTTAGATTAGACTAGTTCTAAAGTAGAGTGAATAGAATCTTGTATAAATAACTGAGTGGAAATAATGAAAATATTTTTAAAATTTTAAAATAATCAACAATTTGCATAAATTATGTTTTAAAGTATCACCAACTTGCAAAATTGCTTTTAAAAACTTGCAAACAAGGTAAATCTTCTACAGCTAGTCTTAGATTATTGCATTTATTACAATCACACTATTATAGGCATCTCTGATAATAGCTCAAATATAGGTACACTCACAAACTGATATGATTACTGTCCAATGACCTAATCAAGTTAATGAACCATAATGAACTACAAGCTGACATAGGAAATCAGTTTTCCTAATCTGTAGTAGCCTACTTATATACATCTATTCCAGGTCATGCAATTTCTACTGCTAGTAAATTAAATCTTTGCAAACTGTTTTTGTGCAAGCATAAAATAAGAGTTAAAGTATTGGGCATATAATAGTTTTTTATTTAAGTGGCTTCCCTGCTAATAGTGCTAAACATTGAGCTTGACTAGCAAAGTGAAAAAGTGCATCAATATTGAAGAAAACTAGTCTATGAGTGCTCATATTTTTTGCCTCTAATGAAGGGTACTTTAGAAGTTTTACGTAGCACTGTAGTACTATTTTGGGCTTTTACTCTAACTTTGTTTCTACAGAACAGATGCCCAGATAGGTGGATTTTGACAAAAATCCCACTAAAAGAAAAGTGTTGATTTTTAAAAAATTACAACAATAAAAAGGAGATATCTAAATATTTAAAAATTCAAATTGCAGTATTATGCAACGTCAAAGAATACATTTTTTAATTAAAATAGATATATTAATATATATATTTATTCTTTATTTACAAAAATACAATCACCATTTGCATTTCACCCACATTAATTTGATTGATGTTCATTTTAAGTGCAATAATTAGACCTAATTAAAATAATTATTAATAAAGCAATATTATATATATAGTTAAATTCATAAATTATGATTAAAATTACTTTTACCCTTTATGGCTTTATTTTAAAACACTTTTAAAAAAATAATTATTTTTATATTGTTCATCACCATCTCAAATCTATTTTCATTTTTTTTTTAAATAGACCCACCTACAAGGAAAATACTTTTAATATCATGCTGGTTTCAATGTGGATCTAGATTCTAGATTTATTTCTTAACATTGTGTAGCCTAGTTTTTTTTTTTGGTCAGAATTAAGAGTTATATCATAATTACAATTTTCTTACAATTAATATATTTATATAATAAATTGACTTAACTAAGCTGCAGATTTTAGATTTATAAAACAACATACATACGCCCAATACGCATAATTAACTAATTATTTAGGCCCTAATAACTTTTTATTTTTTTAAAAAATAATACACACTATTAACATTTAATATGCACATTGTAGTATACTATACAGTAAGCGTTATATTTTTAAAGATTGACAAAGTATTTAATATTGCATATTGCATAATCTTTCATCCTAAAGCACCTTTTGTGTTGTTTACACTTCGTTTCCTAGCAACTGGCCAGAAATGATATTATTATTATTGTTGACCGAAATAAGTCGTCAGTGTAGGTACAAACACAGGTCTATAGATTTAATTCCCTTGCAGATTTTAACTGAACAAATTTTAAAAATTTTAAATCATTTCATAAAACATTATATTTCCTTCCAGATTTTAACTGAACAAATTTTAAATCATGTCATAAAACATTTAATTTCCTTCTAGATTTTAAATGAACAAATTTAAAATCAGTTCATAAAACATTATATTTCCTTCCAGATTTTAACAGAACAAATTTAAAATCAGTTCATAAAACATTATATTTCCTTCCAGATTTTAACGGAACAAATTTAAAATCAGTTCATAAAACATTATGTAGGTAGACGCTTCCAAATTTTCTACAATCAGCAGAAGTGGAATGCTGGCGGGTTTAGCCTTGTGTTTTTGCAGAGTTCAACCAAATCTTTATAAACTCTGAAAAATCGTAAATTGTTATAATTTAAACACGAATAAAGCTTACACTTTGTTGGCACCAACAAATTACAAAGGATTTCTATCAACCAGATATTTATTGGGCATAGGCGTGTAGACCCGATTTTATTATAGTAGAATATAACATGCATGATATATATATACATTATATATATATATATATATATATATATATATATATATATATATATATATATATATATCATCCCTTTAGTGTATGGAAATGGTTTATGGTTTGATAACACACCCACACACACATATGTACATATATAAATAAATAAATAAATAAATATATATATATATATATATATATATATATATATATATATATATATATATATATATATATATATATATATATATATATATATATATATATATATATATATGGGTGTGTTATCAAACCATAAACCATTATCATACACTAAAGGGATGATTGTAACAGAGGTAAATAGCCTTATATTACATAACTTATGAGTTGTTTACTTTCTCGTATATACGAAGTATAGAGAAAATCTTGTAATCGTACACAAAAAAATCGAGATTTTTGCAAATCAAAACGTTTTAGGGCTCCCTCAGTCGGAAAAAAATAGTTTTGCAATCTTGTCCGTATGTCTGTGTGTGTATGTGTCTTTTTTTGTAGTAATTTATGCTATTTCCGATTTCTCAAAAAACTAATGTAAATTTATAAAGTACTAATAATATTGCGCACTATTATGCACATTTTATTTGGCATTCACTTGGTGTCCAATTCTTTTGTCTACGAGATTTTATTCTATTTAAAAAACTTTAAGTATTTAAAATGAATTAAAAATCATGTCTGTATCCCGAGTTGCCATCCCCTGTTGTTTTATATAAGAATATTCGAGAAAGTTTAGGGGAGATCACTCCCGGTTTATTTTCCTTTACATTAGAAATCAAATGATTCTAGACCTAGCCTTATGTTTATTAATATAACGATTTTATTATTTTCCTTACATTAGAAATGTAATGACTCTAACCTAAGACCACTGTAATGAGTTTATACCTTTCCTTACATTAGAAATGTAATGAGTTTATCACTTTCCTTACATTATAAATGTAATGAGCCTAGTCCTATGACCATGTGCTCACATCTGTTACCACGCACGTGCGCACGAGTGAGTACCAATTTGTTATCCAATCAGAAGAGTGACAGGACTGTAAGTTGTTGTGAATAATGGATGTGCAGGGGGTGGGGGGGGGGGCGGTGCGAGCTAGTTGCGTGACGTCATGAAGACTCTTCACATTAACTCTGCTCGCTTCAGGATATTGTGGTTTTTGTTTGGGAAAAAACAAATAACTCCAACCAGTGACAACTTAATAGGTACTCAACATTCAAGAAATCTAATTAGCGAATTAATTTCAAACCAATATGGCAACGTAAGAAAAAACATGCTGTAGGCATATTGGTTTACTACGAATGGAATCAATATAATATTTAAGGATTTAAACTAATCGATAAGCCAAGTGGTAAGAAATTAGATTTTAAGTAGGTGAAAATTTAAAACAAGGGGGACAATAAGTTGGTGAAAATATAAAACAAGTTAGACAATAAGTTGGTGAAAATATAAATTAAGTTAGACAATAAGTTGGTGAAAATATAAAACAAGTCAGACAATAAGTTGGTGAAAATATAAAACAAGGGGGACAATAAGTTGGTGAAACTATAAAACAAGGGGGACAATAAGTTGGTGAAACTATAAAACAAGGGGGACAATAAGTAGGTGAAAATATAAAACAAGAGAGACAATAAGTTGGTGAAAATATAAAACAAGAGAGACAATAAGTTGGTGAAACTACAAAACAAGAGAGACAATAAGTAGGTGAAAATATAAAACAAGAGAGACAATAAGTTGGTGAAACTATAAAACAAGGGGGACAATAAGTAGGTGAAAATATAAAACAAGTGAGACAATAAGTTGGTAAAACTACAAAACAAGGGGGATAATAAGTTGGTGAAAATATAAAACAAGGGGGATAATAAGTTGGTGAAAATATAAAACAAGAGAGACAATAAGTTGGTGAAAATATAAAACAAGGGGGATAATAAGTTGGTGAAAATATAAAACAAGGGGGACAATAAGTTGGTGAAAATATAAAACTAAGGGGATAATAAGTTGGTGAAAATATAAAACAAAGAAGATGTTTAAATATTAAACAAGTGAGAATAAAAGAAGGGACAAAATTAAACAGTCTAAAACAAGGGAGATCATAAAACAAGGGAGACTAAAAACAAGGGAGATCATAAAACAAGAGAAACTTTAATAAAAATGACGACCAGCCACCCTGAGGCTGTTTACCCAAGCACTAGACAAAAGAACTCATTGTCACCTTCGTAGTTGATCTTCCCGTCCTGGTCGACGTCTGCCTCTCTCATCATCTCGTTCAGCTCGTTGTCTGAGAGCGGCTCGCCCAGGTTCTTCATGGCAGCCCTCAACTCCGCCTCGTCAATCACACCGTCACCGTTCTGGTCGAACACCTGGGGATAGAGAGTAACACCTGGGGTTAGGGGCAGTCAAACACCTGGGGATATAGGGAAACACCTGGGGATAGAGGGGAACACGTGGGGTAGAATCTAACACCTGGGGATAGGGCAGTCAAACACCTTAGGTTAGAGGGAAACACCTGGGGATAGAGGGAAACACCTGGGGTAGAGTCAAACACTTGGGGTTAGAGGCAGACACCTGGGGATTTAGGGAAACACCTGGGGATAGAGGGAAACACCTGGGGTAGAGGAAACACCTGGGGTAGAGGGAAACACCTGGGGATAGGGCAGTCAAACACCTGGGGTTAGAGGGAAACACCTGGGGTTAGAGGGAAACACCTGGGGATAGAGGGAAACACCTGGGGTAGAGTCAAACACTTGGGGTTAGAGGCAGACACCTGGGGATAGAGGGAAACAGTCAAACACCTGGGGTAGAGGGAAACACCTGAGGTTAGAGGGGAACACCTGGGGTTAGAGGGGAACACCTGGGGATAGAGGGAAACACGTGGGGTAGAATCTAACACCTGGGGATAGAGGGAAACAGTCACACACGTGGGATAGAAGTTAAACCGTTTCCTACCAGGCCTATCACAGAGTCATATTTGTGACGCCCCTGCTTACTAATAGGCCTATATGTGAGCTATGAACTAGAATGTATTCATATATCAACATAACAGAAACTGGTAGCCTACTGATCTATCTAAACTTTGCTACAGCTCATCCTCCAAAACGTGTGATATAAAACTAAGCTCAAGTAGTTGCCAGAGGTAAACTCATGTTTCTAAACCCTGTAACTAAGCTCCTGGGATTACATTCAGAAGAAATCACCGCCCCACTGATGGGAACGTCATCTTTAGATCGATTGTATCGATCACCAAAAAGTTATCCTTAACAAAGTCTCGGTGGTATTGTCACAAACGTGAAAGAAATGAAAATCGGCCCCCAGGGTATAAAGGAAACCACTTCAGTATTAAAGTTTACAATAATAAAGCTGTATCAATTGGATTTAATTTAATTGCGAAACCTTTTTCTTTGTCTCAATCTCCCTTTGTCAATTTATAAAGCATCTCCACTTCTTTTTTCCCATAATAATGCTACCGACTAACACTGTACGTTCCCCACCTCTCCCCTCCCCTGTTACATTTTCCCTACACACACACAGAGAGAACAACTCATCACTCCTCTATATACCAGCTCCCACTCTTTATATTTTCCCTACACAAACACACACTATTACTCCTTTATATACCACTCCCTTTACAATCCTTTACTGTACACAATCACAACCTCTAACAACTTTCGCTTACGTAGTACGTGATGTACACAACTATTTAGTACATCATTCAATCATATATCACTCTTTCCACACAGTCTTAGTGTACACAATTCAGACATTAAACAGTACACAAATTACAGTGACACCCTCCCACGCAGATAAGTTTCCACATCCCCGTATTCTACACAATTTACACTGTCAAATAGTAAACCCTAAATATATATAATACTATACCTAATCATGTAACCCCGATAAGCCTCCACCCCCTACTCGCCTGACACAATCGTATAGCACACTCATAACATCGCCAAGACGTAACTCTACACATACAACCCCCTTCTCTACTGCACACGTCAGATTTACAGACTCCATCTCTCGACCTAATCTCCCCACCCCAGAATGTATCCCAGTAACCCAACCCCAACCCCCCCCCCTTCCAACACCCCTCAACCCAACCCCCTCCCCATTCCCCCTCCCCTCCACCCTCCAGCATAGACTAGCTCCAGAGAATCAAACCACCCACACTCCAAACTCGCAGCGTTGTAGCTAAGTGTTGTCAATAAGCTAATCGCAAGCTTCTGGCTAAATATTTTAAAATTGCAAAATTTATACGAATAGGTAGAGGGGTGGAGAGGAGGTTGTCTAATGCCAAAAAAATGGGGGGGGGGGGGGGGCACTGAGTACACAAGAGAAATCATGTTGCACAATTAAGTTTCGATTTGCGAGTATTTGATGCCATTTAATCCTAAATTACTCTACCAAGGCTTGAAATATTTGCTGACATTGACATGACATGGCTGTGACATCATCAACCGTCGTTTGCCCCTAGGGTGGATGTCAAGTCATTCAGAGGCGGAGAGTTATGTCAGTCAATATAAATGTACTGTCATATGTCAATATATATGTACTGCCATGTCATTCAATATATACGTACTGTCATGTCAGTCAATATATATGTACTCTCATGTGTCAATATATATGTACCGTCATGTCACTTTTGTTCTGATGATGGGTTTGTTGTATGTGAGCGACAATTTTTCTTTTAAAAATAGCAAAAGGTCAGGTAAATTGACGTCGCCACAATCTGCGTTGTTTGAAACTCGCTTTCTCTGAGAGGTTCGCTCTACGCGATAACACAGTTTGTTAAAACAATTTTCAGTTATGTTCTAAACCTAATTGTCACATTATATTTCAATCTAAAGAGGTGCGTTTTAATTAAAAGGCAATTTTAGAACTTTTCATTCATTCAAAATTATTAGTGTTTAGTTTTCTTGGGTCTTTTAATAACGACAGAAAATACACAACGTTTTAGTTGTTCTATAATCTTGTACATCCAGACTGTATGATCTGCCCAGTCCTTGCATTGACGTGTGGAACAACATTAGCGTAAGTTCGAATCTGCCCACAAGTGCGAAATAACAAACCATTAAAGGGAGAAAACTTACCGACTCACCTAAGGGCTGTAACTCTAGCCTACCTTAAATGCCATACGGATTGCCTTCTCCTGCTCTAAAGGGCTCTCCTCGCTCCGCCTGATCTCGTCCTGCATGAAAGCCTTGAACTCTCTGTACTCGATCTTACCGTTACCTGCCAGATGACAGCCACATGTCATGTTAGTCACTGTCATGACAATCATATGTGATGTTAGTGAACATGATGGCAGATGTAATTACACTCGCATACCATATGATGAGTGATGGCATCTCCATATCATGTTTAGTAACCGTCATGAATGTCAAATGTCATGTTAGTGAATGCAATGACAGATGTCAACTAAATGACAACAATATATTTATATATATATGTATGTATATATATATATATATGTATATATATATATATATATATATATATATATATATATATATATATATATATATATATATATATATATATATATATATATATATATATATATATATATATATATATATATATATATACATATATATATATATATATATATATCGTGAATCGTGAACTTGTACTCAAAAGATTTTAATCTCTACTGACCTAGTGAGACTGACCACAGTGAGACTGACCATAGTGACTTTGACGACAGTTGTACTGTCATACACAAAAATTAGACTACACGCGAAAGTAGATGCCATGAATGCAGCACGATAATGGCGGCTAACGTATTTGTCATGTTAATGCCACTAAGAAAATTAGATGTCATGTCCATCATTTCCGAGACAAATGTCATGTCGATGATATGCTGTTCGCTCCATCAAGAGGTCACATAACTCAGAGTGAATGAATAGTCACAAAGGTAGAACTGATGTCTCAGTGTGTGTTATGTAGATGACATAAAAAGGTAAATGTCATGACATCAGAGCTAGAAGTCATAACATCAATACAGACAGATGTCACATAAACGACAGCAATAAAGGTAGCTGTTTCACTGATGGCATCAACACATACAGATGCAACCGTCACCAAACATTAAAACTAAATTAATGAGTAAATTAATGTGGCGAGTCCACAAAGCGAAAATAAAAAAAATGATCCCAAGGGAGATAATTTAGCGAATGTTTTAAAAGGGCTGCTACTCTTTGATGCTGTCTGAACGGTTTTCTTGATAATCAAGCATAACATTATTATCGATGAGTTGACTCAAGTTCACGGTTGATCGGATTTTCACTGGATCAATGTGTAGAAACATCAATTTTTCTTTCTGTTTGATCCAGCCCCACTTAAAGAGCATTGGGGTATTTGTTTTAACAGTAAATTAGCCAAAGTCGCAGAACTATATATATATATATATATATATATATATATATATATATATATATATATATATATATATATATTAGTTTCGCCACTGACACCTTGATAGTGGTTTTGTAAATAACAAACCGATCTATTACTGTAGTGATGTTATATAGTAGCTAAGACATGCTGTTGCGTAAAAAAAAAAAAAAAAAAAATAAACATAACGCTAGACACCATTACTTATACAAAGCTTCATGATTTATATACTTTTGAACGACTTAGTGATTAGAAGTATTAAGGCAAACATAAATGAAGACAGAGATTTTCAAAACAGACCAATGCACTCTGATGGGTACCTAACTCACCTTAGGGAAAGTAAAGGCGGCAGAGCATAGTGATGAGAGGTCACAGAAACAAGTGAACTCTACTTCACTATATATATATATATATATATATATATATATATATATATATATATATATATATATATATATATATATATATATATATATATATATATATATATATATAGTGAGACTGACCCTAGTGGTACTGACCACAATGACTCTGACCACAGTGAGACTGACCACAATGACATTGACCCCAGTAGTACTGACCGCAATGACCTTGACCCCATGGGTACTGACCGTTCTTGTCAAGCTCCTTCATTAGAGTGCTGACCTCCTCCTCTGAAATCTCCATGCCCATACACGTCAACATCTTGCCCAGTTCAGAGCTTGAGATGGTGTTGTCATGGTTCTTGTCGAAGATACGGAACAGCTCCCGGATCTCTGGGGGGAGGGAGGAATACAGAGTTAGTCGACGGTCGGGGGTAGGGTAGAATCAGGAAACTTTAAACTGTCGGGGGTAAGGTAGAATCCTGGGGAGTAACTGTCTCATCAAGGGCGTGACAGCGAGGCGGCCACAAAACAACCCATGATGAATTGGGTCAATTGTTCATCTTAAATTAATTCAAATTTACTTATTAACACGATAAAATGTGTGTAGAGGATAGCACCCATGAGCACGACAACTCTAGAGATAACAGAGATGTGAGTAGACATGCCACAATTTGCACCGTCGGTCTGGCTCTAGACATTTAATTGTAATAGAATCATCAGTAAATAGACTCTGGATTATAGACCCTTGTAGGGTCGTGTACAGATTGAAGCCAATAATAGCGTAGTGATATCTGTAGTAATGAGAGGGCAATACACGTAGTTTGAAAAAGCGGTAGTTTTGTCGGCCTCATGGTAGTGTTGAAGACCTTATTGCTTATTGTAGTGTTGCCACAAGTATGTTTCTATTGTCGTATAGATGTATTGTTGCCCCTATACAACACTAGATGTCCAAATATAAGACTATGTCGATGAGAACGATAATGGTAATGATGATAACGGCTATGATACTTAACACTCTAGCATAATCTAACTAATTACATAAATTACAACTTGTCAATCAATAAAGATAAAGAACTAGCCGGCGAAAAAGTTGTTTTTTTTTTCCTTTACTTCGATAAGATATTTTAAAACACATATTTCTTTATTTCATCATATATATATATATATATGTTTATTATATATATATATATATATATATATATATATATATATATATATATATATATATAAATGTATATAAATAAATAAATAAATAAATAAATAAATAAATAAATAAATAAATAAATAAATATATATATATATATATATATATATATATATATATATATATATATATATAAGACTTTTTATCTCATTGACAACAGCCTGGCCTTTGTTCATTTTGTCTTGTGAACAAAAATGTCACCTAATGACATAATGACATCTGATGGCATATACACCCGGTGATTAACCCCGGCCTAGGCAAGGATGCATGTCGCGTGTGTGAGTCACTAATGACTTAATCAATTCAAACTTTTCTTTGTGCCGAGTTCTTACTGTATGTATTTCACATGGTTTTCCAGTATGTATTTCACATGTTTTTCCAGTATGTATTTTACAGGTTTTCCAGTATGTATTTCACTGTTTAGTTCCTCTGTTAATGCCATACAAACAAGGAGTGGATAATTCCAACACACCCTCTATTAGCGAACGTTCAGATAAAACTTAAAAGTTCCTTTAAAACCTGAAGCCAATCTACAACAGCGGAACAATCCTAGTAATAGTTCCAATAAAATATACATCAATTTTATAACAGAGGAACAATATGTTACTATTCATTCTTGTCCTGTATCATATTTGATAAATACAAATTTAAAGCATTTTATTTAGGTCAGCAGTTCTTACACCACCCCTAGTGTCTTATCCCACCACTGGTGTCGAACCCCTCCCCTGATGTCTAACCCCATCCATCGTGTCTTACACCACCCCTCGTCTCTTTCCCCACCCCCGTGTCTTACCCCACCCCTTGCGTCTTACCCCACCCCTAATGTCTAACCCCACCCCTCAAGTCTAACCCCACCCCTCGTGTCTAACCCCACCCCTCAAGTCTAACCCCACCCCTTGTGTCTAACCCCACCCCTAGTGTCTTACCCCACCCCTTGCGTCTTACCCCACCCCTAATGTCTAACCCCACCCCTCAAGTCTAACCCCACCCCTCAAGTCTAACCCCACCCCTAGTGTCTTACCCCACCCCTAGTGTCTAACCCCACCCCTCGTGTCTTACCCCCCCCCCCCCGTGTCTTACCCCACCCCTAGTGTCTTACCCCACCCCTCGTGTCTTACCCCCCCGTGTCTTACCCCACCCCTAGTGTCTTACCCCACCCCTCGTGTCGTGTGTACTTCACGCATGACTGATCTCTGCAGCCCGTGCCACTCCTGTTATTCCTGACATCTTCAAACAGATCGGTTTTTTCTTTGCTATTTGCATGACAATAAACGACCTCGCTATCCTAGAGGCTATCCAGTAGATGCCCTCGCTAACATAATGGCTAATCACTAGATGCCCTCGCTAACATAAAGTCTTATCACTAGATGCCCTCACTAGTGACCTATAATTAGATGCCCTCGCTAACATAATGGCTAATCAATAGATGCCCTCGCTAACATAACGGCCTATTTTAGAAACGTGTAACTAAACCACACTTGACTTCAACTATTTCACCTAATGGCACCCTCTTCAACTACAGGACCATATAAAACACAGATATTCCGTGTAGTAAGTCTTTAGCTGTGATAAAATACATAAGGACCATATAGTATTAGACAGAACAAAGCCACCATACCGTGTAGCGAATCTTTAACCGCCGCTGTCAATTTTTTAAGATGCTGTTATTGACTTTGTGTTGCTTACTTGTAAACGCTACAATGTGAAGGATCCGCTCAATTGGAGACTTAGAGGCGATATTTCAGCACATATTTAATTATACAACAACCAACATATTCAGCGGGTTCGCTGATCAATGGCGCGTTTAAATTCATTGAACCGTGGGTCAGATATTGTATCGATTCTAATTTAGACAGATCATGATTAGAGTTAGTTCGAATATCATTCACCATAAGAGTGTACTTTAAAAAAAAAATTAAACCTATAATTGCAATAAAAAAAAAGAATTTAAAAAAGTGGCGCATTTGTATTTCAACAGCAGCTAAGATTGATTAGACAAAAAATTAATTATAACAAGGTCATGATTTTATTTGAACAGCATTAGGAAAAAAATTAACAGGAAAGGATTCGATTGAAACTAAAATCTTTTTGTTTTATAAAAAAAAGTATTATACTGATGTATAAAACATTTAATAGTCTATTGGGGGGGGGGAGGTACTTAGGCTATGCTCAATGTAATTATTGTCAAGGTCACTGTGAAGACCTTTATTTGGTGGTATCTAGGATAGTGGTCCACCACCTCACTTCCTGTTGTCTATTTTGTTTTTTATGTTCTCCTAATATTATACAACACTATTTTAAAGCTATATTCGTTATATTGTACCCAGCAACATGATCACATTATTCAAGCATCGCTCTCTCTCCATATGCTAATATCAATGAAACAGGTGAACTCTACTTCACCTACCACATGGTCCGTAACGTTCTAAAGTGCAGTTTTATATATAGGCGAAGACCATATTGTAAATCCTTTACTTATTTATAATCATACTTGAATGAATGACAGCTTGGCGATGCATCGTATTTCGTTATACCTGCTTGGCACCCAAGTTCCATTTTATGTCTAAATGCCGGATGTCGCGAAAACGCGACAAACCGTAATTAGCAGATAACTTCCAAAATTATTCTCATATGTGATTTATATTGTTTATATACATAAAAGAATGAATAATACAGCTATTAGTATTTTTGTAGCAGAAACGGATCACCTATTTAGTAATAATAATCAATGTAAGTAGGCTGAATTCACGAAGTCAAAAAAATTACGATGCGCGTGAGTCAAGAGAGTGTGACGTCATAAATTTCGACTTGACAACGTGACCGCTGGTACCAATACAACCGTCTGGATGTACCCAATACACAACGACCGACAGCAGTAGGATAAATGTACATATGCGCAAATGCTATGCGCTAAATCGGTATGTCGCGAAAACGCGACTGTCGGCGTTAAGGGTTAAAGGAAATTATAAAATTTTGTGTTTTGTTTTACATATCTGATGATTTAGACGTTTAAAAATAAGATTTGATAATTTATATTTATTCTAATTACGTATTGTAATGTAGATCTTATATTGTGGAAAGCTTAAATTTAAAGTGTTGTTTCTGATACAAAAAGAAAAGAAAAAAAATACACATTAGTATCGCGTGTTTAGGGTAATCGTCTCTGCCCTTTAGACTGATAATCGGGCGACTTCGATACTCCCCGCTGATGAAATATGTATAGAGTACAAACAAAATGGGCACGTGTAGTGGTGTAAATGTCGCCCAATCGCGGGTGAGCTTGTGTGGTGTCTCATCCAATCATTAGGCTACCCGCGTGGTACGTTCCTGTACAACAAAGAAATCGATTTTTCAAAAAATCAATACCGGGGATCGATACGAATGAAGCTGTCAATATCCTAAGTAAATTGAGCTTCGAAGAATGGTTATGGTTATGTCTAAACAACAGAGTAATGAATAAACACAAACAAATAGACTATCCCTTCTGTCGTCAATAAGGAATTTCAGTGAAGATATAGAAAAACCGCAGATATTTTTGTATTGTCATACACAGTGGTACTTTTTATATTAACACACAGGTATATATTATTTATTTACTATATGATTTTAAATGATGTGAGTTTTTATGATCCAACTTTAAACATCCAATCGGTATAAAAAAATTGTCAAGTTACAAGTCACTCAGCATCTTGTAAACAAGAAAATTTTAACAGGGCAATACGTTTGCCTCTATGCATTATCTTAACACAGAATATTCGTATTAGTTATCGAGTGGTAGAGCATATGAATGCTAAACCACAAGTCTAGAGTTCGGATCCCTGTTTTCAGTCAAGCTCATTGTGTCCCTTTAAGTTTTTTATATGAGTAAGCGAACTGAAGACAAGACCATATTTAACCCACAACTGTTTCATACGTGGTCAAGGAATCAGATAAACTCTACTGCTTCTGCCCCTGACCATTCAGTCTGAAAGGTTACCTTTTTTATTGGAGTAAAAAAAAATGATTTTTTTTTTTGCTCATCTCTAACTTATCACCAACGAGTCTCATCGACCTGTTTTAATACAACATCAACTGAGTCATTTCACCATCAGAAGAACAGAAAACCCTTCTTGTATAACGCCGTCAAAAGCGTACACTAAACATTCAACAAACCAACTCCCGTTCCGCTCAAACTAACGGGGAGATTACTCAAGCGTGACAATAGGCAGCAGTTTACGAATATTAACGTATGTACACTCGGGATAGAGTGGTTCACATGTAACATCTGTTTTACGGCTGAGCTAGAACTCTCATTGATGTTAGTTTAACTTTATATCACAGATCAAGCTAGTGAAATTTGTTTAACTTTGTGCTACGGACCGCGCCAGTAAGATGCAATAATAATGGTTTATCGTTTTTTTTTAAAAGTATATTGAGGGTGGTTGATGTTAGATGGTAGTACTTAGAAGAGTAGAGATCATCAAAATTGCTCAACCACTTTATTAGACATGTAGAGACCAGTCTCTGACCACCTCTCACACCTGGTACCTCTACACACCTGGTACCTCTACACACCTGGTACCTCTTACACCTGACTCAACTTCTCTGATCACCTCTATACACCTGGTACCTATCACAGTACCTGACAACGTAAACAATACCGCCTCACACAGTACACATTTGAGGGACAACCAAGGGGCGTAACTATGGTATACAAATACAAGGGAAATAACCAGATTTCAAGAGACATCATGTAACAGTATATTGCAATTTAATAACACAATAAATTTGATAACTTAAAATTACCAACAAAATTAGCGATATTTTATTGGCTTAAAATAAAAAGTTGATAAAAAATTGTATATGTACAAAACAGTTTAAATTTATGCATAAAGATGCAAGAAACGGCTTCAGTTTACAGCACATTATTTTAGAAAATATAAACGCATCTTAGTACTTTGATTAACCTTTAGTATGGAAGATAGTCTCTGTGAAAAAGTCTATTAAACGTTTAAAAAAAAAAGGTATCAGGTCAACTGTCATATAGTCAAGCAATCAGTTCAAGTAAAAATCAATTACCTACAGTAAAGCCACCTCAAAGGGTCGTGACCAGGGCCCAACGGGATAGCAAACCAGCGGTTGGAAAGTTTGGCGTTAAAAGACCACCACCATCCAGCCCTACAGAAACAGATGTTCGAAAGAAAACCCCAAATAATTCATGCTAACTCTGGCAACATTGAACATCAGGGGGGCTAGGGACAAACACATTATATAAACAACATAATAAATAAACACAATATTGACATCCTACTTTTACAGGAAACTAACATTTGAACTACAGATGAAGCAAATAAACTAGATGCATAATTAATATCGACAGTCTCAAGCTAAACATCACTAGAACAGCCCTGAAGTTAATTAACATTAGAACAGTGTTCTGTTTCCCAGGTTTTTAAAAGTGCACAACCTGAATGGTATAAAGAGATACACACCTCACCCCCACCCCCCCCCCCCCACACACACACACACTTCCCCCACTCAACCGGACTGGCGGATTTTTCAAGGTAGCGTGACCTCTTTGCCAAGGGTCAATTTTATGTCATGGAAAGTTTTGGAATGATGGATCAGTATGTGTACTGCAGAGACACTTCTCCCACGGTCGTTTCTATTTCTGTCCATGTGTGGCTACAATGTGAACTTTTGACTCCTCAGCTAAGGACAAAGCACAGTAAACTAAGCAGTCAAGAGAAACCTAGTTTGCACACCTTATTTTAGTCTAGTTCTTATGCCATTTTATTTTCTCCATTTGATTATTATATATGCAATTGATGTTCATGTCTTTGATGCTGTGTAAAATCTATCAAATAAATAATTATTACTGATTTAAATGTTAAAAAAAAAAAAAAAAAAAAAAAAAAAAAAAAAAAAAAAAAAAAAAAAAACGTTTAAAAAAAAAGAAAAAAAAAGGAAAAAATAAATGTTTAATTTTATATGTCTCATTGTACTCAACATAACATTCTGTTTGTTTAAAATTAGTAATGTTTATTTTTCTTTAATCCCAAATTTATTTCAGCTCTACTTAAAAGCCCAAACCCCCTCAGCCCACAACGCCGAAGAAAAAAAAATTCCTTGAATCATCGTTTAATTACACATTGGCATTTTCAGGTTGTTTAAAAAAAATTGTAATTAGACGTATTGTATTAGATATATATGTATAAGTAAACCATCTTAAATGAATGAAAGTGGCCTAAAAGTAAGAAAGAAATATTACTATTGTAAATCTTTATTAGTCCTCACAAGCCGATCAGTGTTTCTTCCAGACTTTTTCTCCGGGGGGGGGGGGGCACTAGACATTTTCGGGGGGGGGGGCGGTAAACTTTCTTCGGGGGGGGGGGGAGGGGGGCGGACACTGTTAAAAGTATATATTTTCTATATAAATTATATAAATTTCATTTCGTTCGGGGGGGGGGGGGGCGTTAAAAAATGTTCGGGGGGAGGGGGGGCTTCGCCCTCCCGAAGAGATACCTGGAAGAAACTCTGAAGCCGATGATGAAAGCTTTAATACTAAAGAGAACATGCAAGGCAAACTGACGCTGTAAACTGTCTGAGGCGAAAAAAAAAAGAAAAGAAAAAGTGACAGCTATCGCTCATATTAAAATCTCGAAAACTTAGTTCGTTAGTCTTTTTAATTTACATACAGACTCTGACATACACCTACACATGTTGATTATATTTGTTTGATTGAAAAAAAAGTATTAAAAAAATTGTTGGTTGCCCATAAGTCGTGAGAAAAAAAGAAACAATAAAGCACTAATACGTGTTTCAATAAAATGTTTGGAGAGAATCTTGCAAAAAATACACAGGTACAGTAATGCTGTAAATACGGTACACTGAATAGAAATAAAAAACCTATCAAAAAATTCTCGTTGGAAAGCGGTTGTTGGCTAGATATCTGAGAAGTGGTTAACCAAGTATATGATAGATCGGATCTAGTATTTAAACGAAGTAAAGTATCAGAATAATGGGGTAGATTATTAAGTTTACGTTTTAAGACTGATTAAGTTTTAGTTTAAAATCTGTGCTTAATAAGGATAAGAAATTCGAAACTTAGCGTTAGTGTTAGGTTAATTGGGTTAATTTACAAATTCACCTTTGGGGGTAAGTTTGTGGCTTAATTAATTATAAATAATTTGCGACATAAATCATATATATATATATATATATATATATATATATATATATATATATATATATATATATATATATATATATGAGAGAGAGAGTTAGAGAGAGAGAGAGAGGTAAAATGCATATAATAACAGATATAATAACAAAGGGTACCTTGAAGACACTTATTTAAAAAAATACCTTTAAAAGATGGACGCCATTTAGAATCACCCAGGAGAGCTAACTCCAAATCTGTTTCTGAGCTACTGCCCGTGGGGGTGGCGACCAGGGAGTGAAGCCTCTCCCCCTCCTCCTCCTCTTGCACCTTCCTCACCTCCTCCTCCTCACACCCAAAGAGGTAGTCCGCACATACCCGCATGCCCCTCACAAAACAGCGCAAGACAGCGCGCCTGCGAGTTCGCGGTCTTTCGCCAATTTTGGTGGTAGGAAGTGTACAGTTGCATTAAAAATACACAGGCCAAATTGGCGTTTCGGTTCAGTTGCCAAAATGGCTTTTATTTTAATTTTATTTCAACACCATTTTTTAAATTATTCCTGTAAAAGTATATTGAAACAATTGCAGATTTAAAAAATTGGTTAACAAGAGAAATATATAAATCCGAAATCCTTCGAAAAAAATATCCAATTTGAATTTGTTTTTAAAACAACGGAATGCGTAGCACAGTGCAAATATAAATATACACGATCCTAGTGACACAAACTAATATCCACGATTCCACATTTAGCGTTATCTACGTCATAATTTCGCGAAATAACCTGCGCAACACAAATAGCAACAACCACCACACACCGATCAATGCCTCTATATGCGACAACTTATAATTTCACTAAAACAACCCTCCATACCTCGCTGAATGTTCAATAGCTACTGCGGTTTTATATCCGAGGATTGTAATCCGTCTTGAGTTTTTTTCACCTCAAAAAACAGTCGGAGAATTTGCGAAAATCGATTTAAGTTAACTTAATACTTAAAGCACAAGCAAGTACACTACTGCGTTTAACGACCTTTCAAACACAAGTTCGATTTTTGTTTTGTTTTACCGCCTATATGATCAATTTAAAAAGTCGAAACTACGATAAGACTCTCCAGTTCTCCGAAACAAATAAACGACTGTGGACGCTGAGAATCCGCCGCCAGCATATCAAGCACCACTACAACCGATAACACAATCAAGTATTAAACATCTTCAGGCTACAATACTTGCCCAACACAATCAAGTATTAAACATCTTGAGGCTACAATCCTTGCCCAACTCAATCAAGTATAAAACATCTTGAGGCTACAATCCTTGCCTAACGCAAACAAGTATTACGGGTAGAGAAGCTACCTGTCCCAACTAACATAAACAAGAATCACAGGTACCGAATCTACATGTCCCTACTAGCACAAGAATCACAGGTACCGAAGTTACCTGTCCCTACTAACACAAGAATCACAGGTACCGAAGCTACCTGTCCCTGCCTTCAAACCGCGGTAAACTCCGGCGTGAGTACACATATGGTAGATTTAGAATGTCACCCTGTTTGCCTCATTACTCACACGAGGTCGCGGGCGATGTTGTCTGGGCGGGATCGATACTACCCACCAGCATCTGTCACCACCAGAACCTTGGCGTACGTCGTTACATTTATTTTAGTCAGGTGGGTACCGGTACAGTGTATCACCTTTGTCAGTGTGTCACCTTTGTCAGTGTGTCACCTTTGTCAGTGTGTCACCTTTGTCAGTGTGTCACCTTTGTCAGTGTGTCACCTCTGTCAGTGTGTCACCTTTCTCAGGTGGGTGCTGGTACAGTGTGTAACCTTTGTCAGTGTGTCACCTTTGTCAGTGTGTCACCTTTGTCAGGTGGGTGCTGGTACAGTGTGTCACCTTTGTCAGGTGGGTGCTGGTAGAGTGTGTCACCTTTGTCAGTGTGTCACCTTTGTCAGTGTGTCACCTTTGTCAGGTGGGTGTCGGTACAGTGTGTCACCTTTGTCAGTGTGTCACCTTTGTCAGTGTGTCACCTTTGTCAGGTGGGTGCTGGTACAGTGTGTCACCTTTGTCAGGTGGGTGCTGGTAGAGTGTGTCACCTTTGTCAGTGTGTCACCTTTGTCAGTGTGTCACCTTTGTCAGGTGGGTGTCGGTACAGTGTGTCACCTTTGTCAGTGTGTCACCTTTGTCAGTGTTTCACCTTTGTCAGTGTGTCACCTTTGTCAGTGTGTCACCTTTGTCAGGTGGGTACTGGTACAGTGTGTAACCTTTGTCAGTGTGTCACCTTTGTCAGGTGGGTGCCGGTACAGTGTGTAACCTTTGTCAGTGTGTCACCTTTGTCAGGTGGCTGTTGGTACAGTGTGTCACCTTTGTCAGTGTGTCACCTTTGTCAGTGTGTCACCTTTGTCAGTGTGTCACCTTTGTCAGTGTGTCACCTTTGTCAGGTGGGTGTCGGTACAGTGTGTCACCTTTGTCAGTGTGTCACCTTTGTCAGTGTTTCACCTTTGTCAGTGTGTCACCTTTGTCAGTGTGTCACCTTTGTCAGGTGGGTACTGGTACAGTGTGTAACCTTTGTCAGTGTGTCACCTTTGTCAGGTGTGTGCTGGTACAATGTGTCACCTTTGTCAGATGGCTGCTGGTACATTGTGTCACCTTTGTTAGTGTGTCACCTTTGTCAGATGGGTGATGGTACAGCGTGTCACCTTTGCTAGGTTGGTGCTGGTACAGTGTGTCACCTTTGTCAGTGTGTCACCTTTGTCAGTGTGTCACCTTTGTCAGTGTGTCACCTTTGTCAGGTGGGTACTGGTACAGTGTGTCACCTTTGTCAGTGTGTCACCTTTGTCAGGTGGGTGTCGGTACAGTGTGTCACCTTTGTCAGGTGGGTGCTGGTAGAGTGTGTCACCTTTGTCAGTGTGTCACCTTTGTCAGTGTGTCACCTTTGTCAGGTGGGTGTCGGTACAGTGTGTCACCTTTGTCAGTGTGTCACCTTTGTCAGTGTTTCACCTTTGTCAGTGTGTCACCTTTGTCAGTGTGTCACCTTTGTCAGGTGGGTACTGGTACAGTGTGTAACCTTTGTCAGTGTGTCACCTTTGTCAGGTGGGTGCCGGTACAGTGTGTAACCTTTGTCAGTGTGTCACCTTTGTCAGGTGGCTGTTGGTACAGTGTGTCACCTTTGTCAGTGTGTCACCTTTGTCAGTGTGTCACCTTTGTCAGTGTGTCACCTTTGTCAGATGGGTGTCGGTACAGTGTGTCACCTTTGTCAGTGTGTCACCTTTGTCAGTGTTTCACCTTTGTCAGTGTGTCACCTTTGTCAGTGTGTCACCTTTGTCAGGTGGGTACTGGTACAGTGTGTAACCTTTGTCAGTGTGTCACCTTTGTCAGGTGTGTGCTGGTACAATGTGTCACCTTTGTCAGATGGCTGCTGGTACATTGTGTCACCTTTGTTAGTGTGTCACCTTTGTCAGATGGGTGATGGTACAGCGTGTCACCTTTGCTAGGTTGGTGCTGGTACAGTGTGTCACCTTTGTCAGTGTGTCACCTTTGTCAGTGTGTCACCTTTGTCAGTGTGTCACCTTTGTCAGTGTGTCACCTTTGTCAGGTGGGTACTGGTAGAGTGTGTCACCTTTGCCAGGTTGGTGTTGGTACAGTGTGTCACCTTTGTCAGGTGGGTGTCGGTACCGTGTGTCACCTTTGTCAGTGTGTCACCTTTGTCAGTGTGTCACCTTTGTCAGGTGGGTGTTGGTACAGTGTGTCACCTTTGTCAGGTGGGTGTTGGTACAGTGTGTCACCTTTGTCAGGTGGGTGTTGGTACAGTGTGTCACCTTTGTCAGTGTGTCGCCTTTGTCAGGTGGGTGCTCAAACAATTTCCCACCTTACGCAGCTTATAGCCCAAACCACTTCCCACCTTACGCAGGTTATAATCCAAACAACTTCTCACCTTAGTCTATCTGTAAATACATATTGTACCTCTATATCCATTGCCACAGCGAATGAAACATTTTTATAGATGCGCCATTCGACAGAAGGCGACAGTTCGTATTTCATTTGGTGGTTGATGATTAATTCTTAATTATGTACAATTTACAGCATGCATAATTAATTCGGCACGCGCGAAATGTTCTACACGGTCCACTAAACTCCACTAATAGCTCAGGTTTTACACACGGCAGCTCAGGTTTTACACACGACAGCTCAAGTTTTACACACGACAGCTCAGGTTTTACACACGGCAGCTCAGGTTTTACACACGGCAGCTCAGGTTTTACACACAACAGCTAAGGTTTTACACACGGCTCAGGTTTTACACAGCCAAACATCTCCGGTTTTACACACGGCTCCGGTTTTACACACGGCAACTACATTAATGTCCATCTAACAACTACACTGATTCCCATCCAATAACTACAAAAATTGGCTTTGTTAAACTGCCTATTGCTTTATTTTAAAAATTATTACATAATATCCAGATTATGTTTTTTTTCCCAAATTACACTGATGAACACGTCTCTTCCCACGTTTGACACCTATACTTATGGGTTTTCCTTTCATAAAATGGTTATACCCGCTTATGAAACAAAACCCACATGTAAGATTTCTTCTATTCATACAACTGACATTAATCTTTTTTTTTTCAATTCACGAAACCCATGCTTACGAATTTCTAAAATAGCTTTCCTACGTAATCGTATCATACTTATGGTTTGCTACGCACACGAAATGAAACCTAAAACACAGTTAATAATTTTATCTGTATCCGACTGGATCAAAACTGTAGACTTCCCGCATCTCATTGGGTTTCTTTCCCTAAAAAAGCGGATTGAATTTAGGGCTGTTACTAAAAATACATTCCGTACCAGCTTTTAACAAAACAAACAACCGCTGCATAAAACTGCCGGAAGTTGTATATTCCAAATATTGTAACACACAAAGCGGATCCAATACTTCAACATTTACATGTCCTGGTTAAATATACCAGCCACACTTTAAAAAACTAGAAATTAATTGATTTCTTTGTCAACGAACAGTTTCAAAATCCAAACTACATATTAAAATTCTAAAGTTCCGATCAATACTCTATAATCAAAATTAAACAATCAATTATCTGAAGTTTTAAATTAATTTCCAAGAAAGGTATTAAAAAACTAACTAAAAGCGCAAATACCGCAAGTATTTGTATTTGTCACAAAAAAGTATTATTCCAGTGTCACTCATTGACGGTCGCTCCCATTTTTTCTGAAATTACACTTTCCGTGTTGCGACAAAGCCATCAGATCAATCGTTCGATCGATGACGATTTTCAACGATCTGGATCACACTACGATGACGATCGAACGCGAAAATTTAATGGATTTTGAAACAAGGAATTGTTCATTGAACACCGGTCCCTGTTTCAACTTGGTGAAAGCGGAGTTAAGTTCAAGACATCTAGGAATCTGGGTCACAGGTCGACCTTGGAAGTGAGAAGTAAACATCAGGGAATGGGGATATATATTGATTGTTAACATCAGGGGGTGGGGATAAAATTTGATTGTTAACATCAGTGGGTGGGGATAAAATTTGATTGT